ATTTTTGCGTTTACTGCTGGACGTGTTTTAAAAATCGTCACGACTACATTACGAGTGCTTTTTTTTTCTTCGCAAAAAATGAACAATCATATACCTCATATATACGTCATTTAGAACAATTTATGAATTCTTTTCTGCCGATTTCTTAGATTACTTTATTACGCACGACAATGATGTACATATATAATAGGAAACCGAATTCCCGAATCCTCATTTTCCTAGAGAGGACCGCTCTTTCATATCACTAACGAATTCATTAGTGGATGTACCTCACGGAAATACGACGTAAAAGCGACGATCAATGAGATATTTATTATTTGCACTCAGATAAGAAGAAAGAAAGGAACTTTGTACAATAAATCATTTGTGTTGCGTGGAGCAGTTTTAGCAATCTGCAGTTGTAGGAATTTTCTGAACTTAGACGTTCCATTGTAAAAATTCGTGCGTGCTCCACGATGATGAACCAATCTTCAAATCACACGTGTATGTGTATATCTGAATGCATAAAATATATTATATATCATTGAGCGCTGATCGCGTCTGTATAACATCTTTATCGTTACATCCGCTTGAAATGTGACAGGAGCTGGACTTGATAATCTAAATGTGAATGGGTTTATAGAGTCAGAGAAGTATCAGGAGATGATAGCGGCGACAGAAAGCCCACCGAAAGGCGGTGGCCCATTCCGTCTGGATGACGATTCCGAGTTTCCACCTGTTACGCAAAGGGCAGACTGAGCGTGAGGTGCGGTTTAAGGCATATCAAAAGCTCAAGGCGAAGGTAAAGGAAACGAAGTAGAAATGAAAAGGAAAAACGAAAGAAAGAAACCGACCGAGGGAGGAAGCTGTACAAGAGCAAGGATTGCGACACGAGCGAAAGGGGCACAGAGACCAGAGGACGTCCAGTATTACACACAGATGACCGGCCGTATCCCACTGCTCTCCGAGTACTCAACGGAATCGAGAGACCCGGACGAAATTACCGAGAGTGTCACCTGTAAGAATTTGAACGAGGTGCTTGCGTTGGTCTTCACCGAAGGAACCATGACCGCCGCATCGAGAGGAGGAAATTAATTCTTCACGGGCTATCCGGAATCATGGCACGACACTTGCGGAGTAAAGAAAAAAGTATCACCGCGAGCGACACTCTCTCGGCTGTTTCGTCCCGAGGCTGTCGAATTAAACCGCTGATTTTGTTCGTTTGTTCGTTCGTTAGACAGCATACGCGCGGGTGCAGCTTCCGAAAAGATATAGTAATCCAATGACGAGTAGGTGCGCATATAAGGGTGCGAATGAACGGGCATTTTCTGAGGTTTACACGACAGAAGACCTACCTACGTAGAAGCGAAGGTATTTTTAATGAATAAGTAGGTAGACAAGTTACCTAAGTTTTAAGCGTAAGCTAATGCGCTCAGAACAGTATGAGGGACCGAGGGACCTTCGGGATTCGCGCGTTTATCCACACAGAAATCTGAAAGAAAATCGCGGACCAGAATAACTAATACGATTAATTAAAGCGTTCCGCGCCGTTGTCGGCGAACACACCGCGACTGTCTGTTCTAATCGTGAATTACAAAAAAAACGCGTAATGATCTGGCATACTCGGATTTTGCCAAAAGATAATTTTAATAGACCGGTGACTCTGCGTATGTAAGGAAAAGAAATTAGGAAGTGTGAGAGTATCGTCTGACCATTGGGAGAACTAACACGACGGAAGCGACTCGAAGTTTTCCGAAGATGTCGATAATAACGACGAAGAGGGAACTTGCAGCCCGACATATCTATATTCTGACGCAAAACACATTGTAAATAAACCCGCCGCCTCATTTGCCGGGTGGTCTATACACGTTATGTCCTACTGCGTTTATGTAAAAAAGAAAAAAAGAAAAAAGAAAAAATCGTGTGTGCCTGAAAATCGATGTAAATGAAATTGAACTTCAGTTTTATGTCATATTACATCGACAACAGAGAGAACCGAATGGTTCCTCACAAAATTTCAAGGATACATTTTAACGGAAAATGTAGCTTGGTGTGTTAAACACCACATTGTACATTATTTCGTTGGATTACTATATTTTTGGATGACTGAATCTTTGTCTTCTGTGTTCAACAAGGGAAGAGCTCATGTTCTTTTTTTTTTTCGTTTAGATAAAAATGTTATAGTGTATATATATATACACACGTCTGTATATGTATATGTATGAATATGAGAGATTGCTGTACGAGATAGGCTTCAGTTATATCTTTTTGTATAAAATGTAAGATCGTCGAGCGTACGTTTTGCTTCTTATGTGGAAGAAATCCAGACACGATCGGATCATACGACTTTGCCAAAAAGAAACGTTCGTTTCGCGACGTTATTTCGTTCGTTGGGCATTTAGAATTCGAAAAGTATCGTTCAAGTTTTGCGTGATAACAATGAGATGATGAAGCAACGACAAGCTGATTATGAAGACACATGTGTGCGCGAGAGATCATTCTAAAACGCAAAACAAAAGTCTCATTCCATTCACTTTTGTCAGAGAATTCGTGATGGTTCTGCTCACGTCGCGCATGTATCAACGAGATGATTTTCCAAACGCTGAACGTACGTATCGAATTTGAATTCCATGCAAATTTTATATCATGTTACTATCGGACATTATACCGTGTGCTGTATTTTATGCTTTGTATCAAGTGAACATTATTAGCGTAATTGAACATTACGCAATCGTATATATTTCACAAATGTGCAATAAGTTTCTCTCTCTCTCTCTCTCTCTCTCTCTCTCTCTCTCTCTCTCTCTCTCTCTCTCTCTCTCTCTCTCTCTCTCTCTCTCTCTCTCTCTCTCTCTGAACTTTTTTCTTCAAGTTTATCGAAAGTTGTCATGACATGTAATTTGTATAAAATAGCTAATTGACTAGGAACAGAAAACTTTCGATCTATATACATACATATATATACATGTATATGTATATATATGTATTTGTGTTTTCCTTACTCAGGCTTGATTGTGTACGAAATATTTTCCATTGGATCGGTGCCAATTTATCCGAAGAATATAAGACAACACCGACGCTGGCGAGAAAAACGCGTTTTATCATCATGTATTAATAATATGACTAAGTGGAGCACAGCTGCTGAGTTTTGTCGTGACTCTTCGTAGCGTATCGTGTAATTTAACGGATCTTATATAGTAGTTCCGATTATACAGATAGGAAGTTTCTTTCCGAACTGAGGCATTCGGCGCGATTGGCGTGATGTCAAGTACCGTATAGACCCGTGTGGTGTGTCGTTAAGGCGGTTTTATACTAACGAGTTTTATTTGGTAAATAGTCCTATACTTTTATAAAGATAAATAAAAAAAGCGTCAATAACCAAATGTACATAATGAACGTGCTGAGGCTTGAGCTTTGACGTCGTTGCGTATGAAGTTTCCTATATTAATACACGTGATTGTGCTGAACCGCAAACGGAAGGGAACACTTGTGAGTCCTTCCTCATCTATGATTGGTTCAACGTCCCATCTTTATTTGTATTTAATAAAACTGCTGACGATTTTTTATAAATCGATCATGCCTTTCATTAAAAAATTGCGCTATCACATCATACTCACTCTCTCTCTCTCTCTCTTTATTCATTTGGAAACTTATGCTGATATTTTATGTTGTCGCAAATCGCACCAGGAGCACGAAAACACCAATATAATTACTAACAAGTTTCCGAATGAAAGGATAAACAAACTTTCATCTTCTTTGCCGGGCGTGTTTCTTAGCATTTGGATTAACATTCCTATTGTGTGCGTAACCTGGTATCTCGATGAGAATACGTGAGGCAAATGTGAAAACAATATGATTATAGAGCGAATTAAAGATATATACGTGAGATTTTCCATACATACTTAAAATGCGTATATCTTTTGTGCAATTATCTTTCCTATGTACCAAACACTGCGTTGGAATTAAAGCATCACACTCGATAATGGAACGTGCACAAACACCGCATTCAACCTCGTTTATTATTTTTTCTATAGATTCCGTTGAGAGTTTATGTTAAGTGATATGCCAGCCGCGTGATTGATTGTGTAAATAAATATATCAGTAAACTTTCCAATTTCATGAGAGGAAATCGAACGAACGTGTCTTTGTTACGGTAACGCGAAAAATAATGACAAACAAAAAGAATGCTATTGCAATTATCGTCTTATTTTTTTTAATTTTGTGGAAAAAAAAATTTTTCAGCAAAACTTCTTTTTAGCCGCGAAAATAGCAGGGAGACTGTTAAGACGCTGCAGATTTTCTCCATGATATCGTATATAGATCCTATCTCTGACAAATTTAGACTTTTACGTAATAAAGAGATGCTTAGCCCGATAAAGAGCACTTAGCCCTCGAAAATGTCAAAGACTTTAACAAAATTACTAAGGCTCGTAAAAAAAGTTCACCGAAAACGACGCATGTAGTGACGCAATTTACAAGCTGTTCTACAAAAATTCCGCATCTCTTATGTAGGATGCAACATTCGTAGTATTAATACGTAATGAATATCGCAAAGATATTAATAAAGCATCGCTAATCTATGTTGTTTTCGAGCATCGATTATCCACTGATTATGATTTTAATTGGCAAAAAATGATCAAAAAAATGTACTGGAAGTCGTATATATTAAATGTGTCAAAAAGTAGTATTAATACGTAAAAGGACACCGAGTTGTTGGCCGATTTTTTGTTATAACATATATTATTAAAACATATATAATAACAGTTTTCGTATTTTGAGACCTAAGACACTTCCAGCTCTCTATCGGTAAATTTGCATCCATGTGAGTTACAAGTATCACAGAACAACTTGGTTTCTATAAGCATGTTATTACACCGCCAGATAATCAAAATTCAGATCACGATTTAGACAACGACAAAGATCACGCAAACTCATTCATTAATCGAAGAAACTGATTAATCATTGTATATGCATGATAATGTTTGCGGTAGAGTTTTTTATAGTTTATTTTTTTGCGTTATATTTTTATCTTCACAACGGCCGGTTTAATAATTTATTCTTTTTATCATACGCATATCATATTTTCTAAAATCTTATTCGGTTTTTTACCCTTTATCCTATAAATCCCAAAGTATATAAAACTGCGAAAGGTTATAATCGGATAAATCTGCGCGTGAATCGGATGACGATATTCAAACAGGCTCGTTGGTCGTATATCAGTTAATTTACTACTTAAGGGACATTTGTAAAATGGTCGATATACACTATCGGTTGCGACAGTCTCACCGGCATGGCGCAAACTTTTATATTACTGCAATCTGCGAGTGTGAACAACAAAATGTATTTTTTCAGTGAATACAGTGATAATATAGCAAAAGGGTCTATTCCGGTCCAAGCTCACGGCAAGATGCGCAATTGTTAACGCGTTATATTTGAAATTTCATCATACTTATTACAATATAATAGTTCGTACGTTGAATCGCATAGAAAAATTGCAACGAGTATTATGTGCATCGTTGTATAACGTGCGCACGCGATAGGGCGTTATTTTGCCACTTCGTAATAATCTGCTCGCTACAACGTATAATTACCAATCACTAATGCAATTATATTTCCACTGTGTGTCGACTGTAATTGCTTATAAACGGTAATTGTCGCAATATTTACAATTGCGAGAAATTGATTAAAGTATACGCACAGTACATAATAACGCGATGTATATCCCTTGTTATTAAAAAGACGAACATATCTCATAAGTTATATATATATATATATATATATATATATCTCTCTCTCTCTCTCTCTCTCATAAGAGATGTACGCAACAGATAGTTTCGCTGATTAAATAATTTAAGTATATATATATATACTTAAATATAATTATATATATATATATATATATATATATATATATAGGCTTAAATATAATTATATATATATATATATATATATAGGCTTGATCATGAAAGATATCTAATAGATAATTCTTGGCGCTGGACGCAGTCCCGCTTAGAATCAAACTTTAAGTTTACAAAGGAAAATGGTGAAAGAACAAAAAATAATCCTGGCAACGAAAAGTAATTTCGATCGATATTTTATATTCGAATAAAAACTCTTAACTGTACGAATCCTTTAGAGTTCACAAGCCCTACCCTCTCTATAAACACAAAAATTATATATATCTTTTATATAAAATTTCCGTTTATATTCTTGTTTATCTGTTCGAAGCTCTCGATGCTTTTGTTGTATCACGTAGAGACGAATTCCTGTGCAAAATGTTGCGTGATAACAGACAGGCCCTTTTGTCGTACGCTCACTGTAATGACACACAAGGAAACGAGAACTTAGCTATAGAGATCGTCATCTCCATCCTCTTGAAAGGCTTGATCGCCTTGTGTGGTATCCTGAGTACCGCCTGCGCCACTCTGTGGAAATCTGCAAACAGTTTTCACGATGTCACACAATGTATACGCGCGAGATCCTTCATTTGCGAAAACTGTACTTATATATTACATCTTGTACGACACCGCCGAGAGACAGTATCCAATCATCGCAAACGTATCAGAGTTCGAAAGAAAGCAGTACCTGAAATTAGTCCCGAATCCTCGAGACTGCTGAAGCGTTTGCGCAAACATCTCGTATTTGCGAATGTCGTTATCGGATACTGAACGACGCGCGAACCTCATCGCCTCTTCAAAATGAGCTCGTGTTATTTCGGGTACCGGATCATCTTCGTCCATCTAGAATAAGCAAGGAATATAAATTTTAGAATTTAGAAAAGTTATATATATATATATATATATTGTGTGTGTGTGTGTGTGTGTGTGTGTGTGTGTGTGTGTGTGTGTGTGTGTGTGTGTGTGTGTGTGTGTGTGTATACATGCACTATACGCAATATATACACATATGTCACGATAGTGTCATATTTTGATCTTCGAATGTATTTATTTTTGACTTCTACTGATTAATGTAACTATACATGCATCAGTTAGCAACATTGTCGGTAGCCGCAAATATTATTGCGCGAGCGACTTTGTAGGGAAGCTTTTTTTCCTTGCTGTTGGAAAACATTGTATTTATATGATGCGTCATGAGAAATATATGAATAAAGTTATAACATATTAAAAAGTTCTCTCAGTAATCAGTCTTGCATTTTTATTAGTTGACCGCGGATAATATCGTGAGCATGTTCCTCGAATATTGAGTCAGAGATGAGTCATGGCGAATGACGCAGCAAACAAGTCGATCAGTGCCTTTGTAATTGCGGCCGAAAATGTTAGTCAACATCGTGAAATCGAATAGTGAAAGAATATTTCACACAACACTCACGTCCATGGATGCGGATGGATTACTCGCCCGTTCTTTTTCCCTACGAATTTCTGTCTCAATACACTGTCTAATAGCAAGCTTGCATGCACGCTGACAAATCTCCGTTAGATCGGCACCGGAGAAACCATGTGTGACTTTGGCTATGTAGCTTAAGTCTACGTCCTGCAAAGAGAAATATTCTTCTAAGTAAACAAAAATAATCATTACAGAAGAAAAAATAATTTTCGTTTTCGTATCGAAACATCTGAAATATGATGATTCAGAAATAGGCAGATAATGTCAGTTTACGCAAACTCTCATTTTCTAGGCTGTTAACGTCTTTTTTTTTCTTTGATTTACTCTTAACGGAATATTACCTTAGCTACTGGCGATTTGCGGAGATTGGCGCGGAAAATCGCCTCCCGGGACTTCTCGTCTGGCAGCGGTATGTAAATCAATTGATCTAATCTACCGGGTCGTAAAATAGCTGGATCGATGATGTCGGGACGATTGGTTGCTCCTATGATGAACACATTCTTCTTCGCTCCCATACCGTCCATTTCTGTCAAAATCTGATTTATCACACGGTCTGCCGCTCCGCCAGCGTCGCCGACGGTACCTCCTCGAGACTTTGCGATTGAATCCAGTTCGTCGAAGAACAATACACATGGTGCTGCTGATCTTGCCTAGAATAATATAACGTGTTAATACTAAACAATAATCATCGTTTATAATTTTCTACAAAAAGAGAACGCATGTGAGAGCGAGTTTACCTTGTCAAAAACGTCTCTGACGTTAGCTTCCGACTCCCCAAACCACATAGTTAACAGTTCGGGGCCTTTGACAGAAATGAAATTCGCTTGACACTCGTTGGCAATAGCTTTGGCCAACAGTGTCTTACCACAACCAGGTGGGCCATAAAATAACACGCCTCTTGATGGTTGCATGCCGAATTTCAAGAACTTATCTGGATGCTCAACTGGATACTGCACAACGAAGAAAAGCGCGTTAAATATCTCAATGTTTGAAACCAACGACATGAAAATTTCACTCGTTGTTTTCACTCTTACCTGCACCAATTCTTGCAACTCCATCTTGACGTTTTGCAAGCCTCCGATGTCGTCCCAAGTAACCGTTGGTACTTCCACGATTGTTTCGCGTAGAGCGCTTGGGCTGCTCTTCGTCATCGCATACTTTGACAGAGAGAACATAGTTAGAACAAAGTTTGGTGAAAGATTCTACATGTCAATGTAATGGTCGAACTGTAGAGCTCACCTTGAAGTTCTCCATAGTCACGGCAAGCGAAGACAGAACCTCCGCGTCTATATGATCGTCTTCCAAATCAATAAGATCCATTTTTTCGCGAATCTGTTGCAATGCCGCCTCCGAACATAAAGATGCTAAATCGGCTCCGACGTGTCCGTGAGTCTCTGCTGCAATCTATAACATATTTTTTTAAGTAATATTGCCTACCGACACAGAACTTATTTGATCTTCATCCTTTGGAGACAATATGAAAATATGGATGGCGATCCTTGCCTCTTCCAATTCAACGTCATCGGCGAGCTTCATGTTCTTCGTGTGAATTCGCAAAATTTCCAGTCGACCGGTGGCGTCCGGTATACCGATATCAATTTCTCTATCGAAACGTCCGAAACGACGCAATGCCCCATCAATGCTATTAGGTCGATTAGTGGCTGCCATTACAATTACGTGAGAACTCTGTTTCATCCCATCCATCAGCGTCAACAGTTGCGACACTATACGTCTTTCGACCTCGCCATGCGTCTAAATAAAAAAAGAAGGAAAAAACGAAAATAAAAATAAAACTTTCGAAGTGATATGCCATTACATGTGCAACTCGTGCAGTTTGACGAACCTTCTCACGTTTCGGCGCGATAGCATCAAGTTCGTCAATAAATATAATAGCTGGCGAATTTTTCTCAGCCTCCTCAAATGCCTTTCGCAAATTACTTTCGGACTCACCGGCCAGCTTGCTCATAATTTCAGGACCTAAACGAGAAGAGATCTTTTGTATTCTTGCACTTGCTCATTTATATGTTAAATTTCTCAACTATATTTATTCTGAAAATAATCAGCATCTACAAGGAGGAAAAAGTACCGTTTATAAGGAAGAAAAATGCGCCGGTTTCATTCGCTACGGCACGAGCAATGAGAGTTTTTCCAGTTCCTGGTGGCCCATACAACAATATACCGCGCGGTGGCTTAACACCGATTGCTTTGAACAAAGATGGATGTCGCAAAGGAAGCTCCACCATTTCCTTGATTTGTGCTAATTGCTTCCGGACGCCGCCAATATCGTCGTAACCCACAGCGTTTAGAGCTTCTTCTTCCTCCTGAAAAATCATGATACGCATTCTTAATTCTTTGCGATACCGAGAATACTAAGAGTACTCCATGTTTGTTTATACTTACTTCTCGTTTAATTGGATCACCTTCGCAATGTATAACTGTATCTGGTGCTACGATACAGAAAGGCCCTGGATCAGTCTCCACCACCTTGAATTCCACAGCTCGCATTCCTCCTCGCACGATGAAATTATCATCTTTATGAATAGGACGATACGCCTCCAAGAAATATGGTTTTAGATATACCTCAAATAGGTTTCTACAAGTTAAAAGCATATGTATATGCATCATGTATGTGGTTAAATATAGTTTGCTTGTTTGCAAAAGTTAAAATTACACATTAATCTTAAAATATATTAAAATCTTGTCACAATTCTGAGATATCTTAAAATTAATGTTACACAAATTAACCATTACATAGATAATATTATTAAATTTACCCAGTGAGTCCATCGATTGTATCATCCATGGGCAATACATGAATACGTTTCCCATATTTCACCTCAGGACATGCCTGTACAGAGACTACATCGCTTAGACGTACACGCAAGTTATTTCTGACAACTCGATTCATACGAATCTTTTCATCTGGGCAAGTATCATCGGAAAGGACAATGCATACTGTCTCTTTACGCCTTTTTCCTTTCAGTAATACAGTATCTCCTCGAAACAGCTGTAACTCATCCATCTTTGCTTGAGAAAGAGCCACCACAGAATTGTCATCTGCAATAGCTTCATCAACCAATAGTCTGTTTGGCCTATCCTTCTTGCGAAGGATAGCAGTTGCCAAATCTTCACCACTAAAATATTAAATAATTATATACCAAGTGATCATAATATGCATATATATCTTATTCAAATTTCTCTCATTTTATATATTATATATTTTGTCTAGAGTAAAAAGATGATTATATATTAAGATATATATATATATATAAGAACAAGATTATTTTATTAAAATATTAATTTTTTGATGGTCTCTTAAAAAAACTTTATTATATAAATCTCTGAATTAATTTTTTAATAACAAATCCATTGCATACAATGTTTTCTTCTCCGAAAACATTTATATTTCTATAATTAGAAGTAGAAAAAGTCTGATGAAATATTTGACAGAATAAATGTGATATAATTATACATTCATAAGCATATATACTCTGTGAGATATATATTCTTTCAGTGTTACTATTTAGTTTGTAGAACTACTATACAGATTTTTCTATTTACTGGGATCTTCATTTTATAATTAGATGTAAACGCACAATAGCAGATTATAGATAGATACGGAGTAATCGATTAATTAATGTTTTTAAATTCATATGTAACAAATTGAAGATTATCGTCGTAAAAATATTATTCGCATCGGAAATTTTCTCATTGTACAGAGATTGCAATGCGCGAAGTCGATAGTCATCTCGATAGGATAATACGTGAGAAAACGGTGAAATTAACATGCGGTTAACATTTCTTTGTCATATTTAGTTCATCATACGGCCATGATCGGGCGACATAGGAAAATTGATAAGCGCGATTCGCATCAGTGCGAATTGCCAAGCTCGCAAGAAAGAAATCGCCGAGCGCGAGGATCCTGTAAATTTCCTAGCACAATATTGTACATGGTACATCTATCAGTGAGCGAGCAGATCTTTCGAAAACAAAGCGTCCCGTCGACATGATGACATCGTGAAATTGAGACTCAACGACTGTCGCGCATCGTTTATTAGTACGCTTGATGTTATTGCGAGCCGCGCAAAGGACACGACGCCATGAAAATCACCGTAGGTAGGCTGTCTCGTTGAGTTATTTCAGGTCTTCACTTACCTCTTCGGATCACTCATCGTCAGACTCGATTATTCTTGTTGCGAGGAAAGTACACGACGGACGCACGTTCTCTCTTCGCTCCGGTATATCTCTCGCGCACACATACACCACACACGAAAGATCTGGCGACGACGCAGTCACGGTACAGCCAATCCGACGAAAAACTTTGTATGACACGCACTGCTCTCTTCGTGGCAAGTCATAAAGTAAAGGCGCGTTCGTATGTCGCGCGCTACGTCATGCATCGATGGCGGCGGTTGGCAAATATGTGCAATTCATTCTGCTACGTTCAGCAGAGAAAGCTGCTTTGCAACTGTTATAAAACTCGTGAATCTAATTGGTACATGCTCTTGGATTCAACCAAATTTAAGAGCATATGCCAATTAGATTCACGAATTTTACAACAATTACAAAAGCCAGCGGCACACGGTACTTATTGTGTGTGCTAGATGAAAATATTGCGTTCTGATTGGTGCATTTCCATCCATCTTCGGAAATACACCAATCAGAACGCAGTATTTTCATCCAGCAAGCAATCCAGCACGAAAGCACCGTGTGCCGTTGGTTTTAAGGGCCAATTGTTCCAACTTCGTGGTAAGTTAACTGATAGTTAAATCATATCTCTGTTTTTGTCTAAATTGAAGGAAAAACGAAGACAAACATATGATTTAACTATCAGTTAACTTACCAAGAAGTTGGAACAACCGGCCCTTAAGCAGCTTTTTCTGCCGACCACAAGCAATGAACGGTCAGCGAATTTGATCGGATGGATAAAAGAATCCACCAATTGGACGCAGAATATGGCTCCGTCTGAACGATTGTTCTTTCGAAAACGAAGGCCATGTTCCGATATTCACTGCCAATATTGAAAATATATAGTCTGTGTCATGTAAACTTTAATAAATTTTCAGCGCGGGCTGAATATCGGAACGCAGCCGAAATATCACTCGAATAAAGCCAGCGGCACACAGTGCTTGTTTTCGTGCTGGATTGCTTGCTGGATGAAAATATTGCGTTGTGATTGGTACATTTCCGAAGATGGATGGAAATGCACCAATCAGAAGGCAGTATTTTCATCCAGCAAGCAATCCAGCACGAAAACAAGCACCGTGTGCCGCTGGCTTTAAAAAGCATCACGCTAGCCAATTACGCAGGGTTACGTGTAGTATTATCAAACGCGATGAGTCACGAAGAATGAATATCTAGAAACGGCATGTTCGATCCGAAAATAGCCGCTTGCAGAAGCGAGGGCGTTGCGACCCGCTGTGTCGACTACGTCACGCGTAGTCCTCCGTAGAGTGAGAATTAATAAACATATACACTTGTCAAATCGATCTGAGATGGCCGGGATTAAAGGTTACTCGACGCATTGTTAATCATGTAATGTGCGACTGGTTGTCACACAAATTATCAAAAAATGTCATCGTCGCGAGGGCTTGACATTGAAAGCGCAAAATCAACTATCAAAACATAACCTCACGGTCCTTCCGGTTGTCATTGTTTGACACTTCACGAGCGCATCTTGCGTAGCCTAAGTTTCGTAACATGATTTAATTTAAAAAGAATTCGTGCTTTTCCTCATGCCTATCAACGAGTCCGCTGATTAATTTCTTAAGGATACTTGTAATCTTATCCAATAATTCAAATCAAGAGAAGTGTAGTTAACGAGTAGTGATGAGGCGTCAGGTAGATTTACATACTTCTCTTTTAAATTTGCTCGTTTTTAAAACCGCGATCGTTCATTGTTACACGATAATTGGCAGACTTGCCGATAGAAACATTTGAAATTTAAAGGTAGACAACTAACCAGTTGTACATTATTGAACTATAATGTATACATATAGGTGTAGTTGTGTGCACAAAATGTTTAATATATGGATATTAATTATGTTTTTCTTATTTTTCATGATGTTCACTTTTCACGATGTTTATCTTCGGAGTAGCGTAAGTACTTTTATAAACACATAATTACGAAGTGATATCCAAAATTTTCTGGATTAATGCTGTAAAAATCATGAAACTTATCATAAAGCTTATTGGCCGCCGTCACTTTCAAAGTAGTTTTCTTTTGCATATAGACACTGCGATTCCACAGTCTGTCCATTTTTCGAACGCTTGTTAGAAGTCCTTTTCTGTCCAAGTATCAAGCATTTTCTGCGATTCAGTCTGGATTTCTTCAATAGTCTCAAACTAGTGTCCCGCAAAAAAGTATAAAACAGGATGTTGTTATGGTGAAACAGCCAGATTTGTTCGCGCCAAAATTCGGGGCGACATTTTCACACGTTTTTATGCAGTTTTCATTAAACTTTTCATAAAAGTTTCCATAAAACGTCGCGATAGAATTTCGAATTCACAGTTTGGCTTCGGACAAATTTTGTGTGCACAATTCCCTTTAACTATTGAGAAGATCTAGGCCAAATCACAGTGAGCGTTTGACATTCTAATAGAAAAGGACTTTTAGCAAATGTCCAAAAAATGGAGGAGGCAATGGAATTGGTGTCTATATGTAGGAGAATGATGACAATCAATAGACTTTATGATGAATTTTATGATTTTTACAGCATCAGTCCAGAAAGTTTTGGATACTACTTTGTATATATAAAATATTTCTTCTTAAAATTTATAACAAATACCTTGACTGCAGTTTCTTATTATTTGATAAAAAGGAATTCTTACCCAATAATAATATAAATATGGTCATTGCAGATTAGTACTATTAGCATTTGCTGGTTCCATTGGAATGACATTTGTCATTCTTGGCTGTGCGTTACCAGGATATGAGTGAGTATATATTCATATATAATTAATCTATTTTAAGCATGTAATTCTGTTATATTGGAACTCCTGTATCTTGTAGAGTATGGTGGCCATTTTTTGTTGTATTGTTCTATATATTGGCACCTATTCCAACTATAATAGCACGCCGTTACACTGATGATTCAGGCAGCAACAGTAATCCATATCTGGAATTTGCAATATTTATTACCATGGGATTTGTTGTATCATCTTTTGCGCTTCCTATTGTATTAGCGCGATCTCCAGCAGATAAAGCAGTGGTATGTCATTTAATCACCCCTTATATAATTTATGGAAAAGGATATTAATCAAATGAAATTGTATTTGTGCAGATACAATGGGGAGCTTGCTATTTGACATTAGCAGGTAATATTGTTGTATATTCAACTCTAGTCGGATTTTTCATAACTTTTGATCAAGATGATACTGATTACAATATGTGGTGAAGCATTGCTACATTGTACTTATCTATCATAAAAATGTAAGTAATATATAAGTTAATTTATTTTGAAAAATATAACCTAACTATATATGAGAGATTATTGAAAATAATGTGACACACATTAGTTATTAAAGTAATTTATTCTCAAAGCAAATAGCTTACCAACAAAAAAGATGAAAATAAATAATTTGTCACCAATACACTTTTTATTGCGATAGGTTATAATATGTGATATCATTTCAGGGTTTTTTATGAGATTAAGGGACAAAATCGATCATGTGGTTCACTGACTGAGCGCTACGTGTTAATTCTAAATTGCTATGAACCTATTGTAAACTGTTTACATAATATAAATCTTTACATGGATATTCTACTACATAGTTGATATTCATGTCATAAGAAAAAAAATAGTATTATAGTGCACTAACTATAAATAAGAATTTAATGACGTCATAGCGCCGTAAAATATATGGGTGATGATTGACGATAAAACTATCGTCGAATTCCACACGCATTGTTACAAAAAAGAAAAGCAACAAAAAACATTCTTGATGTTTGTAGTTTTTTTTCAAAAATATTTCAGGCTAATACCTGAAGCGCAACAATGCAAAGATGATGTTAAAAACATTTTTTTATTTAATCTAAGTCTTTCGTATTAATATAAATACAATAAAGCTACAATTTATTACTTTATGTTATTCTTTTTCAATTGTCTTTGAAAACTAATAAGGAATATTCCTTTCTATTTTTCCTATTTTTATTTCCAATTATATATATTACACACACACACACACAGACATGTATATAAGTTACAAGGAGTTACACAGATATAAAATAACGCTTGTAATACTCAGGAATAAGTGTATATTTCTACCGAAGTGATATTTCTCTTTTGACAGATTGTTTTCACATACCTTATCCTTTTATTTTCCCTGACATCGTGTTTTTTTCGCCATTATCATGTGTTTTCGTTCTTACATGTTTAAAATAATTGAAACAAGCGTTATCTCAAAGCTGGAGGTAATGCATTTAAATAATGTATATTTAATTAGTATTATCTGCTAATCTTTTGAGCATTTTACATTCATGTGGTCAATATCATAAAATTTACACGAAGAAATAAAGAATTTATCTCATATTGTTCGAATATGTGTACGATATAAATCAGAATTCTTGGGCATGGTCAGAAACTGAATTTGACTCAAATCTTGCCTAAATTCATGTTTTATCGTCGTATCGATATCCGAAGCGCGAAAATTTTCAATTTTGTATTCCGACATGCGCACATAGAAAACTAAATCATATTTAAATTAATTTCTTTAATCATATCTGTGAGATAAAATTTTCAAAATAATCTTAATAATTAATTCCATTTACTATATTTTTTATATTCGTAAGACAGATTTATAGCACGAAGCTATATTCAAAAGATTAGCATATGTAAAAATTAGGTTAGAACTTGTTGAGGTGTTTTATGGTGATGCTGCAAGTTGTTTTACCGCGCTGACAGCATTTTATTTACTTTAAAATATACTATACTTATCAAAAGGAATTATTATTTGCTTCACATTTTAATTGTTATTGTTAATTTTGATAAAAAGTTATATTTAGATTTATACTGAAATCGGAATTACTCACTGACGACGTCATCGATCATAAAGACATAGAATTTTTTTAAGTCAACTCTAACAAAAAGTGGAACGATGTGTGTAAATAAGAATTTGTTTTTATCATTATATTTCAACATTATTCAAAATTAAATTGTATTGTATTGAGTACATGCATTGGAATATCAATTAATATAGGACATCTCAGGATCATCCTGATCGCATCCAAAATACCTGGAGAATGCTCTAGGATATCCTAAGCATTCAGAATGATCTCAGGACATTGTGTACTGTCAAGAATATACAGGCTCAAAATTTATAATGTAAGTCTTTGTTTCTACCAGATCAGCATATAGATAACATTTTATCTAGAGATACATCTATATCGTATCCTACAGATTGTGATATAAAAATCTGGTATCTGACATTTACTTTCATCGTTCATAAAGAGAATGATCACTGCTGATCAATAGCCACAATTTTCTAATAAAGAACTACATTTTGGCAAGAGAAGTAAGTATCTTTTATAAAATATGTGTAAGATTTTTTATCACATAATACATTTATGATTTCTTTTTAAGATAGAATTTAAATAAGAATCATATAGTTACATCAAAATGTCTTCTATAATTGACGAAACAAATCCTTATATACCTACTGATCAGTATATTCAGATGGAACAGTTATTGCCAACCAGATTTGGAAGTAAGTATATTTTTAAAGTTTTTTAAATCTTTGAATTTTTGTAGAATTGCCAATATACAGATTTATATAAGAAAGGAATTATATTTTTATAGGAGAAAATGAAGAATACACATCACATGATCTAACTTCTATTATTCCATATGCTACTTTAAGAATGCGCAATATTACTCAATTATCTGATGAAGAGTGTGCTAATGCAATTGCCAATCACTTGCAATCCAGTAATAAATTTATGCAGGATGATCCTGCATCAAAACGTTTTAGGATGGAAACATTAAGGGCAATTCCACAATGTCTTAGTGTAAAAAGATCAGTTAAGTCTCAATTATTAGCAACTGCTCAAAGAACAAAGGAAAAACCAATTAGTTATTGGAAATGGCTAAGATACAACATTAGTTTGAAGTTTAGGAAGGTAATATTGACATTGCTGATTTTGTGTTTCTTAAATTATGTATGAAACATTCATCACTATATATTAAACATACTAATGAATAAATATATTAAATATAGATTCGGATGGCAGCACAGAACTCATTGCAGACAATGAAGTTGTGGCATCAAACAATTAAAGCCATTGAGAGTCGCAATGGAAGTGGTATAGCAACATACTTTAAATTTCTGAGATGGTTATTGTTTCTTAATATAATTTCCTGCATTTTGAGGTAAGTATATTCCTTCATCTTCAGTTATATTGCACTGGAAGTAATATTTGACTGATAAAAAAATAATATTTTGTATACATTATTGTATTAAATCAAACAAACAAAATTTTAATAGATGTTTTATAATCGTAGTGTATCCTTCATTGTGATTCCACAATCACTGAGTCAAACACATGTGCCAAGTGATATTAAGATAATGGACTTTTTAACAGGCAGTGTAAGAGAAAAATATTATAGTAAAATATTGAATATTTAATCACAGTATCTTAAATGATGAGATACGTCACAATATTTCTTGATTTGCAGGGCTTTTTCTTTCGCACAATTATGTACTATGGTTTCTATTCCAATGACACAGTAGACACACCATTTGGTACCAAATATAGCATTCCATATGCCTACTTCCTGACCTTGTTTTTTTGCTACACGCTTACGTTTATTATACTTTCCGTCAAGTATGCTATAAAATTATATTATTGAGCAATACAAGTCTTAAATATCACTTCGTAACTTGTAAATAAAAATTTTAATTCTTTTCAGAGTGATATCATCATATAGAAAGTGTTACGTCGAAACACGTGGAAAAATGCATGATCTGTATAGCAGCAAGATATTTTGTGGCTGGGACTACAATATATCTTCGCCGAAAATCGCCGCTATAGAATCAGCATCTATCTATAAGGAACTGGAAGAGTTGTTAGCTGAAAAGAAACAAGAAGTGCCTTTACATTGGTTCGCTAAATGCTCATTAATTGTGATGCAACTTGCTGTAACAGCTATCGTCTTATTTATGATTTGCGGCATTGGTGCACTCGTGTGGAAACTATTAGATCATTACGATATAGGAACATCTGGATCCATCTCGGTGATGATTGTACCAATAGTCATTACTATTATCATTCACATTTTCCCTGCAATTATTTCCTATTTAGTGAGTATCTAAGTTCTCATATTTATCGACAAAGAAATATATTTAAGTAAATTCCTACAGTTGTACATACATTTGCACATTAAGAAGATGATTCATTATAATATAAATTAAATAATATTAATGTTTTTAAGGCATTATTGGAACGTTACAACAATAAGCGCACGGAACTTTACATAACGGTGGTCAGAAATCACGCGGTTGCTGCAACAATCTTCGGTATTCTATTCGCCTTTTGGATAATTAACAGTACATCAGATTGTTGGCAAACGGACTTTGGAAGCGAGATTTATCGACTCATTATACTGGACTTCATCGCTTCCGTGTTTGGAGCGTGTTTGCAGTTTGCACGAGCCATTTTATACAAGAGGTTCTCCACGAAAATCGGCAGGCCAGAATTTGACATCGCTCGTAGTACATCAAATCTGATATACAATCAGACGCTTTTCTGGATGGGCTTTTACTTCAGTCCATTGATTTCTTTAATAATTGTGATAAAAATGATTGTTATATTTTATATAAAGAAATACGAGCTGGAAAGATGTTACCAACGGCCGTCCCAGCCTTGGCGAGCAGCACAAACACAAACGTTGTTCCTAGCGCTCGCGTTTCTCGGCATTATCGGCGTGTTGCTCACGATAGGATATATTATTTCGAATGTGGAAAGTAATGACTGCGGACCGTTCAGAAACCACTCTTATACTTGGGATTTCATTGTCGATGGAATGTTATCGTTAAAGAGGGATAGCAGATTTTGGAGCGTCGTCTCCGAACTCGCAAGACCTGCAACTGGCGCTGCTATCTTAATTGGCATGTGGTGAATATCTTTTATGAATATATGCATGTATAATTATACGATATATTTATTTATTAAGAATTTTGATGAAGCGTTGCGGTCTATTGTTTACGAGCAAAAGTGAAAGCTAGCAAGGAAATGTTGCAAATTCTGTCTGAAATGTGTCTTCTGCAGTCTCAAGATAAGCAGTTCCTCATAAAAAGTTTCGCTAATTTGGCTAACAAAGGTAAGTCATGTTTTGCTATCGAATTATAAATCTATACAATTATTGATAATAGTTCATTATTTTCCAGGCTCTCGTTCTGTGACAAGCGACTCTACTCACAGCGGGATTAATTTTATCCGACATGTTAGATTTACCAAGCGAAACCAAGGAGATGAAAGAATCTCGCTTTCTCGCCGACGTAATTTGCCATCGACCAGTTCCGAGAAAAAATGATTATATAGAATAGTATATACTAGTTTGGAGGCATACCGACAAGATACGTATTAGAAATGTCAGAGAATACTCCTATATAATTAAAAGTATTATTGTTACTATGATTTGCCAAAGCTTAAAAATTTAAGACTATTATACCAGGTATGTAAATATGAAACCGGAATTTTTGTATAGAAAATACACAGTTTATTGTATGAAAATGATAAAAAATATTTTATTCGAAGTATTGCCCATCGCTAGCTATACATTTTTTCCACCTGTCTGACAATTTGTGGATGCCATGCCAAAAAAACTGTTGCTCTTTTGAGGCAAACCAGTCATCGAGCCATTTTCGTACATTTTCGTAAGAAGTGAAGCACTGCTCAGCAAGTGCGTGTCCCATCGATGCAAATAAGTAGTAATTGGACGGAGCCAAGTCTGGTGAGTAAGTCGCATGCGAAAGTATTTCCCAGCTAAACGCCTCAATCGTTTTCTTGACCAGTTTTGCTGTGTGTGATGGTGCGTTATCATGAAGCAAAATCACTTTGTGTTGCCTTTTTTGATATTCTGGTCGTTTTTCACGCAAAGCTTGATTCAAATCGATTATTTGTTGTCGGTAACGTTCAGTATTAACGGTTTCGCCAGGTTTTAGCAGCTCATAATAGATCACACCCTTCTGATCCCACCAAACACAGAGCATTGTCTTCCGTCCATAGCAATTTGGCCTTGCAGTCGATGTTGATGGTTCGCCTGGAGTTACCCATGATCTTTTACACTTAGGATTCTCAAAATATATCCACTTTATATCGCCAGTCACAATTCGATGGAGAAATGACTTTCTTTTGTACCTGGCGAGCAGCATTTCGCAAGTGGTTTTTCGGTTTTCCTGCTGTCTTTCATTCAGTTCATGTGGAACCCATTTTCCCATCTTCTGAATCTTTCCCATGGCTTTCAAACGTATGGAGACGGCTTCTCGTGCCACATTTAATTGATCCGCGAGTTGTTCTTGCGTTTGAGCGTCATCCTCATCCAACAATGCTTGCAATTCACTGTCTTCAAACTTTTTCGGTGGTCTTCCACGTTCTTCATTTCTCACGTCAAAATCGCCACGTTTGAATTTTTTAAACCATTCAAAACACTGTGATTTACCAAGAGCATGCTCACCGTAAGCTTCGACAAGCATTCGATGCGATTCTGCAGCAGTTTCTTTCAAATGGTAACAGAAAATCAATGCTGTCCGCAAATCGTAGCTGCCAGGCACAAAATTCGACATGTTCAATGCTCTTACAAACTATGCTGTTGTATGAAACTTGTATTGTTGTGAGTTGAAAATCTTTGTCAGATGTCAATAAATGGAAATGGCGCCAATGATGCGGTAACTACATTGACAGCTAGGGCCATCTATGGGCAAATTTCGGTTTCATATTTACAGACCAGTGGTGCGATTCTGTAACTCGTTATTGGAGTTAACGACAGTTTCGTTATCGTTGCGCAGCTTTTCTACGGTATACAAAAGCTGCGCAACGATAACGAAAATGTCGTTAACTCCAATAAAGAGTTACAGAATCGCACCACAGGGTACCTATTATGGAACTCGTCGGAATCGATTCCGATCGGAATAACTCCGTTTCCCCTAGAAAAAACAATAGAAATCTAGGAAATAACGGAATAAATTCGATCGGAATCGATTCCGACGAGTTCCATTAATATATGAAACACGTACTCTTTATATTCTAATATGAAGAATATAGATATATGTGTGTAAATTTACAAGTTTATAGCTTTCTCTCTCTGTCGTCATAGTTACGTGTTATATATACGTGTAATACGTCAGGTTTGGTCTACAGTTTGAGCTAAGATACATCATCGTCGATACACTTGTAGTTACTTGACAGTTTGGATTTAATTATTGCACATCAACATAAATCAACAGAAAAGTTTTCTAGCTTCTAGCTAAAGGAAATAAAAATAAAAACTACAAGATATTTTTTCTTTGGATATTTACCGATAATCAGGGAAAATATATATTGAACAGTTAACACATTAATATTTTCTATATTTTCAACGAATTGTAGTTTGGATAACAAGCATGACTGAAAAGAAAAAATACGGAACCTCAACTAAAGTAAATGAAACAGTAGTAAAATATACCGAGTATTCGTCGTTGAAAATGGCTAAAACTTTACTTGAGACGCAACTTACAAAGGAACAGAATTTACTACAAGAAGTCTCAACAACAATAGCTCCGTGTAAATATCAGCGGTGGAATCCTTTCGGTACTAGCGACGGTGCATTAACAAATCCGCCTCGCGAATTGGTCGAACGACAAAAAGAAGAAGCCGAACGTAGAGCTATCATTGCAGCCAAGAAGAAACGTGACTCTTTGCCTGAAAATATAGTGAACTTGAAAGACTTAGCGAACGGCACGTGGTTAAAAAAGAGTCAAAAGGCGAGAGCATTGAAAAGGAAAGAGTTATCCGCTCAGATCAAAAAGAAGAGGATAACAACAGACCGGAAGGTAATCAAAAACATTGCAATAATATGGTATAATTTTCATTTTGTGATAGTTAATGTAAATAATTCATAGAGTAATTCATGGTCAGATTAACATGATAAACGTGATTACAACGTAATTAAAATTTTCGAATAATTACAGCATATATATTCTCACAGACTAATATCACATATTGCAGATCGTACGTTACGTCGAAGCAGAAATTCCGAGATCCGTGGAAGAACAATTAGCTGAATGGATGACAATAGTTGAAGAAGAACAGAGACGAATAGTTAAGCCTGAAGATGTTGCCAAAGTCCTTTATCTCAAGGATCGCTACATAAGCGATGACCATTTACAACCGTATGATTATACTAATATCGAGGCAGCAAGAAAGCGTATCACTGCTAAATTGCGGGAACGTGAAGAGTAAGTTAACATTTTATATAGTCAATTTTGCAAAAATATTCTTCAGAATTGAGTTTAGACTAATTACGTGACGTATTTGACGATTGCGATTATCTAGTCGATTGCGATTAATTTATAAGGGGCTTTTATTAATTGGTAGGATGTGCATTACAGCTTCGATGAGATAATGATTGAACTGGAACCGGAAATAATAAACAACTATAAGCAAGGTCTGCGTTCCGCGATAGTGGATTATATTCTTATGGACCCCGATGAACGGAAACGTTTGTCTATTGAAACGCTGCCTATCGAATTTCCTCTTCTTTGCATTCGCGCGCCAGTACCTTGGCATCAGTCCAAGATCACAGCCGATCACTTGATGCGACATGATCTCTTCATCAACAATGAAATATTAAGGGACATCCGCGACTTATGGTTTTTAAAGTAAGATTGTACGATCAATGAATACGAATGATTATCAATTGATGAATGATTGTTATGACTTTAAATATCTGAATCTACATATAATTTTTGCCTTAGGTATCGTGAGATGAGAATAATTCGTATGCAAGATTTCGGCACATTTCCTGTGCCAGCTGCGGAAATTGAGCCGAGATTAAACGCCTTGTGTGTTGCCGCTACTAACTTTTTCGTTAAAGAGTGGCTAGCCGACGTGGCGGAAATATTTTTTGAGAAAAAGTACGCTTGGTCGCAGTACTTCGAGATGCATCCCAACGCATCCACCGGTTGGATAGAGAAATACTTTCGTAGTGTTAATTCTCTTTTGTCGAAGCAATTACGAATCATGATAATGGAAACGTTGGAAGACGTGAGAAGTTTCTTCATGCGCTACAAAGCCGGCAACGAGTTCGAAGGAGATTATAAGGATCTCATGTTTCTCGAGTAAGAATTGACACGTTTTTTTTTTCTTTTCTAGGTCAAATTTCTAGAGAAAATTTGTAATTAATTTTATTATACTAAAGTTTCTCAGAACAAATAGTGCGTTATTGCATTAGACTCTTCGATTTTATATTATGTTTAATTCTATACATATCAGCGGAACAATACAACAAGGATGACATCAATAGAAAACAGTACGAATTACATTGTAGAACTCCTTTCATAACAGTGAAAGTGGAACCAGAACTCGGCACGACAGATTTGCACTGCAGACCGAACATCTTTGAATTGCACACCATTATCTCGCGATGTTTCGATAAGATCCTCAAAATGGGCACCACGATTCCTAAAATCGAGATTATTTTATTCCCGGAACTGGATCATATTGGATATCTGTTTTCTATTTCGAGATATGAAGACACGGTAAAAAAAAAGTAGCCACTTAAGCAGTGTTAAGTAAGCTGTTCGATAAATTAAACTAGCGTTTTTCACGTTGTCGCAGGTACTGAGGATAATTAGCGATGTATTAGACGTGATCATTAAGCATATGAATGGTCCCAATAGTTATCTCAAGTGTTACGAGAACCTGCTGTACATCACGAGTGGCGTAGCCAACGAGAGACTAGACCACTTCTTCTCACTCGAGCCGACACCGCTGTTGCGAGAATTCGAGCAACAGATAAAAGCGTACGATGCTGTGCGAGAAGAGATTTCTATGTTTCGATTTAAAGTAAGTTGATCATTAAGTTTCGAATTAAAATGGTTCACGCAATAGAAACGAATAATTCTTCGCAAACTTTGTTATTTAACTAAATATAATTTATAAAAATATTACAGTCTTCTCTGCGAAAGAGTGTTACTTGTCCTTTTGTCCTTGTACATCGTGATTGCGTTTCAAGTTGCAATCATATATACAGATATGAATAAAATAATTTGAATAATATTTTCTTAATACAGATTCCGCTAAACATGATCGAGATAGATTGCAGCATCGTAAACGATACGATGAAGCAGGTGCTGCAAACGCTTCGAGGTAGAATATGTGATTTCTTCGCGGACGAGCTGCGGTCCAACAATCGCGATTTGTGTTCCAACTTCGACGAGATCGCGGAGAAGATCTCGAGGATGCCGGAAACGACGCAGGATGTCGTCGAGTTGTATAATTATTTGTGCGAGAGCCGCGACACGACAATGTTCAATCTGAAGAGACGTTTAGCCCGCTCGATCGAACTGATACTATTCCTCTTCGATTACCAGCCGTCTTCGGACGAGGACATCCACTTGAACGCGCGTACCATCACCTGGCCGAAGGAAATGGACACCGTGATGGAATTGGCAAGCAAAAGATTGCTCATGAGAAGGGACTTCTCAGAGTCGGCGCTTCGCACGCGACGCGACAATTTCGATAAGAAGATAATCGCGCTGCAACAGGTCATCGATCAGTTCAAGCGGAAGGATCCACCGGTTCTCACGATGGAGGAGATGGAGCAGGCCGTGGAAGAGATCGAGCAAATCTTCAAGACCATGGCGGAGATTCGCAAAGAGGCCGAGGAGATTAATATGGAGGAGGGACTGTTAGATATGGAATTGAGCCCGTACCTGGAGCTACCGACGATGTCTTCCACAGTGGATATCTTTGACAGGCTTTGGCATATTGCTCTGGGCTTCCATCAGAACTATGATCTGTGGTACTACGGATCGTTCTTGGGTCTAGACGCCGAGAAAGTACGCGAGGAGACCGACGAGACGTGGCGAACGCTTTACAAAATGTCACGCATGCTTGCGGACGTGCCAGGTGCGAGACGCGTTGCGGAAATGGTACGCGGCAAGGTGGAGAAGTTCCAGCAGTTCATTCCGGTGCTGCAAATCATCTGCACGCCGGGTCTGCAAGCACGGCACTGGCAAGCTATTAGTGAGATTGTTGAAGTATCGATAATGCCGACGGACACCACCACTCTGTCGGACATGATCGAATATGGCTTGACCGTGCATGTCGGCAAATTGGAGGAAATCTCCTCTTCGGCCACCAAGGAATACGCTCTGCAGAGAAGCTTGTATAAGATGAAAGAGGAATGGAAGGATGTATACTTCGACTTGATGCCATACCGTGAAACCGGGGTGTTCATATTGACGGCCGTGGACGACATACAGACGTTGCTGGACGATCACGTGCTCAAAGCTCAAACTATGAGGAGTTCGCCTTTCGTCAAGGCGTTCGAGCGGGAGATGCAACAGTGGGAAGAAAAATTAATAGCGATGCAGGACATCATCGATCAGTGGTTACTTTGTCAGGCTACGTGGATGTACCTGGAGCCGATATTCAGCAGCGAGGACATCATGCGGCAGATGCCGTCCGAGGCGCGGGATTTTCGCAAGATCGACAAGACATGGCGGCGTATTATGGCGCATGTGGCGGACAACAAACGAGTGCTCGACGCTACCGCGTTTCCGAACATGCTGCAGGAATTCAGGACATGCAACAAGCTGCTCGAAGAGATCCAATTGGGTCTGAACGAGTACCTGGAGAAGAAACGGCTATTTTTCCCGCGACTGTTCTTCCTGTCGAACGACGAACTCCTGGAAATCCTGTCCGAGACCAAAGACCCACAGAGAGTGCAACCACATTTGCGAAAGTGTTTCGAGGGTATCAGCAAGCTGCGCTTCACGAAGGACGAGGAGATTATCGGTATGCTATCGGAGGAGGATGAGTATGTGCCTTTGAGCGGCAAGATCTACCCGGCCGACGCGAAAGGCATGGTGGAGAGATGGTTGAGCCAAGTGGAAGAGCTTATGGTGATCTCGATGCGCGACATCGCCGAGGACAGCATTCTCGCTTATTTTACAGCTGTGCGCGAAGAATGGGTGCTTTCCTGGCCGGGTCAGATCGTTATCTGTAGCAGTCAGGTGCATTGGACCAGCGAGGTATACGAGTCCTTTGAGGAGCAAAGCACATTGTCCTACCTGCACAAATGCAACGACCAGATACAGTACATTGTAGACCTCGTGCGCGGCAAACTGGATCGCGGCGCCAGAATCACGTTGAACGCCTTGATAGTGATAGACGTGCACGCCAGAGATGTGGTGAAGCTATTGGTCGACACGGGCGTCACAAGTCCCTTGGACTTCAACTGGATAGCGCAGCTTCGTTACTACTGGATGGACGATTGCATCACCGTCTCCATGATCACGACTGACATCATGTACGCCTTCGAATACCTTGGCAACACACCCCGCTTGGTGATCACTCCATTGACCGACCGATGCTACAGGACCCTAATGGGCGCGTTGAAACTGAATTTGGGCGGCGCACCGGAGGGACCAGCGGGTACCGGCAAGACTGAAACGTCCAAGGATCTTGCGAAAGCAGTGGCTAAGCAATGCGTGGTTTTCAACTGCTCCGAAGGCCTCAACTACAAGGCGATGGGCAAGTTTTTCAAGGGCATCGCTCAGTCCGGTGCATGGGCTTGCTTCGATGAGTTCAACAGAATCGAGTTGGAGGTGCTGTCCGTGATCGCTCAGCAAATATTGTCGATTCAGATGGCTATAAGCATGAAGCTGGAGAAGTTTATGTTCGAGGGCACTGAAGTGAAGCTGAATCCCACCTGCAACGTTATCATAACGATGAACCCGGGTTACGCAGGACGTCAGGAACTGCCGGACAATCTTAAGGTGCTTTTCCGCACGGTGGCGATGATGGTACCGGATTATGCGATGATTGGTGAGATCTCTCTGTATTCGTACGGCTTCATCGACGCCAAGAATCTCGCCCAGAAAATCGTCCACACGTACAAGCTATGTTCCGAGCAGCTGAGCTCGCAGAATCACTACGACTATGGCATGCGAGCCGTCAAGACAGTATTGATAGCTGCTGGCAACCTGAAGCTCAAGTACCCGACACACAACGAGTCTACGCTGGTTCTCCGCGCTATTGTCGACGTCAATCTGCCCAAGTTCTTGGCCCAAGATATTTACCTTTTCACCGGTATCTACACGGATCTTTTCCCGGGCGTGGATCTGCCACAACCGGACCGCGACGATCTCGTAGATCTCGTTAAGACGAATTTAGAGAAACGAAATCTACAGGCCACTCCGTGGTACATGGAGAAGATCGTGCAGATCTACGAAATGATACTGGTGCGACATGGGCTGATGCTGGTCGGCGCGGCGTTGGCTGGTAAGACGCAGGCTTACCAAGCGTTAGCCGATTCCTTGGGCGACTTGTCGACCAGACGAAAAGCCACGGTGCGAGAGTATCGTACAACGTACCGAGTAATCAATCCCAAGGCTATCCCTCTGAATCAACTGTACGGCAGCTTTGATCCGGTATCCCATGAATGGAGCGACGGCGTATTGGCCAAGACTTTCCGTGAGTTCGCGCAATCCACGTCCTTGGATCGCAAATGGATCATATTCGACGGTCCAGTGGACGCGATCTGGATTGAAAGCATGAACACTGTGTTGGACGACAACAAGAAGCTCTGTCTAATGTCGGGTGAGATTATACAGATGTCCGCCAAGATGAATATGATGTTTGAGCCGGCCGATCTCGAGCATGCCTCACCAGCCACCGTCAGCAGATGTGGCATGATCTACATGGAGCCGTCCCAGTTAGGTTGGGCGCCTATCTTTGAGTCGTACAAGAAACACTTGAAGGAGAAACTGTTGGTTGAACAGTTCGAACTCGTCGTGGACTTGGTCGAATGGCTCACCGATCCGATCTTCAGTTTCATCCAATACAATTGCAAGACGTTCGTGGCTATGTCGGAGAATCACATGTTTCTGGTAGGCGTAACGAAAAATCGAAATTATTTGATCTATATTGTTTTGATTTGTTGTTGATTTGTTTCGTTGAATTGATTTAGTTACAAAGGAGAGAAAAAGAGAGAGAGAGAGAGAGAACTTTAAAAGAAACATTTTAAATAGAGCTAGAATTAATATTAAGATACAAGAGTTTTATTTTATTCAAGTAAAATAAAATTCGAAATTACACAGATTTGAGGTAAATTTGGTTATAATTAACATCTCGTCATTGTTTTCTGCACACTTTGTTTTGTCTCAAAGAAGAAAGTTTTCTATTTTCCATTTTTGTAACTTAAAACGTTTGATTCAATGCTTTCATTTAATTAACAATTTGGCAGAAAAGTTTGTTGTACTAATCTGACGTTTCTATTGTTCAACAGTCCTTCACAAAAGTCTTCAGCATGATGTTGGCGGAGGAGACGCAAGTGAGCACGATATGGCTGCAGTGCGTATTAATCTTCAGTATGGTGTGGGGCATGTGCTCGACATTAACAAGTGACAGTAGAAAAATTTTCGATGCGTATCTGCGACAACTACTGCTCGGTAATATCGAAGAGCAACCAAAACCGAAGACGTTCAAACTGACGAAGCAGCAACTTTATCCCGACAAAGGTACAGTGTACGATTGGATCTTCGATAAGAGGAACAATGGATGTTGGATATCCTGGATGGACACTATGCAACGGGTATGAAAAGATAGAAAAGAGAGATAGAATTAAAAGAAAAAAAATAAGTTTGAGGAAAAATCTCTAAATGTCACAAATTCACAAATATAAATATAATAATTAAAATTAAAGATAAGATTAAAAAATAATAAAATTAAAAAATTAATTTGTATTTGTTGTATTCCACAGTCGACCTTGCCGGCAACGGCAAAAGCCAGCGAATTAATTATCCAGACGACAGAGATGTCCATTCAGAATTTCTTCATAAAGCAATTCCTACACAAAGCGGTGCCGATCTTGTTCGTGGGTCCAACAGGCACTGGCAAGTCTGCGATTGTACTCAACTATCTCATGTCATTGCCGAAGGAGAAGTTCCTGGACAACGTCATAAACTTCAGCGCTCGTACAAATGCGTCGCTGACGCAAGAGATGGTCATGTCGAAGTTAGACAGAAGGAGGAAAGGAGTTTATGGTCCTGCAATGGGGAAAAAGTGTGTGCTGTTCGTTGATGATTTGAGCTTACCACAAGTGGAGACCTACGGCGCCCAGCCGCCGATAGAGTTGCTGCGTCAATGGATAGATCATGGATACTGGTTCGACCCGAAGGATACGTCGATGCTGTACCTAGCGGACATTCTGATGATAGGTGCTATGATACCACCGGGCGGCGGCTCGAATGTCGTGACACCTCGATTCATTCGTCATTTACATGTGATTGGCATCGACTCTTTCGAGGAGGCCACAATGAAGAAGATCTTCTCGTCGATCCTCGACTGGCATTTTGCCAAGGGCTTCGTCACGGAGGTTTCCAGATTAAGTAAAATGATAGTGAATGCCACTATGGACGTGTTCCTCGCGGCCATTCGGAATTTCCTGCCGACACCGTCCAAGAGCCATTACACGTTCAACCTGCGCGACTTTAGCCGCGTCATTATGGGTGTGCTGCTAGTACCCGCAGCCAGAATGAAGAATTCTGACAAACTCATCAGGTTGTGGGTACATGAAGTGTACAGAGTATTCCACGACAGGCTGTTAGACGACACCGATCGTGAAATGTTGTTCAAGATAGTGCATTATACATGTTACGATCAGTTGCGTCAGCCACTGGACAAGGCGCTCAGCAGTTTCCTGAAGCAAGACGAGAAAACCATCACCAGTTCACACATTCGTGATCTCTTCTTCGGGAATTACATAGAACCTGATGCCGATCCAAAAGTATACGACGAAGTGACAGATCTGGAGGATCTCCAGGAGAAGATGGAATATTACCTGTATGAATACAATGCGGTATCGCAAACACCAATGAGCCTAGTACTGTTCAGATACGCCATCGAGCATGTGTCTCGCGTGTCCCGAGTGTTGCAGCAGGACAAAGGTCATGCACTGCTTGTCGGGATCGGCGGTTCCGGCCGTAACTCCTGCGCCCGATTAGCGACCAGTATGTGCGAGTATCTGATAAATCAGATTGAAATCACGCGAATGTACGGACCGACCGAATGGCGAGAAGATCTGAAGCGTTTGCTGTTGCGCGTCGGCTGCGACGGCAAGCCCACAGTTTTTCTCTTCAATGACCATCAAATCAAAGATGAGTCCTTCATCGAAGACATCAACATGATCCTCAACGCCGCGGATGTGCCGAACTTGTACGCGCTCGAGGAAAAAGCAGAGATCCAGGATAAGATGACGGCCATCGCGCGGGACCCGAGCGGTCGAAAGATAGAGACGACGCCGATGGCGCTTTACAATCTGTTCATCGAGAGAATCAAGAAGAATCTGCACATAATACTGACGATGTCGCCGATAGGCGATGCTTTTCGTAATCGTCTCCGGATGTTCCCATCGTTGATCAATTGTTGCACCATCGACTGGTACACGCTGTGGCCAGAGGACGCCCTCGAAAAGGTAGCCAGGGTATCATTGAAGGACCTGGACATCGGCTCTGAACTGCGAGAGCAGTGTGTGCAGATATGCAAGCAATTTCACACGAGCGTGTCCGTGACGAGCGAAGAGTACTACTTGACGTATAGCAGACGATATTATGTTACTCCCACGAGTTTCTTGCAATTGATCAAGAGTCTCTATAAATTCTACGGACAGAAGATCGATCAGATTACGCTGCAGCAAAATCGCTACGAGACTGGTCTGGAGAAACTGGACTTCGCGGCCGGTCAAGTGGCGGTTATGCAGAATGAGCTGCAAGAATTGCAGCCGAAATTGGTAGCGCAGTCGCAACTGAGCGACAAGCTGATGATCAGGATCGAGCAGGACACTGTGAACGTGGAGGCGAAGAAAGAAATCGTAGCGGCCGATGAGGCACTGGCGAACGAAGCGGCAGCTGCTGCACAAGCCATCAAGGACGACTGCGAGAGCGACTTGGCGGAAGCGACACCGGCATTGGAAGCCGCGCTAGCGGCATTAGACACTCTCAAACCGGCTGACATCACAATCGTGAAAGCGATGAAGAGCCCGCCGGCCGGTGTTCGACTGGTCATGGAGGCAGTGTGCGTGCTGAAGGGTGTGAAACCAGATAAAGTGCAAGACCCAACCACTGGTCAGATAGTGGACGACTATTGGCCCGCGTCCATTAAATTGTTGGGCGACATGAAGTTCTTGGAGAACCTGAAGAACTTCGATAAGGATAACATACCACCTGCGTACATGAAACGTATACGCGATCGGTTCATAAACGACAGAAGCTTCCAACCGGAGGCCATCAAGAAGGTCTCGGCCGCCTGTGAAGGTTTGTGCAAGTGGGTGCGTGCCATGGAGGTGTATGACCGCGTCATCAAGGTGGTCGCGCCGAAAAAAGCGATGCTAGCGGAAGCTGAGGCCGCGTTGGCCATGCAGATGGAAACGCTGAACGCCAAGAGGAATCTCCTGCAAGAGGTGTCGCAGAAGTTGCAGTCTTTAAACGACGAATTCGCCGAGTGTATGAGGGAGAAGAAGAAGCTCGAGGACCAGATAGATCACTGTACGCAGAAGCTGGAAAGAGCGGAGAAGTTGTTGGGCGGTCTCAGCGGCGAGAAGATCAGATGGAGCGAGACAGCTTCCAACCTTGGCGCGAGTCTGGGTAACGTGATCGGTGATGTTCTATTGTCATCCGGTGTGGTGGCTTATTTAGGAGCTTTCACCGTGGAGTACAGGAACAAACTAATCAACGAATGGCACACCTCTTGCGTAAGAGCGGCAATACCATGCGGTGCCAAGTTCAGCTTGATCGACATATTAGGCGAAGCGGTGGAGATCAGAAATTGGAACATTCAAGGCTTGCCGGCTGACCATTTCTCCGTGGAGAATGGAATAATCGTGAAGAATGCTGACCGATGGCCGCTCATGATCGACCCGCAGAATCAGGCGAATAAGTGGGTGAAGAATATGGAGAAACAGAACGGTTTGACGGTGATCAAGCTCACGGATCCGGATTACGCGAGAATGGTGGAGAAGAGCATTCAACTTGGCACGCCGGTATTGCTGGAGAATATCTTAGAGGAGATCGACGCGGTGCTGGAACCTGTGTTGTTGAAAAATGTATACCAAAAACTCGGAGTCCTGTACATGAAGTTCGGCGAAGTTGTGTTGGAGTACAACATAAACTTCCGCTTTTATATCACCACACGTCTCAGAAACCCGCATTACTTGCCCGAGATAGTGGTGAAGGTAACCCTGTTGAACTTCATGATCACGCCACAGGGTCTACAGGATCAACTGTTGGGTATAGTTGTGGCCAAAGAGCTACCGATTCTCGAAGAGAAAAAGAACCAACTGATAGTGGAGGGCGCGAACAACAAACGGATACTGAAAGAACTCGAGAATCAGATTCTGAAGGTGTTGTCAGCGTCGGAGGGCAACATATTGGAAGACGAGACCGCCATCAGGATACTCTCGACGTCAAAGGTAATGTCGGAAGATATTCAAGCGAAGCAGGAGGTCGCGATCACGACGTCGGAGGAGATCGACAGAGCTCGCAACGGCTATGTGCCCGTGTCGAAGCACGGCGCGGTTCTCTTCTTCTGCATCTCCGAGCTGGCGAACATCGATCCGATGTATCAGTACTCCTTACCGTGGTTCTTGCATCTCTACGTCATGTCGATAGCCAATAGCGAAACGTCTGATGATCTGAACACTCGCATGAATTATCTTAATTCTTACTTCACGGCGAGCATCTACAGGAACGTATGTCGCTCCTTGTTCGAGAAAGACAAGCTGATATTTTCCTTGATACTCTGCACCGGTCTGCTGCACGCCTCCCGTGAATTAGAAGAGGACCTTTGGACATTCTTGCTGACAGGTGGAGTTGCTTTACGCAATCCTTACCCGAATCCAGATCCTTCCTGGTTAACCGAGAAATCCTGGTCGGAGATTGTGAGAGCTAGTCTCTTGCCGGGTCTTGGACCGTTGAGAGAGTCCTTCCAGTCCGATATATCGCATTGGCAGGAGTACTATGATTTGTCGAATCCGCAGGACCATCCATTACCAGCCCCGTTCCAGGACGAGGACGATGACAGTCTGAAAAGGCTCGTAATCTTAAGATGCGTGAGGATGGACAAGCTGGTCGTCGCTGTTCAGGCGTTCATTATACGTCATATGGGTCAGTCTTATGTGGAACCGCCACCGTTCGATCTTCAGAGCTCGTACGACGACTCGAGTAACGTCACACCTCTCATCTTCGTGCTTTCTCCCGGCTCGGATCCGATGGCCGGCCTGATAAGGTTCGCCGAGGACCGTGGAATCTCGAAGAAGAATCTGATGACCATATCCCTAGGTCAAGGTCAAGGTCCCATCGCGTCCGGCATGATCGAGCGCGGCATCAAGAGCGGCGAGTGGGTCATCTTGCAGAACTGCCATTTGGCCGTGTCGTGGATGAAGGAACTTGACAGGATATGCGACGAGGTCATTGTTCCTGAAAAGACACACTCGGATTTCCGTATCTGGCTAACCAGCTATCCGTCCGACGGATTCCCAGTGTCCATCCTGCAAAACGGAATTAAGATGACGAACGAACCGCCGAAGGGGCTGAAGAACAATCTACTGCGAAATTATCTGAACGATCCTATCTCAGATCCCAAATTTTTTCGCAACTGCATGAAGGTAGTGGAATGGCGTCACCTGTTATTCTCCTTGTGCTTCTTCCACGCGGTAGTGCAAGAAAGGCGGAATTTTGGTCCGCTTGGATGGAATATACCTTACGAGTTCAACGAGTCCGACTTGCGCATCAGTATCCTGCAACTACAAGTACGCCAACTTTTCTTTTGTTCATTTACTTGATATTATGAAATGCGAATTATTGTAATGCATTTACACTCTCGTCGTTACAGTTATTCTTGAACGACTACGATGAAGTACCGTTTGAGGCGCTTACCTACCTGACTGGAGAATGCAACTACGGAGGCAGAGTGACTGACGACAAAGATAGACGCCTGCTGAATGCACTGCTGAGAAATTTCTATAATCCTGAAGTTGTGACGAATCCACGGTAATGTCATGCTTTCTTCTCGAGCCCGTTACAAAACATCCTTCGACGATTTAGAAACTGAATTTCTCGATTAATTGAATTTTTTTCCGGTGAAAGTTGAATTGGGAGAATGAGTTGGAGAAATATCCTATTTTTCATCTGTTTGACACTGCACAGATACTGCTTTTCGCCGAGTGGCATTTATCACTTAGCGGATGACATCAATTACGAGGGATGTCTGACATACATTCGTAGTTTACCGATCAATCAGTTGCCAGAAGTTTACGGCTTGCACGACAATGCGGACATAATGAAGGATAATCGGGAAGCGATGCAGCTGTTAAATAGCGTGCTTTTAACTCAGCCGCAAATCAGCGGAGTAGGCAAGTAAATGGATACATTTGTCTAATGTTAATTAATTCATCTCTTTCGTTTTTTCCCTCCTTGATATAATTATCATATTGTTAGAATTTATAGAATCTTTATCAACCTTTACTAGGTGCCGTGAAAGATATGGATGAAGTGGTTTCCGCACTAGCTGTTGATATTCAGTCAAAAATACCAGCGCCATTTGATGTGAAAGAAGTATTGAAGAAGTACCCAATCCTTTACATGAACAGCATGAATACAGTGCTGTACCAAGAGCTTGTTAAATTCAATAACCTCACTAGAGTCATCACGGATACATTGAGCAACGTGCAGAAGGCAATAAAGGGGCAAATTTTAATGTCAGCGGAACTAGAGGAAGTGTATATTAGCATGAATGTCGGCAAAGTGCCGCAGGCTTGGGACAGGAAATCGTACCCATCCCTGAAGCCTCTTGGCAGCTACGTAAACGACCTATTGGTGAGGTTACAATTTTTGGACGACTGGGTCAAACATGACGCACCAATTGTTTTCTGGATTTCCGGTTTCTTCTTCACGCAATCATTTCTAACCGCGGTACTGCAAAATTACGCTCGCCTGCACAAGATTCCGATCGATCAATTAGACTTTCAGTTCGAAGTCACGCAGTTCGAGTCGAACATCGACGAATCTCCTTCTTATGGAGTCTATATAAATGTAAGTGAGATCATATTCTACGACGTAAATGTTATGATGATGATGTTGATTTTCTACTTCGCTGTCATTTCATTTAATCTGTCTTTTTCTCAGGGTCTTTTCCTGGAGGGTGCTCGCTGGAACAGAGAGAAGATGTTACTGGACGAGTCTAAACCTAAGATTATGTTCGACGCGCTGCCTGTTATATGGTTGAAACCTGGCGTGAAAACTGAATTCATCATAAAAGACGTCTACCATTGTCCAGTGTATAAAACGAGCGCTAGACGTGGTGTTTTGGCTACCACGGGACACTCTTCCAACTTCGTACTGTATATCCTATTGTCGACGGATATAGACGAGTTACATTGGATCATTAGAGGAGTAGCTTCCCTTTGTCAGCTCGACGATTGATAAAAATGGTAAGATGATGATATTAGAATAGTAAGTGATGACGCATAAATGGATAATATGTATGAGAAAACTAATTTACAAAGTGTTTACATAATAAAATTAATCAAATACATGTAAACATGTTATCGTGATTTCTTAATACTTCATTTTCAATGATTTCTGTAGCTGTTGCTTTTTAAGAAATAGCAATATTTAGTTACAGCTACTGTGTTTTGCATTACATCGAAATCAATAAGATTAATAAAAAAAAAACACGAATAATTCATTTAGAAAATTATTCAACAGTTATTCATTAGATGAAAGTCTACGGCAATTTTATACTGTCCTACACGTTATACAACAATGATGTATTTTTTCAAATTGATACATGACGTAAGATTTTTTTAAATCAAGGGATATATCCTTTTTGTAAGGATAATTACGGAGTCGGAGCACTTAGGAAGATACAATAATACAATTAATTAAAAATATATTTACCAACAATTATCATCATTATTAATAATATTGTTCATTGTTCATTCATATATACATTATTTTTAGGTGTTAATAAATTTGTGTATACATACATACATATATATACACATACACACATACTAACACGTACATACACATATATATGCATATGTATATATATATATTAAAATTTTTTGTTCATAGACTCTATTAGACGATAAAAACAATAATGATCATTTTCAATTGATCACTTGTGTTAAAGGGAAATTGTACATCCTTTCGAAATAGATTACAATTGTCTTCTATCAGGTACATATCCAAGGAGTAATATATTTCTACATAAAGAAGAAAATTCCGTATATATATACATGTATCGTGGAATGCAATAGAATATATAATATATACATATATAAGGGATTACAAAAGATGTGAAACCCTTTTCTCTTTATGAAAATTATGCAAACAGGAACACTAGAATCTTCCGATAGAAAAGACGATAACATCATCTCGTATACACATTTTTTCCTGAATATAATTTTGATTGTCTTTGATTAGAATATTCGATCAACATTAATAATCCTCATAATTGCATACTTGATCCACTAAACTGAATGGATTATATGTCATAAATGTTACTAAATTTGAGACTTATATTCTGTAATATTGTATCCTTCTAATCCTTTGTAATAATTCTCTATATTGTCTTAATTCTTACAAAGGAAAAATTGACTGTAAATTCGTCGGTTGTTCAGCTTTCAACGCATCCTGCATATGCATACACGGTTAATCTATACGTTATTCACGACACTCGTGGTAAACGTTAAAGGAACACGATCCCTTAATCTGTCGAGTAATTCGATTGAGCTTCGAGCTGTAAATGTCGCGTATAAATATGCACATACGTCCAATTACCCATCCACCCATCTACCTATGTGCGCATACATACAATCATTATCGTAAGATCGGCGTACTGTGTATCACGGACTAGTTAAACACGAATCTTATAGCGGACTTGTATTACAGACTAGCTAAATACGAGTAACAACGTGAAAAATCGCAGTGCATTGCAAGGATGGTACGAGAAACGTCATTAATAGGTCCGATCTCGCGACGAAAGAAACGTACCGAGCACAAAACGAACGAGTTCGCAACAAATAATCTGGAATTACGATGACAACGTTAATGTCGATGCAAACAAATGCACGCATTTTGCGACGACACAGTCACGCATGCACACCTCATGAAGAAGCATTGCTCTAGTGAAGAGAATGCAATCTAATGCACGGTTACCCTGAGTTGCAGATTGAAGTAGAAATGAATATTGTATAATTAATCGGCATGTTACATACATGTATTACAATATCCATTTCTATCATATTGCACGTATAAGAACTCTTTTGCAGCGGTATGTTTCAGCAAGTAAGAATTGCAATGCGATAATTCGTAGTGTTATTTCGCAGTCTGTACGAGACTTGAATGTTAATCACATTTAAAATTCGTGATATTACAAATTTCCGATAATTGCGGAAGGATGCCAACACTGTTTGATAGCTAAAAGTTTAGAAAAATAATTTATCTATTTGAGGATATTCAAATATAATTATTTATCGCAGAGTCTGTAGTTCGAGCTGTTGCGCTGTACGTTCCCTACGCTCTTCATATTCTGCGATCCATCAACACGTTTGTCGCTTTGGAGATCTCTCACGTGATTTTCTAATGTTCTTGTAACGAGATCTCACTTGCGCATGATCCTGTTGCGTGTTCTTACATTTCAATAGATTCGTTAATCTTCGCCGCTTGTGGGCTCTACGAGTGTAGGATCGACCTCTGGTTGGTCTTCGTTTTTTGACTTCTTGACGGTACGTTCGACATACCAGAAGGCCCCCGTGCCGAAGATTATAGTTATGAACAACACTAGGAGTTGTATGTGCAGTCCAGCGTGGGTGCTGTAGGAGAAACTGATTGCCGCAGCCACGGACTGGCAGAACTTGAAGAGTGCAAAAGCCGGCGCACTCTCCTTCACGAAGAGGACTCCCAGCAGTGAGTAGATTTGCGTATTGTAGCACGCGTCACCGAAGCCGAGCGCAAGACTGCCCGCCATTGCGAGAATCGGCGAGGATATTATGTGCGCCGTTTGGTCTGTATCGCCGAACGGCGCGTTATTCGGCAAATTTAGGAAGATGCTGATGAAGGCGAACAGGTGTACGACCAGGCCGACGAGCACCACCGGCGAGCCACTGCAGTTGCGGGATACCTTGGAGGCGAGGATGCCGAATATCGCGCCGCCGACGACCTCGCCTACGCCGATGAAGATACCGGACAGTCCTACGAAGCTTTTGCGTTTCTCGCCCATCGCAACGGTGAATCCAACGCTGCTGGAATACACGCCGGAGTAGAACGTGAGTTCAAGGCCGGTGTAGATGAATGTAAGCGATAAGATCAACATCCGCGGCGTGAGGAAAAGTTTCAATGCATCGACGAATGCTTGCCAAGCAGCCACCAACGGTCTATCCCGCACAGGCTCGGGCAACTGAAGCTCTTTGTCAGCGCTGGAGACACCCTCGGCTTCACCGAGCGACAGTTTCTGCGGCGCTTTTCTCAGGAAAGCTAACACTAAGGTGCCGACCAGTGCCAAGGCGGTGAGCACACTGAAGACGATCCGTCGTCGCGACGCGTCAATCTTGTCGCTGTTGAAGACGAAGTAAACGAAGAGATTGCCGGCGAACTGAGAAGATTGGAAGATCGCCCAGAATATACCGGCGTTTCGGGACATGGTCTCGCTGTCGCTGTTCTCCGTCAAGTATTGACCGTGACCGGTCCATATGAGCGCGGCGCCGATACCCAGGATAGCGGACATGCCATACAGCAGACCGTCGTTCGGACAGAAAAACGACGCTATGAAGAGGACGTAGCAGCAGGCCCCGGTGAGTATTGCCACCCGCGGCCCTGTCATCGATATATAAGACGGCGCCAACCAGTTGCAGATCGAGAACACGGCGTAGATGATGGCCAAGCTGGTGTACGCGTCCCCGGTGAAGTTGGGATTGTCTTGATTGATGCTCGATAGAACGGTTTTCTGTTGGGAAACAAAAACAATGTTAGACGCTCTCTGTCTCTCTCCTGCTCCCTGTTTTTCTCATTCAATATGTATATCATAAAGTATAGTATAAAATATAAAACATACATAAAATATAAAACAATACAGTATAAAACAGTATATACTTTATAGCATATATATAGTATACAATATAAGTCTGTACACATAGAGACGATCCCTTCCAACGACCGTGTCTAAATTTAAAGTCTTTTTCTTTTTTATCTTTCTTTAATATATATATTCGATCTGGAAGAATTCCAAGTTACCCTTCAGAGAATATCAAACGTCATGATTGAACGTCAAACCGCTAATTTTGATATTCAAATATCAATATTTCCTCGTATATAATACTTTCTCTACAAATAACTTTAAAGTAAACCTATATTTGTATTTCAATGGTGGCAAAAGAACAGCTAGAATACTAATGAAGAACACTGCTTAATATTCTCTCAGCATGTTGCGTTAAAAGAATCAGGAATGCGTGGATTAAGCGCGAGTAACACATACAATGCATACTAATAATCATATATAAAAAGGAGTCGTATCATTCTTCTCTTTCGTCGTCTCATCCTTTGCAAAAGAGAATGTACGAATGCTACAAATACAAAGTTCTTGGGAACTAGAAGCATGTCAGGATTGAGCGCAATGCGTCGATGTGGTTTTCAATCGACGCTTTCACATGTTGACACATCGTTCTTTCAGATTAGGCGCCAATTATTTCACGATGAACAACAACGTCGTTGAAATGTTCGTACATTCTTATCAGCAATCGAGTCATATCGGTGTTTGTGATGTAACACTTATCACGTTAGCCACATTAACTGACATTTGTTATGCGCAGTAGTATCGATATGGATCACGAGTCCAAGAAAAATTCGAGAAAACCGAGGAATTGATATTTCTGTCAATTTTCTATGAAATATCACTGCAGTTTAGAAATATTTTGTAACGTACATGAGCGAGACGAAGTCTCGACTGAACATTAATCGGGAAACGAAATTTCGGTATCTTATAATTTTGAAATTTAATTGACTAAGAAATCATTTAATTTTGAGAAATATTTTCGTATCTTGTTGACAACTTTCACAAAGATACAGTCACTCTTAAAATGATAAAAGGAAACCACATAAATCTAATCTGACGATAAAAGGCAGTATATAAACTTAAGTTTATCCTTTTTTAACGTTTGGTGTGTTACCGATTAGATATAAATGGGAAGTTACAATTTCTCTCGAGAATAGTGCGATAAGAAAAGTGTTACATTTATTTTCAAGAAAAACGAATCTGCTTATCCGAACTGGATCATGAACGGATCGTTTTACTATACTTGACCATATCCAATATAATACTGTTATTGTGTCAAGATAATAATCACTAACACGTGAGTGATAATAACAAATAAGCTCGGATCACATGAGGAATTCTCGGTGAGACACCGCTATATTTTTCATTAAATATGTTCGTAATCCTGTTTCACCATTGTGAAAGTTGGGTGCAAAGTTTCCGTGTCGTGATAATGATACTCGATAAGAACTGCGTTCGCATCGATAGATTGTATATCGATATTTATATCACTCACATGTCACCGTGAATGTAAAGAGATTTAGTGTGAATGAAAAATTATAGCGATTGAAATCTGAAACACCGTATGCAGTGCTGGCAAAAAATTTCGCAACGGTTGAAAATCTTAGAAAATATTGATTTCTTGGAAAAATGTTTCAAACAAAAAGAATAGAGCTTAAAGAAATCTATTAGATGATGATATCTATCTGACCTTGATATGACCTTGAAAAGTTCGGTTATGGTCAACATAAAAATCTTAAACAGAAATCCTTATTTTTTTATTACACCATCTTTTTCTACCAATTAATTTGAACAACTTTTGTCTAGAACATTTTTTTATTTGCCTAATATTTTTTTAGATATTTAAGGAAAGCTTGATAATTTTCTCAATATTTATGATATCTCGCTAACTATTTGTCAGGAAAAAAAGTGATATTAGACTTTGTTGCTCTATTTGATCTCAAGAATATATCGTTACAATAGCGCCCTGATTTTGGTTAATTTGATGATTTTGAAATTTCCAAAAGTCAGTAAGTTAACAGTTTATACAAAAGTTGTTCAAATTAATTGGTAGAAAAAGATGGTGTAATAAAAAATAGGAGTTTCCGTTTAAGATTTTTATATTGACCGAACTTTTCAAGGTCATACCAAGGTCAGATAGATATCATCATCATCTAATAGATTTTTTAAGCCCTATTCCTTTTGTTTGAAACATTTTTCCAAAAAATTTATCCAAGAAAGAATATTTTCGAACATTTTCAACCGTTGCGGAACCTTTCGCCAGCATTGTATAACAGCGCTTGTATCCGCACTCATCATCGACGAATGAGTCGGCGAACAATACAAAATTGGTTAATGTCTGTCTTACGACCTTTTATCTCAATCATATCTCTTTTCCGGTAGTGAAGTATTTTGCATTTCAAGCGACACTTCGTAAACACTCTAACCCGGTTATTTTAATCAAAGTCATTTGAATTATCGAATTGCTACGGCCGATTGGAAAATTATATTTCAAGGTCAGGATTTCTCTAACAGCATGTTCTCTGTTTGAGAAAAGGGAAATAAAAGAATCATGTGTGTACGACGAAAAAAATGTCGATTGAGCCGGTTGGTCGACTCAATCTTTATCGACTCATATCGACTAATATATACGCGAAACGTCAGTAACATGAATTTAGAAACTCGACATTGGAAAGTCATTGTAAAGTTGCAGTTGAAGGACGTCGCCGAGACATCGCCGACTTGGTCGTCATGCGTGTTCATGTTTATAGGATAAGGATTGATGAGGATTGAATTAACGTTGATTCAACGGTTTATCGACAATTTCAACGAATCAACGTCAAATCAACGTCACGGTTCTGACTGGGCAGCTATCCTCGAATCAACTGCGCCGAATACATCACCATTAATAAATAATTAACGTTATCCGACAGGACAGGAGAGAGAGAGAGAGAGAGAGAGATAGCGTTTCCCTTCTCTCCACCTTTACTATCTCGAACAGTCGTCTTATTGCGAAGCCTAAGGGCCAGAGCACAGACTTCTGCATAACGCATAAGAGAATCAACCAATCAGAATTCTTCATTTCTGTCCTGAGGAGGGAAATGAAGAACTCTGATTGGTTGATTCTCTTATGCGTTGTGTATTATGCGTTATGCAGAAGTCTGTGCTTTTGTCCTAAAAGTGAAAGGAGACTATGCCTTGCCTTCGCTAGACAGTTACATCAGCCATTCGCTGAGAAGGTGTCCTGTTCGAGGTCCTGTTCGAGAAATTTTTACGAACGCTCCTCCTTCGGGGTTCCCGCGGTCAGCGGGAATAATCTCGATTATAATACCACGACATGTCTCTTCTGGCAATATTCCAAGTGATCATTACACTTCCTCGACCGGTTTGCGACAAGAGTGGCGAAGGAACGGCGCTGGGGTAAATTCGGCGGGAACCGGTTGCACTCGTCGTCGTTGTTGTCGTCGTCGTCGGCGCCCGGGGACCAGGTTTTTCGGCGAATGTAATTATCGAGCAGGACAGTCGTCTAGAATGTATTTCATTTCGCACGATCGCGGATACACCACGATGCGATCGGCTCAATGCATACCACGCATCACTTTCTCTCATTCTTCCGCTCGTAATCCCTGCTTCCTTTGCCTCTCGCCCTTTCGTTGTCACTCCTCGCTCCTCCTTCCCCAGTGATAGATTTAGTATAATTTGATCGGGCTTGATTAGAGCGAGTAAGGTGACATTGGCCGGCGCAATCGATCGTCAATTTCCGTGCGATAACGAGCAAATCATTCGGAATGAGGACGCGACACCGTTTCGTAATTAACGCGCCGAACAGCCGAACGAAAATGTCGTTTCGATACGTTCGGAGATAAGGAGGAACAAACGTAAAGGACGCGATAATTTTGATCGTCCTTCGCGAACAAGCAGGTGTAATTTTTCGTTATCGTCATGCTAAGTAGGTACGGCGAGTAGCTTTCAACACAATTTCCGACGTGGCAACAGTTACATACTATAAAACGATTATTTCAATTGATTGATACGCTAATGTAGCAGGCCTTTTTACGCTTAAACAACAATGGATAACAAACCGAAGTTTGCAGAATCTCGATAGATGGTTCAGGATGGATCGATCGTTCAAAACAGACTGACGAGTTTAATTTTGCCGCACTGGGTCCCTATTCTTGAAAAATATCGCATATAATATCTCATGAATGTCGCTAGATATCACGATTTTCAGCCAATTAAATTGCTCCATTGATGAAATATCACATATGATGTTTTTCACAAATTTTCGGGACTGAAGGCTCTGGGTTCATATTCTTGAAAAATATCACATATAATATTTCATGAATGTCGCTAGATATCACAACGCTAGATTCTCAACCAATTAAATTGCCCCAATTAATTTGATGAAATATCGCATACGATATTTTTCGCAAATTTTCAAGAATAAGGGCCATAAACGCTTAATTAAAAATCGGATGTTCGGTTGCCACAGTTACGATTACTCGGCAGAAGGTTGTTCGCAAAACGGGTATTCTCGAGCAGGATATTATGAAATGCTTTCGTTCCATGGAAAAAAGTAGCGGGCATTTTACGGTTCGACCGATCTTGTCTTAGCGTATGATTTACTCGTAATTAGCTTGTTGCGTAAACGTTCATTGGTCGGTCAGTGTTGATCTCTTTTACGATCTCTTTTATCTATTGCGAATTGTGACTTCGGAGTTTAGTCACGATCAGAATGAATTTCTCTTTTTTGCTTTTTCTCTTTCTCTTGCCACGCTCGACCTTCTCGCGTAATGGATAATCTCTTGACATTATGACCTCGCGAGTCTGGCCGCTCACTCCTGTAAATTTTTAAGGCGATGCGGATTCGGCGAAGAAAAATGTCGTTGTTGAGTCCCGCCGCGACAACGACGATGACTCCCTAACTATACCGCTGTTTAGAGCAGCGTTTTCCAATACGCGTACACACTCATGTTACGACGGTGTGCTGTGAGAGGATTTAAGGTATGCCGCGAAAACTGTCCAAGATCATTAGTTAAATTATTTTCGAAAGCAGTTCAAAGCACTGTAAGTATATATATATATAAATTAAAACCTCTTTAAATTGGTCATAAAAATACATCATTGTTATAATAAATAAACACCAGCTTATTTCTAAAGTGGGTGGGGTGTAGCTTTTATAAATTATTACAAATTATAATAAGTTGTTTTATTTGTTCTGCATAAAATGTCGGATTGAAACGCATTAAAAAGTATTGACATTTTGAATACTTCTGAATTCTGCTTTCTGACCTGAACAAAGAGATTAAAAAGTATTGGTTCGCATTAAACTTTGCCACGCTGAATGCGAGACGACAATGGTGAATGCTTTGCATTGAAAATGTTTATAAATTTTTACTTTCTTATTATAAGGAATTGTTTCTTCTTTCTGATTATTAATTAAACTAAAAACATTTGTCTACAAAATTGTATTGTCAAACAATCAAATATATTTTATTTCGTCCTTATGCATTAAAAAATATACAAATCTTCTTTCAAATTAGCAAAATTTTAATGAATACGTACTTTCGCATTAAAAAGAATTAACTCAGTTCAAAACATTCTTCGCATTCAATCGCAATCGATAACGCCTTCAAACGCATGCGAATTCTCGTATTAAAAAAGATTCACTTAGCTCAAAATATTTTTCGCATTCAATCGCAATCGATAACCTTCAAACAAATACGAACTTTGGCATTGAAAAGTATTTGCTTCTTCTCCTAATTGTTTTCGGATTCAGAGGCATACAAGATTTTCACATTCTATTCCCCATATCGGATTGAAAAATATTGGCCCGCGATCCAATCTGAGATTTCTGCAAAGCAGAATTCACGACGAAATCTCGTGAATGCGAAACAATATTTTTAAATACGATATTTTATACAGGATTTCGGCCGTGATTGTGCATTTTGTTTGTGTTAGTAAATAAATCAAAAAAGATATATTCTTTTTTATATTCTTTATTTGATCATCATAATTTAAGTGTGCCACGAAAGTTTAACTATAGGTTCAAGCGTGCCGTGAGTTAAAAAAGATTGAAGAACGCTGGTTTAGAGCATATGGTTAATCATGACGACTTTTGTCAACTAATCGGCCGTGGGATATCGTTAGTTTGCAGCGATAAATTGACGCGTAAACAAAGATCGTTGTACGCGGTTGGCGCGATCAATTAATCACCGGGCGTCATTAAAAGAGAGAGACGCCGAGATATCGCGCAGCCAGGGAGGAGTACACTCTGACCGTACATTCTGAATTACATGACTCGGAGATAATGACGGTAATGAGTGACGGGGACGTTGCCAGTTTGGAGGCGGCCGGCCAGAACGCAATGTCCGCAGATTACTCTCGCGATATCCGCGTTATGTATTATATAAGTGTTTTTTCTTTTTTTTTTTCTTACGGAGTAGTATTATAGGTTGATGCAAAAGATTCGTCATGTTTGTCAAATAAAATAGGAAATGAAACCATTCAATTTCGAGGGACTCATTATTTTTACGAATAAAATGAACAGCGTTAACTCGACATCTTTTTTAAACATATTATGGGGATTTTATATTTTCCTTTTAAACTTCCTGAAAAAGTTTAGAAAATAGAAACAGGAAAATTATAAATATTTCTCGTCAAACTATGCAAAATACGAAAATATCACTAGAGATTGTACATGAGGGAGAGAAAGCGAACGTCGAAAAGAACGTTTTTTCTTTTATCGCAAAAATTTTGACATTTGATCTTTCCCAGAATTCTTCTCTTGAACTTTCTCGGAATCTGATATATATATATTTTTTTTCTTATCTTTCATTCTTCCTTTTTTAGAAGCCCAATGGATACATCAGCAGAACTATGTATCACGTAATACGTGTCCTGTGATGATTTATCACACGTGTAATTTAACAAATTATACGTTTTGCAATAACGAAAACAGTCGATAACGATATCGCGCAGCCTGGAGGCGTTCCGGCCTGCACTCGTGACTTGTTCGCCTTTTGCATCATACTTTCTAAACCGCGACTAATCATATAATGCCTGAACTCTACTTTCTAAAACATTACAAAACGCAAATATCTCGTCATGTTTAACAGCAGTCAAAATTTTATTTAAAATAAAAATTCAACAATGTGTTTTTATGTTATCTCGCTCATTTCTCTTGAATTTATTGAATCGCTCATTTCGTCAAAAAGCAAAACCGTAAGTACAAATTAACTCGAAATGCGTCTTTTTTAGTGAAATTCAGGTTTATTCTAAGTAATTAAAAGTGTCACAGTATACGTGTTTTTACCGATAAGTTAGAAATGAAGGTCAGTTAAGTTTCAAGTACATGCAGCTAATCTTATCTTTCGCAATTAATTTTATGTAGAATTTATTTTGATCAAATTTTTACATCGAATTTAGCTACCAAGGCACTTGATATTACAATCGGACATGATATAAAAACGTCAACATATGATACGACATGTCAATAAAAATTTTATTTCGTATCGATTTTAGATGTAAAGTCCACTTTAGGTCAACGGTTAAATATTTCGATAAAAGAAGTGTGTAAGTAAATTTCGCTATAATATAGAAAAGTATCGTTAAAACATGAAAATAATTGGACCTATCAATGAGAAGATTAGAAAAACTGTAGATAATGATGTAGGAAATAATAAACGTGAAAGAATTCGATTTTGACTGGCAAGATCTGAAAAGGTGGATAAATATTTGGCCGTTATCGAATTCTCCCGGATGAGAGCGCTCTGTGTTATCGTTCACGTCGTGAAAAACTGCAGGTTAATGCCCGTACAAACGCAAGAATACGAGAGCGATGCGAGTCAATCTCTCTCTCTCGCGCTCGAATGCCTAAATAGAAGTTCCGCTTGCTGCGTACTTTAGAAAGCTTCTGAGAAGAAAAACGATCTTGATGTCAAATGATCACCCTGTATTATCCAATCATACAATCATAATCCGTCAGCGCTCGCTCGCGTCAAGGATCGCGAAAGATTGTGTTATAAATAAATTGCTTCGCATTAAAATTACTGGCATAAATGCGCGATAAAGCACGCGCGTGCACATAGTGACACTATGATATTTTCGTTCACGAAGTTATCGCTCTGAGCATCTGTCACGCGGTTTGACGGTATTTGAAATTCATGTAAACAATTGAGAACTTGAAAAATGTCGGAGACTGATTCCGTGTGAGTGTGTAACAATCATCGCAGAATTATCATCATAAAACACAAGTGTTTCTAATTGACAATCCAGAATTTTGCAAAAAACAGCTATGCGAATGAATCATTCGTTAAAAAAAAAATAAAAAGAAAATACTCATACATAGATATAGATGATAGAAAAGTATCGAAATGATAATGAACGAAGGAACCCAGACAGCACATGTTCTCCTGGGGACGTCCTAAGGACGTCTTGAGGATGAAGAAACGTCCCTAGAATATCCTCAAGACATACTCTGGACATTTGTGCCGTTAGAGAAGCTACTCAAATATTTTTGATAAATTCAACCGAGTTTTTAGAGCCTCCGAAGGCTGGCGCTTGTGCGTATTTTCAGTTCGAACGTTTCTTTTCTATCCTGACTTACGCTTCAAGATTGCTTCTGAGAAATTTTTCTAATCGTTGCGCTAAACTCAGCGGTAGATTCCGCCAGTAGTGCGCACATTGTGTGCCGTAAAAAGAACACGGAAGTTCCGTGACACAAATAACAATAATAACGGGCACATGCGCCTCGTCTTGTTTCGTCACTCACCTCTATGTTGCCCATCGTTTGAAACGCCGCAAACACCAGCATGAATCCCCAGCTGAGGATCATCACGTTCAAAAAGGCCCGGTCCATGATCATGGTGGCGACTTCACGTAGCTGACGCGTACAAACGAAACGGAAGAAAATCGTCGGATGCGATTCGCGTTTCGCGCGCGATGCCGGATTACTCACGCGAATGTTCGTCGTCGTTGACAGATGGTTGCCACATGGACGAAGAGAGAGAACCGCGGCGGCCAACAGCGATAGTACAGCATAACAGACTACGGAGCCAGATAAAAAAAAAGTCGGGCGGCCCGTGAAGTGGTGCAACGATTCATCCAATCGAACGATCGACCATCGAACGCCGCCGCCATTGTTGCGCGCGACATTCGAAGGTCGTGGCCAACTTCGTTATGTTATCGACAAGACACCTCAGTGGTATTCGGTATAATCTCAAACTGTAAATCACACGCGTATCATTAAGAAGCGCTTCGGTACCGGTACTTTGTTGACATTGAGCGATTTGACAAGTCTCTACGTATATACTATTTGTACCAATGATTGTCATATGAGGATGTATTGAATGAAAGGTTAGAATTTGTAAAGCTGTGGAGTGACGACTTACTATCGATGTTGAAAGAAAATCGATGATGAATCGACCAAAAGATCCGTGGTGAGAGTGGTTACTCAACAGTTACAGGATATTCTACGTAGGTCGGCATTTTGGTATAAATTTGGAGTAGAATTAGTCCTGCGACTGACAAGCGTGAAAAATGCAATATTGAACGCATTAAATAAACAGTGATGTAACGGATATATCGCGCACGATAAATTTCGCGCACCGACGAGATGATGACTGCGTTCAGCAAAAAGCATTTTACTAAGCGCTTAGTGATTATTATTCATGATTAAAATGTAAATAGAATATTCTTTTATGGGCCTTCTACAATAAGCTACTAGTCATAAGTTGTAACCAAATAGACCAACCACAGCTGATTATTTTTTAAATAATCAATTGTGATTGGTCAATTTGCTTATAGCTTATGACTAATTGCTTATTGTAGAAGGCCTCTTAAGCGTGGTCTACAATGGCAATAAGCAGTAAGAAGTAAGCGTAAACGGTAAGAAATAAACCAATCACAGTCGATTATGACAAAAATAATCAACTGTGGTTAGTCCATTTCTTACTGTTCATGCTTTCTTCTTACTGCTTACGGCCATTGTAGACCACGCTTTAGGTTTCAACCATCTAATGGAGAATTCAATTCTCCACTGGAAAGCTGTTCTCCTATTGGATGTTGGGCGTCGTACGTCGACATTGGACGCAGTGTGAATCCTCCATTACCACTCGGCGGAAGTTGACTAGGAATATCACGATATCCAATCAACATCTTGCTTGCTTAAGCCAGCGGCACACGGTGCTTGTTTTCGTGCTGGATTGCTTGCTGTATGAAAATAATGCGTTGTGATTGGTATATTTTCGAAGATGGATGAAAATGCACCAATCAGAACGCAGTATTTTCATCCAGCAAGCAATCCAGCACGAAAACAAGCATCGTGTGCCGCTGGCTTTAGAAATAATAGTTGCAAAACATATAGGTCGTGTTCCAAAATTCACTGCCAGTACTGAAAATATATAGGTTGTGTCATGCAAATTTTGGAACACGGTCGTAGCATGTGGGATGTTGATTGCCAGTTTAAAGTCAGCGGCACACGGTGCTTGTTTTCGTGCTGCTTTTCTTGCTAGTTGAAAATACTGCGTTCTGATTGGTACATTTCCGAAGATGGATGGAATGCACCAATCAGAACGCAGTATTTTCATCCAGCAAGCAAACCAGCACGAAAACAAGCACCGTGTGCCACTGGCTTTAGAAGTCCTTCGAAACAGACCAAATTCACTGCTAGTATAGTCGTATGGTCATCTAGATTGCTGTTTGGCTCCGTGTTGTTGTTGAAAATGTCGAAAAACTTTGAGGAGAAAGGAAAGAACCACCAACGATCTGGCGGGAATGATTTTCGCAGCTTTTCACAATTTAGTAGTTCGTTAATTGTGTTGAAACAACAGGATTCGCGAAAAATATCGTCGCTTTCGTCTATTGATATCCGCCGTGTTTAATTGTAATTAATGTGAAATCTCGAGACCGGGTGTAACCGCCGTGACTATTGATATTGTCGCGATTCAGAGAATTTGAACATCAACCGTGCACATCGGCCGTTTGCTTAGTCTTTTGTTGGCTCCCAAGGCCATTAGATATGGTTTTGTCGTTACGAAATTACGCGTAATTCTTTGAATATTGGGGACTGCGTGCGCGTGGTCCCTGCTTGTACCACACTTTGCAACATTCTAATTCCTATTTTCGTACCTTTCGTTAAATGGCGTTGGGGCGAAACCTTAACCGGTGCCTGTAGCCAAAATTAAAAGAGAGAGAGAGAGAGAGACAGGCCGCTTGTTTAAATTATTTCGTGATCGATCCTTGAAACATGGAAAATACCATGACAAAGGAGAAAAGGAATTGCACGAATCCTAGCGATCATTTGGCTAAACGTTTCAGGCAAAGCGAAAATAGCGACGATGATGAACCAGAGGTATTTTGAATATGTTAACGCTTGTTTCTTCGTCGATTTAACCCCTTGTCTTACAATATTGTGTGAGACTCGTGATATGTTTTATGGGCCAAATAAGAAACACGAGTCAGACTACATATATCGGACAACAAATATAATAAGCACGGGTAAAATTCATCGTATGTTTTGTGGGTCAAACATAGGAAACACAAGTGAGATTCGTAGTTCAATTTTTATCTATTTTGGTCAATGTTCAGCGTCTGCGATTTATGTAAATTGGGCGTTACAGATACAATTTTATCACCAACTTTGGTACGTGCTATCGCGACTTAAATCACAGTGCAAGGGATTAAATACATGAACTTTCTGCAGTTGTAAATGTGTATAAATGAGGCTATAAACAATTTCCTATCTCTTCAACTCACTGCTTTTAGAAGCAAACAGAAAATTCTAGTTAAATCTTAGTGAACTAATATAGTTTTATTAATTGATTAAACAACTAAAATAATGTGTTTGATCTATGATATTATAATTTTATTTTATTATTGCAGTATACAGCTGGAAGAGTGAAAAATATTCGACTTCGTAACTTTATGTGTCATGATGCATTAGAAATAAAGCTAAATGAGAATGTTAATTTTATCGTGGGACGCAATGGTAGTGGCAAAAGTGCCATACTAACAGCATTAACTGTAGGACTTGGTGCTAGAGCATATATCACCAACAGAGGAACTTCTTTAAAGAGTATTATTATATAAAATATTCTTTCTTTTTTTTTTTTAAGTCGGTGTTTTGATGTTTACTAACAAAACTGATGAAAATTTACAATATATATATATATATATATATATAATGGAACAATAGATTCTTAGAGCCGGTTGTTCCAATATCTTGGTAAGTTAACTGATAGTTAAATCATATGTTTGTCTTTGTTTTTCCTTCAACTTAGACAAAGACAGACATGATTTAATTATCAGTTAACTTACCAAGGAATTAGAACAATCTGCTTTTAGTACTGGCAATTAATATCAGAACACAAGATAGGATAACTAAGGATAATTTAATAAAATTTAATGATATATAAATTATTTATATGAATTGCAGAATTCATAAAAGTAGGCCAGACATCTGCTATCATTGAGATAACTTTAACAAATAAGGGAGACGCAGCATACAAACCTGAAACTTATGGTGATGTTATTACAATTGTACGAACAATTGGACCAACATCATCGTATAAAATAAAGAATTGGAGAGGTACAAAAATAAATTCCATTTTTAACACTTTAAATGAATATATATTGTTTATAATTACAGAAATGTAAAGAAATATACATTACTTATAGGGGAGATCATTTCTACAAAACGAGATGAATTGGATGATATTATATCATCGATGAATATACAAATTGATAATCCGATTTCTATTTTGAATCAAGATGTATCACGAACGTTTCTAATTTCTTCTAAATCTGAAGAAAAATACAATCTATTTATGAAAGCTACTCTCTTAGATATCATAGAAAATAATTATGTAGAAGCTTTACAAATATGTATGGAAGAAAACGAAAAATTGAAGCAATACTATGAGGTACGTATCCACTTTCTAGGTACGTTCATATTTTATTGTATCATGGTTCTTATTATTGATTGTGTTTCAGGCTTTATCGCAAGTAAAAGCTGAAATAGAGAAATTGAAAGATGATATACAAAAAATGGAACAAATGGATGAGTCACGTGCAGAGCTAACTAATTTGGAAGAAAGAGAACTACCATGGGCTATTGTAAGTGTAACAATTATAATACATAATTCTGTAACATAAAGAAATTTAAGCAATAGAACTAATGCTTGAGAATCTGAAAGTTTTGTTAATCAAGAATTCTCGACGCTGCGATCTATTGATGCTCTTACTATTCTCTAGCAATATTGCTTAAATTTCTGCATATAATATAGTTTAATATCAGAAGAAGATAAATCTTGTATATATCTTTTGCTTTGAATAAGAGTTATTGTCTTATTGTATAGGCTATCGAAGAGGAAACTAAACTTGAAAAGATCCAGGCAGTTTTAAATACACATGAGAACAACTTGAAAAAACTACAAGATGTGGAGTCATCTGTAGGAACAAAGAACAAAGAAATTGACAAAAAGATAAAGTAGGAATTAAAGTTGTAATACAACTTACTGAAACTTTTATCAGTATCATATTTTCGTGTCTTTAACAGACTTTTATATATTAAAAACATAATAAAATTAGAAGAAATCGTTATACATTGTCATGTTTCTACGTCAGTATGTTTTTTGTTGTAGAGAAATAAAGGAAAAAATTCTGCAAACAGAAAAAAAAATGGCAGATAGCCATGAAGCATATAACAGTGCCAAACAAAAACATGCGGCTGCGAAAGAATTTTATTCCAACAAACTGCGCGAATGGCGGTCCGTAGAAAATCAAATCAAACGACATGAAGATGATATCAGTTTACTGAAGGGAGAAATCCAGAAGTTGGAGACGTAAAGACACAATCCATTTTATATATATCGTTGCGGGTGGACGGGTGTAACAATATATTTCTTGAATGATAGGCGACATATATGATTTCACATATTTTCTTGTCACAGTTGCCACAATGAACAATATATCGAAAGGAAAGAAATGTTCGACAAGCTATCAAAGTTAGAGGAAACGTTGGATGAAGTTGAAGCTTCGATGCGTACAAAGCAAACCGAATTGATGCATTTGGAAGCTGACAATATGCGACTTTCCGTAGAAAAGCAGTCCGCGAAAGTTGAATTGGACAATTGTGATGCTTCCATACGTAAGTTTGTACATCTGTAGTAAATTAAAAATTATATTCTCATAATTAAGTTTTGAATTAAGTTCATGCAAAGAAAAAGGACAAAATAGCTACATATATTCTGTAAACTTACAGGTAGGCTGGAGAAAGAGTTAAGTGGATTCGAGCAACAATCTGATAACGTGTTGAGTGTGTTCGGGCCTAATATACCGCGTCTATTGAGAAGAATTGAGGAAGAATGCAAAAAAGGACGATTCAAAGAAAAACCACGTGGTCCTATCGGTATGTGGTTTTGAAGCATTGTAATTCAAGTAAAGTTATTCAATTTCATTGCTAAATTTATTACTGCACAGGTGCTTATATAAAGATGAAGGATGAAGCATGGGCACCAGCGGTGGAAAGTCACCTAGGTCGTGGTATTCTTAATTCATTTTGTGTAGATAACAACCAAGATGCTAAATTGTTGACCAGTATTATGAAGGAGATTTTCTATAACGAGAGACTACCTCAAATTATAACTAGCAAGTACTACAATCAGGTAAGAACATCCGTTTTATTATTTTTCTAATGCAATTGACAATTTCATGCAAATATTTTTACACACATATGTATGTATGTGTAACCGTTCAATTTTCGTAGATACATGATGTGAGAAGACACTGTACACAGTCGCCACGATACTCGAACCTGTTGGAAGCGATGATTATAGAAGACCCCATCGTGGCTAACTGTTTAATCGATCAACGTGAAATCGAATGCATACTCCTCATACCGACTAACCAAGAGGCCTGCGAGATAATGTCGAATGCAGCGAAAGTGCCAAAAAATTGCAAAAGAGCGTTTACTCAACAAAGTGACATCTACTTTCCCGATCCAAATTACAGGACGTACGGCGGGAAGTGTGGCTCACGCGCAAAGTATCTTCAAGTATCCAGTACAGAAGCGATGCAGTGAGTAAAACCAATTTTTATCTATAGTAATATTAATCACCGATAAAACATCTCCGTTATACATGTATATAATATAAATGAACTATTTACTTATATATATTATTTTGATCATTTTTATTATCTTGTCACTTAGAACATTGAAGGAAGAACTTGAGGTAGCAAAAAATAAAAGGCAAGAAGCCAAAATTATACACAATGCTGTATGCGAGAAAGAAGAGCGCACGAAATCTTCATTGAACACTGTAAACAGGACGGTCATGAAATTTAAAGCACTGCAAAGTCGTTGCAAAGAGGAGATTGATAACTTAAAGGATAAAATCGAGTCAAATAAAGGCATGTCTGACGATGTCTTTGTAAGTAGCATAATCATATTCCTCATTAGATAATATCGCTTCTATCTTTTCTTCGAAATAATATAGCTACCCAATTGATCTATTGTACAGCGACATGAAATTACGGAAGTCGAGAAGAAGATAACGCAAGAGAGAATGGCGGAGAAGTTTTTAGCTGAGAAAACGCACGAACTCCAGGGAAACATGAAATTCCTTGACGAAGAAGTCAAGCGTTGCAGAGACGCTACAGATGATTTATATACAGTGATCGATCCTCTCAAAGTATATCTCTGTTCTGTTTTTTATCTTATATTTAGATAATATCACTAAGTTGATTTGTTTGTTTTAACTTTTAACAACATCGCAGGAACAAATAAAGGAACTCATACAGAAGAAAGAGAAGCATCGTTTCGAGTCGCAACGTTCTACGCAACAATTGAAAGAAGTTCGTCAAGCTGTACAAAGTGCGACAGGGGAATTTCAGAGACAGGAAAGAGTCACGACGATAGCAGTTGCTAATGCCTCCGAAAAATGCCTCAGAATAAATACAGAAAAGTTAGTATTGCGGAATGACATTTGTTACGTGTTTTGATGACCTATATTAATTAATTTTAACCTTATTTTACTTAATTATATAATTTTATATTCTAAATAAGTCGTTGAAATCATGCTTTCTCATTTAGTACATGTTACCTCAATCGTATCCTTTGTAGATCGATAAATCATATTAAGTCTACGATAACGAATTTGCGAGAGAAGATTCGCGAGGTGGAACATCAATTCGGCTCTGTGCATCTTTTGCAACAACAATTACAAGAGAAAGAGGAAAAGTACGGGATGAATATCGAGTTTATGTATACACTGAAAAAAAGTTGTGAGGTAAATGTGTCATTTATGATTCTACGATTACATTTGATCCAGACTCAGTTTTCACAAGGTGATGTATTTGTCTGCAGAAACATATCGAACGAGTGAAGCATCGACAGAATGTGTTTGAGGAATTGAGGAAGTTATACGGTGTTTATATACAGAAGTCCTTCAGTGATGTACTTGCTCTAAGGCAATATAAGGTAACTATAAGGAAATGTATCTCAAGCATTACATATGTAAATCGCATATCGTTTTATTTATCGGGGACGCTTTTTACTGTTCTACTTTATCAGGGTAACATGATAATCGACCATATAAATAAAACACTTCAATTGAACGTAAGTGCACGAAACGATAGTACCAGCAAAGATACTAGATCACTCTCGGGAGGAGAACGATCTTACTCAACCATAGCATTTATTTTGTCTATTTGGGAATGTATTCGAATGCCCTTCTATTTTCTCGATGAATTCGACGTATTTATGGTGAGTGTTCACGTTTGTATGTGTCCCAAGATACATTTTTTTATCTTTGAAAGAAGAAGACCAATATTTCGTACATTGAAAATATTTTCCAATTCAAAGACTTGAGCAACTAAGAACTCAAAAGAAATGAGTATTGATCTTTTTTTCTGTGAGCTACAAATTCGATTCATATGCAATAACCAAAGGCAATCCATTTCGCAGGATAAAGTGAATCGACGAGTGATAATGGATATACTGTTGGATCACACCAAGTTGCATCCGGAAAGCCAGTTCTGTTTTCTAACACCTTTAGATACATCGAATGTTCTTGTCGAAGATTACGTAACGGTTCATCAGTAAGTATAGAAGTTCTATTAATATTTGCTATTGGGATCTGAACATTATATTACAGTCTTTTGAATGAATGTGTCTTTTCAGATTGCAACCACCAGATAGGAGAGGGCTGAGTCAATAAAAGCCGATTATTTTTTTCTTCCTTTCTACCTTTTAAGTTTTACGTAGTAATTGTCGTTAAGTACAAAGTTCAGCGTATATCGAATAAATTCAGTATAACGTATTTTTGCACGGAAACTTTATACTTAGTCCGATCAAAGATAAGATATTTATTTACGTTATATTATTCTATTTTGTGTAAAAAGAAGTTTCAGATATTTATATTTTTCACATAACTCATAATACATATGAAGGCAGAAATCTAAAACTGGATCCAACTTATTGAATGTGGTGTGAAATATCTATATTTCATATTACATGTTACATGCAGGACTTTTTTGTTAGCTGCAAAATTGTCTGCGACGATATTGTCCGACACATTATTATAACGTACATCCTACCGACTTACATTATTTGATATAAATTAAAATTTATAAGGACAAGATATAAAGAAGAAAAGTGCCTTTATTTGTATCAGTGTAGTTACCAATGTTGCAACATAACATAATACAACTCTACCTTTCTTTTCCTTCTTAATAATATTAAATATAAAGTTCTCTTTTTTAATATTAAAATGTAAATATCAAATCTCGATCGCGTCGCGGCTTCAATAATCCATCGGAGATTCGCTTCCTGTTTATTTTCAAATCCCGCCATTTCCAAATTCGTCTCAGTACGAAGTATGACCGCTCATATCCAGGTAAGTTCTTATCGTAACACTCGTCGTAACTTAACCAGCCAACCAGCAATCTGACTGATCCTGATCCTCATTATAAATCATGTTTTCCAGTTGCAATGCTCACGCGTCGGAGACTTTGCAAGCAACTCTCTTTTGCTCCCTTTCTCTCCTCTTTTCCCCGAGTTGATTCATCAGTGACAGATGTGGTTCGGAGTGGCTGGAGTCACCTCCACGCGGGACTAAGATACGCATGTAGACGCACGGTCCACGTGTGCGGTCCACGTCGAATTGGTAAGTGGATCAAGGTTCGCAGCATTGCGCGAATCTGGTCCGGCCGGAGTTCTCGGGCTTTAACGCAACGCTATTACGCTTATTACATGCGATGCGCGTAAGAGACGGTCAGCCGGCCGGCACGGTGCGTGTCGGTCGGGTGGACGAGGCGTGGTGGCGGTGTTGTGCAATCCGCACATGAGTATGTTGGCACTGTCGGAGAAAGTGCCCAAAGAACGCTCGTGAATCGTTAATGGGCCGCTCCGACAAGGTGGGATAACAGTGAGCTGATAGTATCTGACCCAAATTTCCGTAATTGGGTCCGGTCAAATTCGATGTTTCCTTGATGACTTCTGCTATTGCGCTATTTTTGCATCTTAGTCTACGATTGGATCAGAGAATTGAATAATATATCATGACACCGCGCGCTCATACATATGTATTCGAGAGTTATGCAATTCCATCCTGAAAATGATCTCGATTTGTAATTGCCATCACGAGACCAGACGATCCCATCTGGACGAGTCTATTTTACCAGAAGAAAAATAGATTAGTTTTATGTACACACTGTCTTATATCTCGTTTCTCGTTATTTTTAAGATCTTCACTGCTAGAGTGATGAGCAATAATGATAACGATCAAGAAGAAGCTGCATAGTTGCTAGAATGAACAATCATTCCGCGTGAGGACGATGATAATTATTCCAAAATTGCGTTCTTCACTGAACCGATCATTGTAGCGGAGGAGTGAATGTGTCGAAGATAAGCGAAGGTAAATCTCACACAACTGATATACTTGCTAAGAAAAATGAGATTTATTCGATAAACATGATTCCTAAGTAGCGATCCGGTCAGTTCAGTGGAGGTAGGCAGGGGCTGCGGCGTAGGCAACGGGGGCTGCGGCGACCTTGGCGATCGGCGAGGCGTACGCGACGGGAGCGGCGGCAACCTTGGCGAATGGCGCGGCGTAAGCGACCGGGGCAGCGGCGAACTTAGCTACGGGGGCGGCGTAGGCGATGGGTGCGGAAGCCACAGGGGTGGCGATCTTCGCTACCGGCGCGGCATAAGCGAGAGGAGCTGGTGCAACGTGAGCAATGGGAGCGGCGGCGGGTTCCTTGCGGACCACGGCGTTGAATCCGTTGACTGGATCAGCGGTATAGTCAACAGTGCGCCTGGTGCCATCAGCTTCAAGGAGGGAGTAGCTGCCTTGGACGATGTCGCCGTCACGGGTCTCCTGCTGGCTCTTGGCGTCACCGGTCAAGCTGTCGTGTACGTCGTAAGCGTAGCTGTACTGGGGATGCGGGTCGAAGTCAGCGTCGACCGCTTTGGCCACCACAGCCTTGGCAATGGGGGCTACGGCGAGGGGAGCCGTGGCGTACGCCAGAGGAGCGGCGGGAGCGATCACGCCGGCGTTGGCGGCGGCGAGCAGGGTGGCGAAGGCGACAAACTGCGGGGATACGAGTGATATTGTTAGTAGATATCCAATCAGTCAATATATATATATATATATATATTGACCGATTGGATATACTCTAAATATTATCAGTACAATTCATTATCTCAGAGTGCAATATCTTCTTTGCGCTAGAATTGTACTGATAATATTTAGAGTAAAATACTAATTGCGGTAAATTTTCAGTGTTTAGGGCACGAACGATGATTAGAAAATAGAGGAACGCGAAGACAGCTCGTTCAGTGAAGTCGCTTCAACGAAAGCCACAGTACGTGCCGAGTTTACTGAGTGCTCGTTTACTTACATGCATTCCACTTTCAAGCGGGCGTCCGTCGTTAATTGTGCCTTTTTTCGACAGATCAATGAAATAATACTACAGAGAACGATAATAAGAGTGTAGCTTCGAAACTGAATGAGCGTATCAACCCGCAATTACCCCTCTAATTTTTATAATCCATAATTAATCGAATTTCGTCGTCGCACGGAGCGACTTCAAGGCGGAGAGACACGACCGGTACTCTAAGAGTCGCAATACCTTGAAGGCCATGGTTGCTTGCTTGATCGGTAGTTGGCTCGAGCTGTGAGTCTGTGATGCGAATGATACCGATGGATGGGCCGTTTTCGGCTTTTATACCACCGGGTCGGAGACTACCAAGAGGCCCACACCACACTATGCCGCACCACCACACGCCAGGGCGTACGTCACTGACGTAACTGGGTGACGGTACCTTCAACGGTCACCCGATTCGCGGCCACGTACCGAGTAATACGAAATTGAGCAAGAAATCGGACCACGCCCAACAACGAGCCAGCCAGACTCAAGTTTAAGCCCTGCACTCTTTAGCTCCGAGACAGCGGGCGTAATGTTGATCGTCGTCGTTGTCCGACACTAGGCCACGTCCTTGCCACAAATTACCTAATCCTCCCCCGCTTACGACTCCGTTGATAGTTCCACGGAATGTTCGTTCTCTCGGTCTCACTCGCTCTTTCGAATTCCCTCATTATTCTTTCTTTCTCTCTCTTGTTCTACTTCTCATGTCTGTCTACTTTCTTTTAATCGAAGATTTTGTACAAGAGAAAGACTATGAGAGCAGCGTATATTCTCTCTCTTATGAAAGATTTTTCACATTTCTATGCAAAACTGGGTTCTTTTGTGCGTCGTGTGAAAGGTGTGACGCGGTTATTTCGAGTTCGATAAGATGTTCAGATGTCTCTTCTCATTGGGTGATATTACATAATTACTCAATATGATCAAATGCTCTCTTCACGAGAGTGTTCTCTTTATATCGGACGATTACATTATTAGACATTATAAGATGACACGGCATGACTTTCTTTTTCTCGCGCTCTATGAAGTCTCACCCAAGTCTAATTAATACGTCTACGCATGTCGCACAGACACGCGCTCATCTATCACTCGGTTCTCCTGACAGATTTTTCTGAACTCGTCTTTTCGGCCGCGGTGACTTTAATGCCGCGCGTTTGATAATCTTATACTACTCGCCCGTCCTACGAGTATTATCTACATAAGATTTCTCTCGCGATGCTATTTTTCAACTTGTCGTGTCTCTCCGTTGGCGGAACGCTAACGAATTTAGCGTTCTTACACGCGATCTCTTTGTATGATAATTTTTTTGTTTTTTTAATACATGGCAATGTTACCGCAAATTCTTCCGAATTTTTACCTCGATTACCAAACGTTACCCTTGTAACACACGGAATGCAGCTCGATCGAGTTGCACAGTACTGTGCAATATACACGATGCTACTCGCATCAAATTGCGTGAGCCTTCGACGACATTCGATTCGTGTACGCGCGTGTGTGGGCCGCGTTTCGGTGCAAGAGCGTCGATCGATACCTAAGGAGAACTTGATGGGTACGTGGGTAGGTTGATTAGTGGTTGGCCAGATACTCGAACCCACGGATAATTATGTGAACTGTTGTTTCGAAACATTATTTCGCATGTAATTTTACGTCTGATGAATTGTATCTCTTAGGATGTCGAGAGGTGGTATCAGCTGATTGCGCGAATGCGACAAGGGAGCGCGCTTGTCCGGTTCGGAGGTGACGATAATCTTCAGCAAAATTTGGGTCGAACGCGAGACGCGGAGGAGGGGAATTTCTACAATTTTAAACTGCCGTACCCCAGCGAGCAAACTTGCCGCATTTCTCGATGTCGAAACGAACGAGAGAGGTAAGTGCGCGAAGAAAAAGGAGCACTGGCGCGTTTATCGAGCGGAGAAGTCTCGCGGTCGGTTTTCACGCACGGTTGAAATATGGTTATCGCGATTGTAATTAATGGTATTTTGTTGCAAAGTGCGAAGGCCGCACGGCTGGAATTCAACTTTGAGTTCGAGTCTGCGACCCGTCTCTCGATAATGGACACTCACAGCGGGCGTTCCGCGACAAAATGCGTTTCTCCCCGATGGAGGAGAACAACGAATGGCCGCAGTCTCAATTTCGGTCTTGACGTCCGGATCATCGGTGAGCGCGATTTGTCGCCGGTCACTGGTCGTACCGGACTTCCTGTCGCGACCTTCAGCCTTTCCATAATCGGCCGAATCAAAGCCGACGGGTTTTTACGCCGAGAGAAAAAAAGGTGATGAAGGGGACGAGGCTGCACGCGCTCCGTAAAAGACTCATTTGCAATTTATATCATAAATTACGCACCGTATGAAAAATATCGCACACGAACTCGTCTTCTTGCGGTATCGGAAGCGACACGGCGACATTATTACGATGTATTTGTGCCGCCAATTGCATTCCTTATGGCCGCACGACGATAAATTGTACAAAATTACAACGTCATTGGACAACCCAATTGCGTTGACGGAATTAATTACATTTCTTAATAAGCAGCTTTCGTCGGATGACGAGTTCGAGCTGATGAAAATATACAGTCGAAATATATTATTTCAGAACAAACAAGATTTTTTTTTTAATTAGGCCGCACTCGTCTTGGGCATGCGAGGAAAACTAGTCTTTCTCTCTCTCTCTCTCTCTCTCTAAAAATTTTACAGATTTCATGTACAACGCGGCTCTTCTCTGATGTTATGGAGATCTCTCGCAAAGACTGGCGACAAAAACCGCGACAATGATCGACGAAATCTCAATCGTCAATCAGTGGCCCGTCCGATAATGCCCGCGGGCCCGCGATCGATCGAGGTGGGCCTCGACACGCGAAATTCAGTCAGCCCACCTATTTTTTCTTTATGAAAGTGCTCCACTTCTCTCTCCCTCTCTCTCTCTCTCTCTCTCTCTCTCTCTCTCTCTCTCTCTCTCTCTCTCTCTCTCTCTCTCTCTCTCTCTCTCTCTCTCTCTCTCTCTCTCTCTCTCTTTCTCTCTCTCTCTCTCTCTTTCTCTCTCTCTCTCTCTCTTTCTCTTTCTCTCTCTCTCCCCGACCGTCGCACGGGCCCCGCCGACGACGTTAGATATGATTACGCAATTAAGACGCGTATCCCGTCCGAGACATGACACATTCGACACGGCAACACGTATATCGAAACGCCTCGAAAGTTTCGCGATAACAGCGACAACGACGAAGAGCAGGAGGAAGAAGTTGCAGTACTGCTCGCGATTCTCGTCTCCTCGGCCATGTGTTACTTAAAAGAGAAAGAAAAAGAAGAGACGTTTCTTGATATGAAATATCATCTCTCGCACGTGGGGAGATGCTGGTATACTGAAGTTCTTTAGAAGAGGAAAGAGGGATATCACAGATTCAGTTTTTACGTAGAAATATCAATTCGTTTAACATCTCAAATTCATTTAAAAGCTCCTCATGAGAATAAAATTGAACGGTGGGAGATTTGAGAGTCATCGAGATGTCTTATGAAGAAATGAAGCAAATTTCTATATTTTTTCCTCCTTCTTTTCTATACATCTCTTAAAAAAAGTCATTGAAATAGTATTTTAAAAATAGATATACAAGGTGTATCCGGGTAAACTGACTGATCTGCATCGCCTAGACGAGTCGACGCGAATTTTAATTCTTGTTTTGATCGTTCATAAATCGCTCACGGTCGTCTTTTTTTGTCACGTCTAATGATACGAATTGCTCTTAGCTAATCGCGATGGAGGTCTATATTATAATTATCTACGATCAATAATCAGCATCGTGAAAAGTTGTTGATTCATACAAGGGACTGCATACGAAAAGCATTTGGTGTGGTCAGTAATGTAGGACCAGACGCGACAGTATTGCACAACGGTACGAATCGATTATGCTGGAATAAAGGGAAAAAGTGAACGAGGCTTTCATTACGACACAACATGAAAAATGAACGACCTTTGCCAGTTGGAAAGAAATGTCAAAGTAAAGAAGAAGCGTGAAGTATAAATGACTTTTGCGTTTCGCACCTTGTCGCTTACTGTTTCCTTTATATAATGCATTAAATCTTAACACGAAAGGTGCTGGTCATTCAGCTTCGCACTAAGATCAAGTGATTTCTAGATACTTCCGCTTTGCAGACTCGCTGTCGACATCTTTGGATTTCTAATCGGCCAGGAGAATTGAAAGAGAGGGTGCGCTTTCGCGATCAGCGGCCAAGTTCAAGTGCGGTCGGTCGACCGGTCGTGGATGTCAACGGCGGCGAACTTTCGAAGTTTCAGACCGGGATCGACGGTGGGGATCCACGGTGGTGGCCCAGCCACATCGGGTATATAAAGCGGCCGCGATCAACACTGGACATCATCAGTCTCGCTTTGGTAGATCCAAAACCAACCAAATCCATTCAACAATGGCATTCAAGGTGGGTAAAAGGTCGCACAAGGCTGTTGCAAGCTGTACACCAAGTCTCATCGAACTCTCTTTCTCTCTCTCTCTCTCTTTCTCTCTCTCTCTCTCTCTCTCTCTCTCTCTCTCTCTCTCTCTCTCTCTCTCTCTCTCTTTCTCTCTCTCTCTCTCTCTCTCTCTCTCTCTCGAGTCTTTGTCTGACTGGCCTATTGAATTATCGAATAATATATAATTGGAGACTACGAATTTGTGGAAAATTGAGAGAACTCCTGGCTCATTTACTTTCTCTTTCAGTTCGTCGCTTTTGCCGCCCTCGTGGCCGCCGCCAACGCCGGTGTACTCGCCCCTGCTGCTTCCCTGGCGTACGCCACAGCTCCCGTGGCTGTAGCCCCCGTTGCCAAGGCGGTCGACGCTGACTTCGACCCGCATCCCCAGTACAGCTACGCTTACGACGTACATGACAGCTTGACCGGTGACGCCAAGAGCCAGCAGGAGACCCGTGACGGCGACATCGTCCAAGGCAGCTACTCCCTCCTTGAAGCTGATGGCACCAGGCGCACCGTCGACTACACCGCTGACCCAGTCAACGGATTCAACGCCGTAGTCCGCAAGGAACCCGCCGCCGTCGCTGTGAAGGCCGTCGCTGCTGCTCCCATCGCCGCTCACGTCGCACCAGCTCCCATCGCTTACGCTGCACCAGTCGCCAAGTTCGCCCCCGTCGCCAAATTGGCCACCCCGATCGCTGCTCCCTTCACCTACGCCGCGCCAGTAGCCAAGTACGCCGCCCCGGTCGCTGCTCCCATCAGCTACGCTGCTCCCATTGCCAAGCTGGCCACCCCGGTCGCCGCTCCCATCAGCTACGCCGCTCCCGTGGCTAAGATCGCTACCCCCGTCGCTGCTCCTGTGGCCTACGCCGCGCACCCAGCTCCCGTCGCCTACGCCACACACGCAGCTCCCGTCGCCTACGCAGCACACCAAGCTCCCGTCGCCTACGCCGCGCACCCAGCTCCCGTTGCCTACGCCGCGCACGCAGCTCCCGTCGCCTACGCCGCGCACGCAGCTCCCGTCGCCTACGCCGCGCACCCAGCTCCTGTGGCTGTTGCCGCACATGCCGCCCCCGTAGCGTATGCCGCGCATGCAGCACCCATCGCTAAGATCGCTGCCGCGCCAGCCATCTCCTACGCTGCTCCCGCAGCCTACATCCACTGATCACCTCGTCCCCGCCATCCCCCACGTTGTCGACTCAGGCCGAACTTTTATTTATTTTTATAGCAGACTCTTTTCTAAATGTGACTGATTAAAGTGAGTTACATAATGTAACATTTGGGACTATTGATTTGCACACCTAAGGCCACCTTTCAGTCCGTTTTCCACTACCATAGTATATTCGATATGCTCGATATGCTATAATACTTAATAATTAAATATGCTTAATAATTAACTTAATAATTAAATATACTGCCAGAATGTATTGGTATCTGGTGTTGGTTTTTCTAAAGAAGTCGCACGGTATTGCGTATAATACTCTTGCGCCGATCATAATCGTTGCAATAATTAATAGTCGCGAGCGTATCACAGCAGATGAATAGAACATTAGATTAGATAATCTAAGTTGATGAAACTCGTTCTTTAGCTGATACAATTCTACGAGGCTACGCGGAGCGATTATTATTCACGAGCACGTCACCGTGCGACTTTCTAGGAGAAGAAAGGCGAGCGAGAGAAACGCGATTAGAGCGATCGAATCGAGACGTTGAGAAAGATTACCACACGTGTGATGTGCTAATCGCGAGCGCGCGTCATATGCGACATTCCGGATTGCTGTTGCAGCTCGTATTGTTCTGTGTTGTCCCGCCAATGAAAAGGCACGGCGATGTCGAAAGCCCTCGATACTGTTCGCGCCGAATCTATTCTGTTTCTGTTGTGACGTGTTTGGATATAACCAACGCGTCCGCGGTATCGCCGTTCTGTCGCTTCTGTCGCGCTATTAAGTCGCCGCTGCGCTGCGTTTATGATGCGCAATGTTCCAAGCGATTCACGCATTGTGGAATGTGTATGTACGAATTTTAAGTTGAAAGTAGAAATTTGCGAGCGCGTGAGTAGAATGCAAAGAGCGGATTGTGAGCGCACATGACTCTCCGCAAGATTCTCACGCACCGAAAGCCGTCGTGCGCGAATCGCTCGCTCTGGAACTCCCGGCGCGAGTTTTACAGAAACATCGGAGAAATTAATGTAAGAAATTAATTACTTACTCGCTGTACGCGTTGGAATTGTTTCATCACACCCCTCTTCAGCTCTGAATTGTTGCAGTTTTATCGAGCAAGGATATAAAGTTTTATCTCTCGCTCTCGACGTGAAATTCTCGGCCCCGGGACGAACCTCCCTCCTGCTCGCCGTGCCCTTGGCGTTCGGGGTAAACTTTCGTACGTAACGCCGCGACGTCGGATGTCACGCTATTTTGGGCGTTCCGGCCAGAAGAATTGACCCACTTTCTCCGCTTTTCGCTCGTCCTTTCTCGAGCACCTTCCTGGGGCCGCGCAAAGATCGCGGTGAAGCTGCGCTTTTGTTCGCCGCGCCCGGTCCCGCCAATCGAAGGACCAATTGCAAAAGCGTTGCATCGCTCAAGGGTCGAGCATGACGATGGGAAAACACCAACTTTGCACGAAGTCGCCCGTCATATTCTACGGACGATGACTCGCACACGTCTCTGTCCGCGAATCCTGCTCTCTCGTTTGATCTTCGTTTCGCTAATTAAACATTTCGATTGGAATTACAATTAATTGTTCCCCTTAATACTGTATTGTGAACGTAGAGAGAGAGAGAGAGAGAGAGAGAGATAATTGATTAGATCATGATGAATCCTATAATATAAATATATTTGTGTGTTCATTGTACGTTTATATAATATAATTTGTATATTCATTCATATATATTCATATATATTCATATATCATTCATATATAACATAAATATTTAAAAGATATCTTGGAGATGTCTATAAAATATCGTACTCATTCTAGACATCTTTGAAACATATTCGTATTGTCTAATCCTCTGATGGAGTTCCAATTCACATGTTGTCGACTGTTTTGAATATTGTTTAATATCCAGTCAGAAACACAATGTTGATTCGATATTGATGAGGGTTGAATTAACGTTGATTCAACGGTTCATCGATCATTCCCACGTTAAATCAACGTCGAATCAACGTTATGGTTCTGACTGGACAGTTGTTCTGCGATTACATTGTCAATATGCGGTACAAAAGTCCCTTCATTATCAGTCAACAGTATGTTGAGATAACGCTCACTGCCGAATCAAATGTAAAGTAGATCGGTTGCGCTTATTTACATCGTCCTCTCGTGATTGTTCTCCCGAAGAATCGTGGAACCGCCTCGCGGCATCTCGCGCGCGTAACAACGCACATGTCGGCACAGGAGAGAAACGTGTAGGAAGAATTACGTATACACGCACGCCACCGAATTCGAGTTCGCTCGCTCGCGGGCTCGAATTCATTTGCCGATGAGGGAGAAAGGCACCCAAATTCCAGACCTCGATTTAAACGTTGTTGTTGCGCAACAGGGCGGACCGCTCATGCTTTTCGGGAAACACGTACATGCGTTCGCCCGTGTGCCCGACGAAGGAGCGATTCCGTGGAAACGATTGGCTATGAATTCCATATGCGACCGGCCGACGCCGGCTAATAATAAAGACCTTGGTATGAAAATTACTTTTACTCCAACATATATCGCATGTCTCGCGCTATAAATACCGCGCCATCTTATTAATCCGTCAAAACCCATTTAAAAATTTAGAGAGAGTGATGCATGGGAAGTAGTAAGAATTAAAATTAAATACATAAATTAAAAAATAACATATTAATATAAATAACAATTAAAAAATTGTCAGTTATATAATTATATTTAGTAGATTGAAAGCGTCCGATAAGTGGAACTTTTGGACGATTAATGGCTAAACAATGCCGCTTCACTTCATCATATCGAGGTGACGCTGATTACTTCTGCAGAAGGATTTAGATTAAGAAAATAGCGATTTGAATATTTCAGTATCTTCGTTCGCAGAGTTGAGAATTGGTCGCGATCAAAATTAAACGACGTCGGGGGAAAGCATCCGGTTAGAGATGCAAATTCGAGGGCGCGTTCGCGTTACGGTACGGGTTAACGAGAGTGGTTCTACCTGGGCCTCCGCGCAACCTTCCTCACACGGTGCTTCGACACGGTCGCCAATTAATATTCATCGATTTGGCCCGATCTTGCTCTCACCTCGTATCTCAATTGATCTTTTGGGAATTCTCGTTAGTGCGGCAAGTCGTTCGCGCCGCGCTGCGCCGCGAGGATAAGCCAATTATAAGTCCATGCGGGCGCTTGCGTGCTTGCGCACGCGGTGTAATATGTATGTACGCACGTGGAAGACAAAGCGACTTTCAAAAGTGAAAGATATCACGCGTAATGACGATATCGTAAAGCCCCTCGAAAGAAAAGTCGCTGTTGCGCAATCCGAACTGTCACGAGAGCGTCTTCGATGAAAGTGCAAGTACGTCGAGCTGGAATGTTCCGGATTCGTTCCGATTTTTCATTGATGTCTGTAATATAATATATAATATAATATAATAATAACGTGCTATGATGTTCGCTCATGTATACACACAAACACACATAATGTGCCTGCTACGGTGTATATCGTTGCGATTAATTTTATCAGTCGCGAGCTTACGACATTGTCTTATTTCACGCGATGATAAATCACCGCAACACTTCGTGACTCGCTCTTCGCAAGCGCAAGCGCGAGGCGTCTCTTCCTTTCTGCGCATTTTTTCATCATCCTCGTCGATGTAACTTTTTCGATATTATCCGTACACCCAGTAACATTAACGAACGACGGATCGCTTTGGCCGTAGCTTCCCTCTCACTTGTGTGTACTTGAAAACGCGTTTGTGCATCGGACACGGTGCACCGATGAGAAATTACGCGGTCGGCGAGAGGATCCCTGATGGATGTGACGTTAAATTTTACCTCGCACTTGTAGCTCGCGTGCGAATCCTCACGCCGATAATTTATGGGAAGCGAGAGGCCGAGCGACAACGATAATTTTTCGATATTCTTCGTGCTCCGCGGTTCGATCGATTGTTCAATTCGTGCATATACTGCGTACACGCGTGCGCGATATTCGACCGACCCCTTTTCGCTTTTGTCGTTGACCTTGATTCGCACTCGAGCCCAGACAAATAATAATAAAAAGAATGCGCGACCTTAATCAGTAAACTCGAGTATTTCATCGAGAGAGAAAGAGAGAGAGAGAGAGAAAGAGAGAGAGAGAGAGAGAGAGAGAGAGAGAGAGAGAGAGAGAGAGAGAGAGAGAGAGAGAGAGAGAGAGAGAGAGAGAGAGAGAGAGAGAGAGGAGAGAGAGAGAGAGAGAGAGAGAGAGAGAGAGAGAGAGAGAGAGAGAGAGACGGACGGCGATCTCGTTCGTTTGTTGAGATATTCGTTTGAAGCCGAGAGTTCATTCGATTCGCTTCGATTCTGTAACTCGTCATGTCAATCAAATGTATTCCAATCACGAGGCAGTTGCAGTTACCGCAAACGCTACGTGAGTATTTTGCGAATTGAATGACGATCGCTAATCGAACAATACGTTAGACCGTCGCGGTGTCGAATAGCACGTTTGCGATCCTACGCAATCGAGCTGTCTTGCGGTAAATCGATGGTCACTGCAGAGCAAAATAGCGCATCGATAACATAATAAAATAATAATAGATAATAAAATATGTAATAACGTAATAAAATATATGACATTTATATAAATATATAACAAATAAATATATAAAATTTTTCATTCGCTCGATCCTCAAATTATTAATTATTATGTATACAACTCAACGAAGAATATTGTACTGATAAAAAAGAGTGTTTCACTGAATCCTTAAAGCACTTTGTAATTATCTCTCAGGATATAGCGATCGTGTAACTTGTTGTTAAGAGTGAAAAGGAAAAAGTAATTTTTAAAAACGAAAATTAAAAACGAAAAGTAATTTTTCACAATTTTTCGACCGCTGGGAATGCGAGACTTTTCACTCGTAGGAAAGTTACACGATTGTCATCCTGAGCACAACCAGATTAATCTCAGGACGTTTCCAGCGATTTAGACTGGAATATTTCAAATATCTCAAATTAAAAAAAAAAGAGTTCTTCCATGTAAAAATTATTCCGCAAAGACATTGCAATGTAGAAGCGATGAATTGTCGAAGCGAGCAGTCGGTCTTGTATTACAATTGGATTGACTGGAAGAACGCGCAATAATCCTGCCTGTGGCAGTTCGCCCGCGCGGATTCCGACCGCTCCTTGTCAAAAATGGACCGGTTTTTTCCGAGCGAACGTAATACAGGGCGCGATTACGAGAAGGTGCCGCATAGTGACATTGGGCGCGGTTCTTTGACGGCCACGCGCACGCGGCTGCAAATGCGATTCTGTTCGGTGAAAGTCGATGAATCGAACCTCTCTTTCTTTCTTTTCTCGCCGCCGCGTCGCCGCCGTCGTCGAGCCTTTCTTCGTTATACCAACGTGGTGGTATTTTTGTTACTCCTCGTTATTCGTTACCGCGTATTCTTCGACCCGACACACACGCATTATCCTCATTCACAGGACAATTAGCAGTCCAAGAGACATATGTAATTTAATAATTATGCACCTCTTGGACAAAGTATTCCTTTTGCTTTATCGCATCAGCAAACTATTGCAGAGACTATAACTTTTACAGAGATATTTGTTGCGCCAGCACTTATTAATTGGTCGGCCATTCAAACGCAAGACATGACTAAACAAAATTCGAGTAACCGCTCACACGTCTGACTAGCGCTGATTCTTACTACTTGCTCTGTGCGGAAGAGTAATCCATTCACAATGATGTATCATCGCTGAATCGGAGAATTGTCGGAAGATAATACGTAGTAATCATATCGTGACGCATTCTTACTCGGACTCGTCGTATCGATAAATGTGAAACACTCGGATCTGATTATTTTATAAAGACAGATTCGAGTCCTTCCTATTCGGTTGATAGGTGAACATTGTATTTGTAATCGCGCGATTCTCTGTTAGAAAAAATTTACATCTAATTGCAAATTCAAGTCTGAGTATTTCACTCGAGACAAGTTTCAAGTAGCGATCGTTAATTAACACGATGACCGCCATGGTATTTTCCATCGGTTATTTCAATATTCAACTCAAGTCTAAATCGTCAAGAATGCGGTAAATAAATAGAATTCGCGACGCATATATTCACACTCGTTGGCTTCATCGACTCGCCTGTTTATATTTTATTTATTGTACGCAGCACTTAATAACGTTTCATATGTAAATTAGTGAAACGTGGTGATATGACAGCGTCAGTCACCGGTGATTAGTACTGGCAATCAGCACGTTGATGGGCCTATTAAGATAATTACAAAAACAAAATTAAACGAGAAGTTCAATCGCGTCGATGCTTGTTGGGCAGTCAACACGCGTAACCGAAGGTCGCATCGCGTGCCAGTATGCGTGCTTCTTGCGTAAACATGGCGGCGGGGCCCGGCCGCGTAACAACGGGCTCCCGAAACTTGCGTAACAGCGAGAACACGACGAATCGGACGTGACGGTTGACCGAACGAACGGGCCGCCGCCGCCTTGCAATCTATCCGCGAAATCGGTGACATTGATCGACGCACGCATGTCCACCTCGTCGTCGTCGCTCTTACCCGCCACACCCGGTCGTTCGTTGGTTCGCGACACGCGCGAGTATTATTACGCTAGCGCGGTGACCTACGACGTAACCGAGTAGGGTCGTCTGCGGTCAACGGCCTAGTCTACGTGCGAAGACGCGAGATACCGGCACTTTGAAAATGAAAATCCTTTCGTCTTCCCAGTCAGAACCACAACGTTGTTTCGACGTCGATGAGGGTTGAATTAATGTTGATTCAACGTTTCATCGACCATTTTAATGAGGAGTTTTTGCAATACCGCCTCTCAGATACGGTAAACGTTGATCGTGAATGCTATTGGTCGCGTATACTGCGACGTTCTTTCTGAGCGAATAACGTTTACCGTATCTGAGAGACGGTGTTGCAAAAACTCCCTAATGTCAAATCAACGTCAAGTCAACGAGTTATAGTTCTGACTGAGTCCATGCTTGCTCACGATCTAACTGAATCAATCATATAGGGTACAAGAGATACAAAGGCCCAGGCAGAACAGAAAATCATGATGTTATTAAAATAACGTCAAAATGACGAGGAAAACTCATTTTTTTATCATCATAATCCGATCATTTTCTCGTCATTTTGATATCATTATAATTTTATGTTTTACTTGGGGGGTGGAGTAAGTCTCCATTTTTCGAAGTTTGAAACTGTAACATAATTTCGAAAGATGTTTCTCACGCTGCCAAAAGTTGCAATAATGCTCAAAATTGAGAAATTCTAACGTCTAATATAAATAGCACGAGAAACGTTCTTCTTCTTTTTCACTAAAAATTGCGTAACCGTTTCAAATTTAGAGCAAACGGATAAGAACTCACTGCAGATTGGGTCACACACTCTTGCTCTTATTTTCAAGACTGAGACTCTATCCAACATACGTTGCCATTCGCGATTTCTGCAATAATAATAATAATCATTACATATAACTCACGGCAAACGATTTATTACGATCTCATCGAAAAAGTCGTGGCGAGGAAGCGAGGTACAAATAGCAAACATTCCCGAGGTAACAATTTATGGTAACGCGAGCTACGTAGTAGTCTACGCCAGAGCGGGTGCTGGCGCGTAAGTGAGACCGGCGACGGGGGTGGCGTAGGCGAGCGGCGAGGTGTACGCCGCGGTATACGCGGCGTAGGGGTAAGTCGGGTAGCTGGCTATCGCCTTGGCGGTGGCAGGGAGACCCACCAATAGCCCGCTCGTCGCTGGCTGCATCTGACCGACAACGGCTCGCGCAGGTGTCTGTTGTTGCTCCTGTTGCTGTTGTTCTTGCTGCAGTTCCTTTTCTTCATCTTCCTGCACCTGCGGTCGCCGCTGCTGTTGCCGCTGTCGCAGCTGCTGTTGTTGCTGCTGCTGCTGCTGCTGCTGTTGTACCTGCAACCTCGACGACTGTTGCCTCTGTTGTTCCTGCAACCGCTGCAACTGTCGCAGCTGCTGCTGCTGCTGCTGGCGTTGCTGATCCTGCAAGCGCTGCAGTTGTCGCAACTGATCACGCTGTTGCTGACGCTGAATCTCTTGCTCACGTGTGATGGTCGTTAAAGGGCCGGTTCGCGCCTCGACTACCTCCACGTCGGAGTCAGGTCCGACCGCGGGGATCGATGGTGCCGGAGCTGCGGGCGCAACGCCGACGGCGACCGGCTGCAACGCCGGTCTCAAGGGTAACAACGGCGACGTTGCGACGGCGGCGACTGCCGCGGTTGCTGGTTCCCGGCTGACGACCGCGTTAAAACCGTTGATCGGGTCCGCGGTGTACTCGACGATGCGACGTGTGCCGTCCGCTTCGATGAGACTGTAGCTACCCTGGACGATGTCGCCATTGCGGGTTTCGTATTGCGCTTTGGAGTCGCCGGTCACCGCGTCCTGCACGTCGTACGCGAAGGTGTACTGCGGCACCGCGTCGAATTCTTCCAGCTTCGCCAACGGCACCGTCGCTACCGCCGGCACGGCGGGCACCACCGCCCCTTGAGCGAGCGCCGCCAGACCCAGGAAGAAGATGAGCTGAAAAGCCATCAGTGAGCGTTGATCGTTGTCAAAGAGACAGCATCAAGCCTCGGTTAAGCAACTCCGATCGAGCAACACGGCGATATACCATTGATATATTTGTATTTGTGGTGTAATTATAAACTAACTAAAAGAACAAGAATACCTCTCTTCAAGCGGGAGAAAAGATCAGGGTGCGCCCTCGCAGCGGCGTTTCGCCGCGGGCCTCCCCAACTTCTCTTACCTTGCCGGTCATGTTTGTTTGTTCACAGGAGGATCGCCAGAAGACTGATGCCTCGGGGTTGGATTGGCCGTACTTTTATACGTCGTCGTCGTCGTCGTCACGTCTCGTGTCATCCGAGGACGATGATGCTCCTCGCGAAGCCGAATTCGCGTTAACGCCACCCGCGTACGGCCCCACTCTCTCTCCCCCTCTAATAATTCTATCTTCTTCTCTCTATCTCCTTCGATACGTCTCCTCTACGTCTAACCTCTGGTAGCGCTCCCAGTGACCTACCGATGATCGTTGCGACGTACAAGAGTCGTCGGGTTGTACCAATGTCCGACGAACGTTGTACCAATGTACGTGCGCTTATGTTTCTTCATATCGTCGCCGTGCGACGTACACGCGACTTGGGTGTCAATACGCCGAAGAAGACACATCGAAATGGCTCGAGGTCATTCGACGAAATCGCGAACCGCGAAATCGAGAACCGCGCTCTCGAACACGTTCTTCTTCTTTCTTCTCAGCTTCTCGATATTCATCTACGGATACAATGATAACGATATCAGATTTAAGATAATAGTAAACAAAAAATTACACTTTATGTAAAAACAGCATCATGAAAGTAATAGTATAGTAATGTGATCAAATAATTGTAGCTTATGACGATAAATTCCCACTCGCCAGGATATTTTATGGGCAGAATTTGGAGAACGGCCTTTCGCGCCAAGGAACAACCCAGTCAGAACCACCACAATATGTTGACTCGACGCCGATGAGGATGATTGAATTAATGTTGATTCAACAGTTTATCGAGCATTTCAACGTCGAATCAATGTCGAATCAACGTATTATGGGGTTCTAAGTGGGAAGGAATCGAGTTTACAACGGATTTGATCGATACTCGAAGAAAAAATGGAAGAGAGACGAGCGGTACATATATTGCCTGATGCAACTCGTGCGGGCGAGCAACCGATTGATCACTGAAATACGCGCGATCGTGCACGCTGTGCACGTATACGCGCAAGTGATATGTGCCAATATGTCGAATACAGTTGGCTGCTGGTCATTTATCAAGGTCGTTTGACGAAAGCACGAAAGCGTCCATTTGTCGCGAGTTCACGCACCACCACCCTGCAATCGGCGAATTTCACATTCAGCGGTAGCGACGATGAGTCCGCAGAGACGCGAGTCGACGTGTTACAGTCGCTACATTAATTACAGGACACGTAATCGTTAGCCGCGGTTGCTTCGCGCGCTCGCCTCTCCCTTGCGAAATGTCGTCGTAGGTTCGATCCACGTTCGGCCGATCGTCGCGTAAATTTTTACGTAACTCACGTATCGCCAATTCTAACAGACCATCATTCATCCACAAGTCGCTCATGAGTCGAATCGACATCGGGATCTCTCTGTAGTGAAAAAAAATCGAGAGCAAGTACACAAGCATACAAATACAGCGGTGTACAAATTCTCAAGTGATTTTCGAAAGACAGGCAACATAAACTCCGGTGATAATAACTATTAAAAGATATTTTTAAGACGCCTACTACAAAAAATGTCCTACTTCTAAAAGACGTCTGAGGAACATCTTTTATTAGAAGGAGGATGTCTGTAAGAAAATGTCTTACAGACATATAAAAGACACCCTATTTTTTTCAGATATCTTTTCATAGTTTATGCTATCCACGAAGCAAAATTTACTTACGAGGTCGCAAGAATATACAATACGGCATAACGGATGAAAAAACGCGAGATCACGACGGTAAATGATAATTCTTCTATGCAGCGCCGTTGCTTTCACTCTTGCGTAATAGCGGCGTTTTTTTTCTGCACGGAACCGGCTATAAATGTAATATTTCCGTCGTTACGAAAAAACGACATTGGCGTGAATATTAAAAGTACCGGCAGTACGACGATTTATCGTGCGGCGCACATTCCGCATATCGCTTCTCTGCGCCTTATTGTAATCACAAAAATATGCAGTGCGACGATTAGAATCCAACCGCAACCGGAAACACAACAAGATACGGATTCGTTAGCGGTGTATGAATCATTCTCGTCTCGCCGCTTCTTCCTTCATAAACAGAAATGAGTCACTCGGTATAATTAAGGAGGACGAGCACCGACCGTGACCGTGAAACAAGTCCGCAAACACGCTTACGCTTACGCAACGTGATGCCGCTAACGCTTCTTCTCTCATCCTTCCAGCCGCATCTCGCGGAAAGATTTATGCAATTACCAACGACATACTGTAATATTGTAAAAGCCCAATGAGATTACGTCAAAAATGATACTGTACTATGATACTGTACAGGGTGTTTTCAAAGTCATGTGTCCTTTTCACCATTATATTCCTTAAGAATCGATTTGAGAAAAATTTAAGAAAAATAGGGAAAACGTTGTCTCCTAGTGAAGATAAAAGTTCGGGTGTAGTGGTGTATACGGGCGTATATATGCAAACACACATATAATAAATAATACGCAACACTTACTTATATCGGTATTTTATTAATGTACAAATAATCGAATTAGCGATATCGTACGCTATGTGTATCTCACGCAGCACGATATCGGTCTATGTAATATTTGCATAAATCCCGACTGTACAAACATAGTAATACTGTCGAAATAGTTTCACATGATTATATATAAACATATAATGTATAAAATAAATCATAAGCGATCGAATATTACATATATATTACGTACATACATGATTATTTATTCGAAGTAAAATATTTATTTTCGTTGAAACATAATAAAATCATGTTAATGAATGCAACGAGAATGCTTACCTCGATATATGATTAGTTCAATGCCCAACTATAAATCTGTATATACAATCTGAGTTACTTGATTAAGAAGAATCACGAATCGACGTCAAGATGCCAACATCCCTATCAAACGAATGTAAATAACATTAATGGTGCATAACAACAGCTGTCACATGCTTTGTGTTAGAAATTAAAACTGGTATAATTCTCATCCAAGCTAATTATACCAGTTTTAACCTCTAATAACAAAATTTCACATAAACATTGATTTCTCATCTCTTTCATATAAAAATTACCTCACATAAAAAACTATCTAAACTTGATATCGCATGTATAATACAAGAAATAAATTCTTGCCCTGTCTATGGGTTCTTCCCATGCATACTGGCCAAGTATTGTAAGCATAGCCTTTGTCATTTATAGAAGTTTTGTTTACTATTAAGCAAACACTACTCTTTAAAAATTAATTTTGATAATAAAATATGAGAAATTCAGTATATCTTCCTCTGTTGTTTATGGCCATGTGATTTTCTGATATTTCTTCAATGGTTCCTGTAACATTCATACATAGTTCTACATACATACGCACACACACACATACATAGTTTTATTTAAACTATAAATTATAATCTCATATGAATCATATGTGAACATAACAGTTTATTACCTCATTTTGTTCTTCGCTTTTACGCTTGTTGATACCATTGTATATAGTTTCTACCTTTGATGTAGAAGATAATTGAATTTTTTTAGGTAAAGATCTTTTATCGTTAATTGAAAGTTTTAACTTATCCTCTTCAAACTGTGACGATGGAGACATCCTCTTAGTTCCTTTGCTTAAGTTTGTGTTTAAATTATATGCATTATTGTCCCTATAAGACATACCATCAAACCATGTTACGTTACATCAGAATAATGTTTTAACATATATTACAGTGAAATATATATAGTTCTTTTCAAGAAAATATAATTTTATGAACAAATTTACTTTGCAACTACAATAAATTCCTCTGACGTTGTATCTACTTTCATATCCGAAGTTTTCGTATTTTCACGTTGCCGCTGTGGTAACGGCATAGAAACTCGTTTATATATTTCCAACAATTCATTTTTACATAACTTCTCCAAATTACGAATGTCAATGCAACTCTGTGAAAGAGGAAAATGATGTACTAGTTAAATATATAATTTGAGACTGACAGAAACACAGCAAAGATGGTCAATAACGAGTTTACAAACACATACTTAACCTATGTAACTTACATTGCTTAAAAGCCCACGGAGCTGGTGTTCTGACAACAGCTCCGGGTGCGTGAGCTCGTGTGAGCCGAAACTCGGCATCCTCGTGTACGTTTCGTCACACTAGAGAAAAGGTTCGCGAATAACTTTGCTAACATCTCACGAGAATTGCATTCGAGGTCAGCTATTTATCAGGTGCTTATCGTCATAATCGGTTCTTATCGCCACTGAATGTCGCATGAAAAATATATCAGCTCGACACGTATCTTTCACAGTAACTATTTCGTACTGTTATTGAACAATACAAAGTTCATCTGACTCGTTGTTACGTTGTAACGTTTGAAAATAAACCCGAATTCCGCCGCTGCGACGAACTATTTGAAATAAAACTCTCTGACTTGATGTTGAGTTGTATTACTTGTAAAATAAAGGTCCGTTTGATTTGTCGTCTAGTCGTACTACTTCTTTGATCATCGGGTCAGAGCACAGACTTCTGCATAACGCGTAATACACAACGCATAAGAGAATCAACCAATCAGAGTTCTTCATTTCCCTCCTCAGGACAGAAATGAAGAACTCTGATTGATTGATTCTCTTATGCGTTGTGTATTACGCGTTATGCAGAAGTCTGTGCTCTTGCCCTTAAAGCCTATCCAGACAAACTTGCATAAGCGCGTAACGCATATGCATAAGGAAATTGACCAATTATGATCCGTGTAGTAAAAAAATATTTTTTGTATTAAATATACGATTAGTCAATTTTCTTATGCATATGCGTTACACGCTTATGCAAGTTTGTCTGGATAGGCCTTTAGGGCCAGAGCACAGACTTCTACATAACGCATAATACATAACACGTAAGAGAATCAACAAGTCAGAGTTCTTCATTTCTGTCCTGAGGAGGGAAATGAAGAAAACTAAGGCTGGTATTCATAGTCAGGTCTTATATTTAAGACCGTCTTAAATTCACTTTCAGATACTCTATAGCCAATGAAATGCTTTGCACAGAGTTTGAAGATAAACTTAAAGGCTCGTCTACAATAGCTGTAAGAGTAAGGCTGTAAGGCTGCAACGTAAGCTGTCAGCGAATGAAAATATTTCATTTTGTGTCTTGCAACCTTACAGCCTTACTCTTACAGCTAATGTAGACGAGCCTATAGACGGTCTTAAATATAAGATCCGACTATGAATACTGGCCTAATTGGTTTAGGCCCCTTGCACAATGCCAGGCAACAGGCAATAAGAATAAAAATAGACCAATCACAATAGATTATTCTTGTAATAATCTTATTGCCTGTTGCCTGGCATTGTGTTTAGGGCTTTATTCTCTTATGCGTTATGTATAAAGGTCATTCTACAATACGTGTCGTAAGTTGTAAGTCGCAAAAATTGGCGAATCACAGTCGATTATTACAAAAATAATCGGCTATAATTGGTTAGTTCTTACGACTTACAACTTACGACACGTATTGTAGAATGACCCTTAAAGTCATTCTACAATGAGGTTGTAGTAGTATGCAGTAGGCAAATTGACCAATCACAGTCGAATTTTCTTCGATCGTAAGGAGAACAATCGGTCGTGATTAGTCAATTTGCCTACTGCATACTACTGCATACTACTACAACTTCATTGTAGAATGACCTTTATGTGTTATGCAAAACCTGTGTTCTTGTCCTATACCATAGCCGAGCGACAACGACGTCGCCCCGCAGGCGGTTGCGAAGCAGACTGTTTAAACTGTTCGTTTAACTGTTACTACTAGATAGCAACACATTAAGGTCATCTACAATACGTGTCGTAAGTTGTAAGCCGTAAGAACTGACCAATTATGGCCGATTATTTTTATAATAATTGATTGTGATTCGCCAATTCTTACGGCTTACAACTTACGACACGTATTGTAGAATGACCTTTACACAGCGGTGATCTGCTACGATTAAAATGTTTATACATGTTGGTTCATGTATATACAAAAAGAGATAATAACAAAATTATGGATAAAAATTCACCCGTCCTAATAATAAGAGGTAACCAAAACGTCCTACAGTTCAAGGATTAAACGTTTGTTTATCAAGCTGGTCAGTTGTATTTTTCTAACCCTTTCGCTTCAAAGAATATATGTGTTCGAAAAATTGACATTTACGTAAGGACAGTAACATATACGTACAGCACAGTATATAAGACATTGTCAACTGAATATTTAATAGTTAATTATCATGAAACAATATACTGTCGACAAGGTATATCTGTTTTTTCAACAATAAGATACCTTCATCTGTTTGTTTCAAACAACGCAACGTATTATACGCTCTCCATATCTTAACCCGTCAACGACGTGCCCGTCTTCAGCGATCACATTTTATCATAAGCGCGCCGGAGCAAAAGGATGAAAGAAAATATAATTTATTTTTTGCGCTTATAATAATGGATAAAATAAAAAACAAAGTGAATAAAAATATTGAATTTGAAAGCAGTTCTGACGAATATGTATGTGAATTAGAGGCTGAATTGCAAGATTTATCTGAAGATGAGAATTTTCATGGTGAGTATTAAAATCAAGTGAAAATAAATTTAGAAAATGATTTAGCATGCTCAACAGATTCTGGTGAAGAAATATTAGCGGTATCACGGCGAAGAGATTTGAGGATAATATATAGTAGTGATAGTGAAGAAGAATGTTCTGCAAATGCCATTTCATTCTTGACTCAAAGTGATGAGTCTCCTTGGCTAGACGTTACGGAAGAAGACAATTATAATTACAATATAAACTTCTCAACTGGCGGAAATAACACTGGACCTCATGTTCCATCTAATTGTACAACACCACTACATTTTTTCCAACTGTTTTTTACGGATGATTTGATCAAAAAAATTGTTATAGAAACAAATATTTATACAGCTAACATTATTCAACACAAACAATTATCAATTCGTTCTATTTGGAAACAATGGAAAAATGTCACTGAATGTGAAATGAAGGCTTTCTTTGGTGTTATTATAAACATGGGACTTATAAACATGCCTAGTTTGCAAGATTATTGGGCAAGAAATTTTTACTCGAAAATACCATTTTTTTCAAAGATATTCTCACGTGATCGATTCATGCAAATTTTTTGGGCATTACATTTAGAAACACTTCCAAGGTCAATGAATATGACGACAAAAACTCGGAAAATCAGCAGCTATCTTGATTTTCTCAATAAAAAATTTATGGAACATTACATTCCAGAAAAAAATTTATCGATTGATGAGTCTACTGTGGGATTTAAAGGAAGAGTTTCTTTCCGTACATATAACATGCAGAAGCCAACAAAATGGGGACTTCGAGTATACATATTAGCAGATACTCGGACAAGTTATTTATACTCATTTGTTCCTTTTTATGGAAAAATAACAATAAATGACCTTATTAGACCAGACTTATCATTCACAAATAGGATAGTTCTTCAGCTATATGATAATCTTCAAAAATCGATACCTGGAGCCACTGGTTATCATATATTTACAGACAAGTTTTACACCAATCCAATACTTGCCACTGAACTTTTAAAACAGCAGTGTTTTTTAACTGGAACAATATCGATAAACAGAAAAGGTATATCCAAAAGAATAAGAAAATGTAAATTAGCAATAGGCCAAAGCATAGCCTATCGAAGAGAAAAAACTCTTCTTCTAGCTTGGCGTCACAAAAGAGTAGTCACGATGTTAAGTACAAAACATACGTCGGGTATGTTGACTCGGCCGAAAGAAAGATTTTCGAGGGAACCAAATAGTGGGGAACAACTTATAACAAAACCGAGGGTGATTTTCGATTATACCGACAACAACGTTAATACTGCAGATCAATATGCTGTGTCATATTGTTTCATTCGAAAAACATTGAAATGGTGGAGGAAACTATTTTTCTGGGGTTTTGAATCGGCTATTGTGAATGCATATATATTATACAAAGAATGCGCAGTAAAAAATGATGATATACCCATAACTCATCTACAGTTTCGAAAGAAATTGTTGATGGAATTAATTGGAGATTTCCGTGCGCCCAAATTACGATCAGAGCCAGTATCCGATAGCGATAAAGAGCAACGCCTAGAAAACATTCCGCATTTTATTTTTCAATTATCTGGAAGTAAAACTAAAGATTGTGTGGTGTGTTCCAAACCCAATGTTCCTGGTGAAAGAAAACGGACGAGTTATTTTTGTGATACCTGTGAAAGAAAGCCCGGGCTTCATCCGGGAAATTGTTTCAAACGGTATCATACTTTAAAAAGCTATAAAATGTAAAATTTTATGAATTTTGTCAATAAATTTATATATAAATGATAAAGTTTTATGTTTCCCCTCCTCAGCTAAAAAGTAATTCTAAATTTTTCATGACAGACTATATTCATAATTAGCAAATTGATGGAAGGAAATGTGGAAATATTCCTTCAGTGCAAAGGGTTAAGATAATTATTATATAAATGTGCATTTAACGCATGTTTGAAAATTTACTGTTATATATATATATATCCATTCAATTTTTATATATGCACGAGTCTTAATAAATATAAATATAATAAATAAAAATAGGATAAAACGTAATAAAATTACTGCCACTTCTAAAACTAACTTTCTTTATTCGTATCACCACTTTATACTCATTCTTATTGTATTCAATGTGAGATTTATATTCTCTCTCCATTTCTCTCCTACTCTCTCTTTCGCTCGCTCTTTCGTCACTCATACTTTCTTTCAATATCTATGTTACTAAAAACAATTTCACGTATAAAAATAATCGTAACAACAATTAGAGACGATAAACAACAAATATTCAATAACATATAATTCACATTTATATGGAAAGTAATACACACTCCATTCTCTTTGTATACGGTTCATATGCAAAAGATGTTAAATCTTATGGTCCTGCATTCCACACTTGTACATATCAAAAGGCATTCCTACATTTCGTATTTCGCTAGGTAAAATGATATCCCCCAGACCAAAATATCGTTATAGATATGCAGTATGTATATGTAATAGAGAACATTGTTATATCATGCGATAAACTATCTGCAATACTCGAAATAGAATATGTTCTGTTATGATTGTACATATAAAAAGTCTTTTTAAAGTATGTATTACAACCTTAACTGGGCATGATATCAATATTTTAGTAACATGATGCTAATCTTCAATACAATAGTTGCAAAGATTGAACAAAGTTGTTTCGGGAGGAATTCTCTCCTTCTGATACTTTGATTATTAGAATATTTTAATCGTCAAAACCGAGACTTGTTTTAAGCTCCATTATCCTGATACTGTCCTTCTCTATCGTTTTTTTTTCTTTTTTTAATTGTAATATCTGTGATCCTTTTACAAGTATGTAATCATCTTCAGTTTCATTTTATAAGATACACAGCTGAAACGTTAAAGGATTTACTTTCGCTTGAGCTGAATTATGCAAAATAATTATTATACGCATCGTTCGCAAAGAAACCATAACAAAACATAATATTTTGCAGTGAACGCACAATAATCGTCAATCATGCTGGCATTACAGCAATTTGTTTTTTTTTTACGTTAAATGCCGAATGTTATATACGCAATTCGGCGTATCTAGAATGTAATGAACAAACTTCGCAACAATATCCCTTCACATCACATTTTGTAACATCCAATGCGATAATAATGGCGTAACTTCGTGTATTTCTTTGACCCCATTAAAACACCAGTTGATTAACAGTATCATAACATGGACCTTCGAACATGTAATACAGCGACATTTGGAGAATTCTACTAGATACATTAAGTCATACATATTACTGTATATATATTTTCTCCGTGGAAACATTAAGAAAGGAAGTGTAAGTAAAAAGGCACTATTTCTGGATATGGGAAAGAATTTGTTTCTTTAGGCCTCCCTGAATTTCTATCGAGTACCTTCACGATCACAGACCTTGCATCAACAGAAGTTACGCCGCCGCGAACGTGCCATCCTTATATCTCATTGTACACACTTTTATAAAGTCTCAGTCATTGTTCATCTGTCAGAAAACATACCGACTTCACAAAGTAAATTATAAATAACCATTCGTAAGTTCAATTGCTCAGGCATACTCAAAAATACACTGGAAGCATAAACTTATCAATTACTCGCTTTTTATAAACTAGGGTGGAATTATATGCTACAAAACGATGGAATTTTTCATATTATCGCATACAGTTGACTAGTCGTGAGAAAATTATTAATTGGCAAGAGAATGTTCAATTGTTCCGCGCACAGTTTAAATGTGCCTTGTGTGGTTTTCGTCACGATGAATGTCTGCTTGTTGTAATCGCATTATGTAAAAACACCGGTGTTATGTTATATTGACTGTCGAGGATGACGTCGACTTAACAATCTTTCCATTAAACGGGTGTTTCGTGATCAGTCTCTTCGATTCTTCCCAATCTCCAAGCGTTCGGATCTCCTGCCGCTGTAAATCGAAATCTCACGTTTTTATAATTTTATACCATTGTAGAAAATTATATTTGAAAATACATTAACATATTAGTTATTTATTTAAGATATTATATATATCTTATAATCACTACGTGTCATATCTAATCACTGCGTATTAGTTCATTAATTAGATATTAATAATATATTAATAAGTTGATATTAACAGCGAATATAGTATTGGAGTTGATTGTAAAATTGAGAGGAACTAAAAAGCGTAACGCATGCGAGGACATAAATATTTGAATGCATCGTTTTCCTTTTACTACGATTGATTTTTTCAATATTAAACATGCTTTTCAGCAAATTACTGTGCTTAATATATTTTTGCTCATAGATATATTCTCCGTTTTTCGTATACATTTGACTTTATCATGCGTGATGAAAAATATTCGGAAGCATAGAAAAACTCACCTCGGTACAATACCCAGGAAAAATAATAAATGGTGTTACTCTGTAACATTTGTGTAATGTATGCGCGCATCCATTGCAGGAACATAACATGTACACCATATATGATTCTGTGCTAGAGCGTTGCACACAGACAGGCAAGGATATTATAGCGAGGATTGAACGTTTTTTTCGAACGGTATAGGGTGTAAAGGAAACGTACGAGGTACATTGAGGTGATTCGCATGGTGTAAGGTATTGCTCAGTACCTCTTGACTCGTGTACAGCAGCGGCATTCTCTCTTCTATCCGAAGCAAAATCAAAGTTGATGCGAAATTATAAAACAGTGCGTATAATAAATTCAAGGACATGTGACACATATTACTGCGTCACTGAGTTTTAATACCATAACAATTGTAAACGTGAGTAAAGATTGTATTACTTTGAAATGGGAAGAGTGTGAAGTGCTGCATTACAAAGGTATATATTAGGTAAGAAACATTATGTATTCTATACAAAATAAAAACATCGAGAGTCTGCTTATTCTTTCTTTCTTTAATCAACATTTTCTCCATTTATTATTTATATCTTATATTTATGTGGAATACTACTAATACAGTTTCATAGAAATGATTATTATATAAAGTTTTCTGAGATTATCTGAAGTTATCTGAAGTGCAAATTTTAACAATACAACCAAAAATCCAGTGAATATAAGTAATTAACGAATTCATATTCATTATGAAAATCATTTGTTGAGAATAAAAGCCAATACCACGAATATTACTACGAATTATACCGACAAAACTAGGTACACGCAGAACATGCACATGCCCATGTTATATGGATAATATTACATGTGTCTTTTATATTCATTAAAGAAAGAAATAATAATAGTAGTATATAAAAAGATAACAATATATAAAATAATATACAAGGCATAAAAAGGTATATAGCCATTTTTAAAAAATATATGTTAACATATTATATAATATATTAAGAGAATATCGAGAAAAGAAATTCAAAGTAATACAAAAATGATAAAAATCTCTATTATACACATTTATCATTGGATTTATCAATAACAAGGAATATTAGATATTGAAAGAGACATACCTTGAAGTTGACGACTGATGAGAGCAGTGATGCCTTGACTGTCACCAGTCTTTTTTACAACGAAAAGCTTCGTATCAGTATCGTTTTCTAAGGCTCCAATTCCACCTAGACCAATTATCTGTCCATTCTGTTGCTGATGACTACTAGCAGCCATCGTTTCACTGACCTATTGCAAGAAAATATAGTACATTTCCTCGATTTTCCTCTTCATCAATCTTCTAATTAATCTTTTTTAACATTTAGACAACACAGAATTTTTGGCGATTTTTATTAATAATCGTTCGTTAAAATTTTGATATTTACAAGCAAGTATTTACGTATAATGAAAAGTATTTATATAGTATTCTATAAAATTTATGTTTAAAATCTTATAAACATCAAACCGTTTTAATTTTTTAATAGGAAGTCCACAAACACATTTCTGCGATGATCTAACAGATGAAGCATATACCTGCATCAATTTCTTAACAACATCTCTGCCCAGAATATGATCAAATACTGCTTGCAGGAATTGATCGGTAATTATGCTTAATTTTAGTTTGTCCCTATGCCATAATAATATCCTTGACTCCTCCATAGCTGTTATTGACACCTAAGCAAATATATGACATAATTGCTATTACTTGTATTGATTTCTATCTATAGTAAATAACAATTTCGATAAAGTGCAGATAAAAAAATATTGATAATGCGCAAAATAGAACTTTGCTGATATGAAGAGCGTATCGGTGATAAATACGCACGATAGAAGCTTAACAATTTACCTGGAAGTACTCGTCTGTCGAAACGCCAAACCATTCTGGAGAATCCAGGAACTGATGTGGGAAGACAATATGCAACGCTCTCCCATTTTGCGAAACCACTAGCCTGAGAGAAATAAAGAGAGGATGTTCAGAAATAAGCAAAATTTAAAGAAAAATGGATAAATTTTGGAATGGGGAAATTTCATATGATAAAATTCATGCTTACTTTCCCGACAGCACCAATGATAAAGAATCAACTTTGGTCACTTTCTCCTGCGCATAAACCTCTTGATACTTTAACTGGCGAATAACCTTCATGCAATTTAGTACTTTTCTAAATTGATGACGAGACACCCGTAACGGCTGGAACACTGCAATGTACACCTACGTGACAGAAAACGACTGTGAGATATTTTTATTAACACTTTATTAAAGAACGCTAAGATACACCGACACATCATCAGAGATATTGGAAAAACTCCCATCCACATCACTGCACTTTGTTCCTGATATCGATATATCGATATAGTCAGTCAATAAGTTATTGGCTAATATAAAGAGAGAGAATTATCCGCTACGTTCGAGATAAAATAGCAGTTGATTTCAGCCACTAGATTCCACAGCACACCACTCGATTTCGAGATATGAACTAAATAGATACATCAGTCATAATAATATATTTTATAACAGTGCAAAATTAAATATATAAGAAAACTTTGTGTATGATACAAGTGCTGCAGCCAGACAGAAAGCAATAGAAATCATCCTATATTATCACTAATACACTATACTACTTTCAGAAAATATATAATGTATCTATCCATAAAGATATATATATAAGACAGTAGTTCTGAAGAATGTAGACAAATGCTCATTAGAAATGCTCACATGTTTAATGCGTTATGTGTGTGCATGTATAAGTGTGTATGCACGCGCGCGTATAAATTATTATACCGTAATAAATAAATTATATAAAAAATAATTTTTTAAAAATAAATAAATATCCTCTTTTTTCATTTTTCTCTACCGATCTCATAGATTATTAATAATTTATCGATATATCATTGATAAAATTGTGGATTAATATCCGTAAGTAAAAAGGAAATAAATAAACATGCAATAAGATGCCTATAAATTTAATAAAAAAAATTTAATATGAACGAAATATTTTTGACAATTCATTCCTCTAATACGTGAAAAGAATAAAACGGGCTATTAAGAAAAAGGGAAATAAAAACTACACACGTTTACCAATCTTAAAAGAATAATATGTCACCTAAAGATCAAATGTATGTCAAGACATTACTCCCTCAAATCATTTGTCTTCTATTCGATCTTCGCTTACCTCTTCAATTTCCCTTGAAAACTTGATAGGCCTGAGCTTGTAAAGAAGCGTGCATACATGGACGAAGTTGATGGCAACAAAGAGAACATTCCAGAGAGCAGCGTCCAGCCAGCAAGCTATTGTCCAGCCCCACAAAGCAAGAAAGGCACAGCCCACGAGTAGAGTGCACCTTAAATAGAGTACACCATGTATGCCGCTTGGTGCAAGGTGTGACAATAGGAAGAAGGCATTTGCGAGTTGAAAGTAGATGTGGTTCACATAAATTCCTTGATAGGGTTGGCAGGTAAGAGCTCCGTACAGGAAGGTTGGAGGCACTATCGGCGAATGAGGATAACCGGATCCATGGCTGACCACTGACAGTCCAGTACCTAGAGAGAGAGATGAGACAGCATAGCGCCATTGTTTTGCTAACACGAGAAAAAATTATCCGTCGCAAGCGGTCGTCGGGTTAGGTCGGGGAAGCAGAATCTCAAATGTACCCTCTCTATTGTCAGTGGTCACATTCCTGCATTCGTCGTTCTCGTGGTGTGCCGACGTTGGTACCGATATCTCCGACGTAACGGTATTACGTGGGACATTGGACGCGGCCGCATTCGTTAGGCTGGCATCGATGGTGATGGAGGTCCAGTATAGAAGCACGACGAACGAAATGGAAGCACCCCAGCCGTCTCGGCTTCCTATCGGGTCGAAGCAGATCCACATCCCCGCATTACCACCAAGCTGGACCAATTTTGTTTCGCTCTGTAACAAGCAGTTTTATTCACTGTAACAGAACACATCTGCATTTTGAAAACAATACTTTGCTCCATCCATATAATTGTTACTCACATTTCTGTATTACTCTCAGCTAAAATTGGAACTTGACGATGAGAACCATCTTGCAGACTTCAGATCAAGGAAGGGTATTTGCATTACCAGCGGCTGTGGGAAGACAATGTTAACATCTGTAATGCAAATGAGTAGATACTGTATTATTACACACAATAGTAAGAAGATTAAATATATCTTGTCAATGCTACCAAATACGTATGAGTGATGAAATTATCATTTATAATTAGAAATAATTATGCTTTTTCTGTTTTATGTATCTATCAGTGCTCAGACAACAGGTTTGATAAGACCATCCATCATTATTATTAATGAAAAGAAGCCTATTGTTAGCTTTTAGCAGAGGTGCTTGGTAAATGATTGGTCGAGAAAGAGAGTGTAACGTATGAGTCATTTGGATAAACTTCAACATTCTCTCGAATGTGCACTCGATATACACACACACACACACACACATACACACACACACATTATATATATATATACTTACATCATATATAACACACGCACACATGTATACAATAGGTATCTTTTTTGATGTGCTATATAGCGTTATTTTACATTTGACTTTTATTCGGTAAAGCGACTGTTTTTCACAGTAAACCGTGAACGCACGCGGCAGTCTCGCCGCGTCGCATAATTGTTCGCACATTTCGATCCGTTTTACGACAGGAATTACGTACCTCGGCACATTTGGCAAGTGCATATAAACCGATCTATGGCAACGGAGCGCTCGAGAAATCTCATACGAACTCGCGCGTTCGTATACACGTTCGTTCGTTGTCGTCGTCGCCGTTGGACGCATAGACGAACAGACCGAAGGATAGTAGTGGTGTTACTGCTAAGATTTCCGCGTCGTTCTCGAGACGCGAAGAATGGTCTATTCGTGTGCGAATCGCGAAACGCTCGTTGTTAAGAGTATCCCGTCTCGAAATCAATAAATAACTTACTCATGGAAAATCGGTGAAGGTGGGGGCGTACACAAGGCATACAGATGAGAGGGCGAACGGTGATGACGGTCGCGCGTTCGTAAGGTAAGAGGAGAATAATCGAAAATAATCGTTCTCGTCCTTCTTGTCGTCCTTTTCCCCTTCGTATTCCTCGTAGCCCTCGTCGCCTCTGCCGCCGTTGATAAGCCGGCCGTCGTGAGCGCACGCGTTGCGTGGGAACACAAACCGAGATGATCGTTGCACTCTCCTCGTGGTGATCGTGGTGATGTTGCGTTGCGCCACTCTCCTCGCTCATCCACCCACTCGCACGTAACGGAAACGTCAAACTAGCGCGGCCGAGCGACGTCGCATACGCGGGTCAGATCGCGCGCTGAGTAGGGGTCAGTAGGGGGACGGGGAAGAGGCAAGAGGAACTAGCGGGGGAGGCGGAGACGAGGAGCTAGAAAAGGACTCGAAAATAGGCCGCCGTTACGGAGGGGAACGTTCGGAAAATTTACGCTCGTCCCTTTCGATATGCCGAGAGAATCGAAACGTCGAAGTTATCGGTTGCACTGAAGTACTCCGCATATTCACATTGCGCATACCTTCGTGTTCCTTTACGATCGTGATCGACACCTGTTCCTGCCACTTGCACCTTCCGCGCCTTACGAGCCGATTCCGCAATCTCTTCGTGCGAAATCTTGTGCGAGCGCGAGCTAAAATGTAAAAAGACGATAAGGTCAGAAAAAAATATGTATTCTTGGTCTCGCTATTTCCGATACTGGTTATCCGCAATATCGATTAACCGTTGGTTAACCTCATCGATCCTGACTTGGACATTTTTTCAGCGTTATTTTAAAAATTTGAAACGTATCCGTACATTGAAATTCGAACCGATCTAAGTATACGATTGTATCGATTCATGTGTTTTTATTATCATTGATCGATTTTTAGATTCTTGAATTATCGAACTATCGAAGTAGATACGAAGTAAATACGAAGTGAACACTGACACTGGACGATACTTCACGAGCATTCTCTGAATTGGAGGCGGCCTTTAATATACGAGGATTTTACAGCTTTCTTTTATCTTGTGTCTATGGTATATGAAATAATATCGATATAACGTGAAATGGCGACGGAGAAAGATTTCGTAAATGGTAAGTAATCTTAAATTAAATAATAAAACGCGTAGTTGCACACATATCTTAAAATAATTGTAATAATTTAAGCAATACCATGTTTTTCAATCAAAAACATCTTGAATTTGCAGCTGTAAAAGAATCACTGAAAGCTGATGGAGACCTTGATCGTATAAAAGCAGAAATGCGCACGAAAGTAATAAAACTGCTTGACTGTTCGAGCAAAGAGAGCAAATCAAAAATCGTTAAACCCTCTCATGATATTATATTCATCAATGAACTTGTCAGAGAATATTTAGATTGGATGGGGTATAAGTACAGTTCTACTGTATTTATTGCAGGTATGATTTATTTTTTGTCAATTATTGTACATATCATTTGTATCAACTTGTACGTTAATGAAACAAAATTATATCAAATATAAATATTCATCTTTATTAGAAGTTTGAAGAAATAATGCTGAAAAATAATATTCTTTCAGAATGTGATCTTCCAAAATATCCCTTGGACCGTGCTTTTCTTACACAAGGTCTAGGAGTTAAAGATAACGAAAGGAGCAAAAATTTACCATTATTGTGTAGCCTTGTGCAAACTTTTTCTAATTTAAAAAATACCTAACACAAGATGATAAACGAGTGCCCGATGATCATGAATTATTTTAACGCATCTAATATAATTTTTAAATGTTATTTATTTATATCGTATGTATATTACATACTAATCATTTGGATATGTCTCTTTTTATATATACAAATATAAGAGCCATTTGAGCACAAATTAAACACATATAAATCAGCTTTATCACACCAAAATAAAAGGAAAATGCGACACATTAGTTTTAGAATTGCAAAATAATATATGTATGCTAAAAGATGTTTCACACACACACACACACACACGCGCGCGCGCGCGCACACACACACACACACACACACACATATATATACACACACACACAACACGCACGCACACATATACATGCTGTTCATATGTGTAATGTCGATATATATTCTGGTAAAATATAGAACTGCGTTAAAAGAATTTTGCTATTTTATTTTTGTGATGTATCTTTTACAGAATGACATTACATTATCAAAGTACAACGTTAAGATATTGAACATCCTAAATACAATTGCTCTTAATTCATATATAATATAGAGTTCCTTGTAGAGACGTTTATTATCTTCTGACGGCTATAATGTACATCGTTTTATCATAATGAACTTGTGCTATGTATATATATGTGTATGTGTATGCGTGTGTACATATATATATATGTATATATATATATGTGTACATATATAAATACATATATATATATAATTCTTAATACATTGGAACATGATAATTATGCGAAGGCCATACAATATTCTTGTTTTCTTTCTTTTTAAATTAAAATGTAACAATGTCAACTATTGCGCGCATATTATATTCTTTTTTTTCTACTACTTCTCGGTCCGTTAATTTGTATTAATTGTATGCGGAAACATCGCATTTAAGCTTCTTGTCCGCACCAATAAATAATTTATTGTTAAATACAACTTTCTGTAAAAGCTTTGAACTGTAGCAAGAATGTCACGAGTACAAAATAATCCGTCCGAAAGATATGCGAGGAGTAATGCATCATTGTCAAACGGACTTATCTGCAAAAACTATGGATGATCGTGAGAGAGTCATTTCCATCAATATCTGAAAAGGGTTTGAAAAGCTTTCTGCTGTTATCTTTCCTCCACTCGCTCAGTATAGTTCCTCGATCGAGTATCAAGCACACCTAATGATGTCATTTATGCTTGGACTTTTTCTTCTTCTTCGACTGCTTGCTTCTATTTTTCGATTTCTTTGATTTCTTCTTGTGTCTTTCCTCGTCGCTGCTGCTGTCAGAGGAATCCGAGTAAGTGTCCGAGTCCGAGCTACTATCTTTCTTCGTAGACTTCTTCTTCTTATGTTTCTTATGCTTCTTTCTCTTTTTTCTGTGCGACTCGTCGGAGCTGTCTGAGTCGGAGCTCGTGCTGTCAGAGCTGCTGGACGTGTCCTCGCTGCTACTCGATTTGGATCGTTTTTTCAGTGATTTTATCTCCATTTCCTTGTCCAATTCCGGTTCATCGAGCTTGAGTTTCTTCGTTGGTAGCAATGTTTTGTCATCGCCATCCGTTTCTGACTCAGAAGCAGAGTAATCAGGCTCGAAGCTCGCCTCATCTAGCATACTGCGCTTGCGATCGGACACAAGCCTAGGGTTTTTCCGTTGTTTCTTCAACGATTCCGTCAATGGTTGTTCGGTAGTTTCGTAACCGGTGATCTTCGTCTCGTTGCCATCGGACTTTTCTTTCAGAGTCGCCACAACTGCACCGCTATCTTTGTGCTTTTGCTTCTTCTCCTGATTTTTCTCCTTGTCCTTTTTATGTTTCTTTTCTTTGCGTTTCTTATGCTCCTTAGACTTACTTCTGCTACGGTGCTCCTTCTTTCGTTTCTTCTCCTCCCGTGTTCCCTTCTTATCTCGTTTTCTCTCTTCCTCATCGTCTTTGGATTTCAGTAGGTTCATTTTCGACATCTCCGTTGTTCGTGATTTAAATACATTGGTAGAAGCAGGTGGCGTTCTACCTCTGCGCTCACGATCACGCTCCTTTTCACGGTCCTTGTCTTTCATGTCACTCCTACTCGATCGGAAGTCCGTTCTGCAATCCATTCTACCTTCCCGCTCAGACCTTAGCTCATGCCGGTCGCTACCACGAAAATCAGACCTGTCCTTGGAGCGATCGCTGCCTCTATCTTTATCTCGCTTCCTGTCTTCCAAGAATACCTTTCGCTCACCACTTGTCAAGCCCAACGATGACGGTTCCACTCGTCGTTCCAATATTGGAGATGACAGTCGCTTCTCCCGTCTAGGTGATCGACTTCTCGACTGATTCTCACTCTTCGAATCACGTCGCTCTAAAAAGCTCTTTATCGGACTGATCTTTCTTTCCTTGCAGTCTTCGATCTTCTCGCCAAGTCGTTCCTTCGCGGATAATCTGGTCGGCGAGTACGTCTCCGGGACAGGCTTGAACTTCGTACGATCAAGTTTAGCTTTCTTTACGGGCTCGGTAATCTCGACATTTCTCTCGTTCCTGCCGACGTTGATCGTCACATTGACGACTTTCCGCGGCTCTCGATTACCGCCGCCAGTCACTGCTGGGTCTACCACCTCTAGTACCTTGGGCTCTGGATTCTGATATAATATCTTCCTGCTCTCGCTGATTTTTTTTATCTCGATCGGTCTGATCGCATTGATCGCCTTCTGAAATATCGCGTTCTCCGCACGTTTTAGCACTTCAGACGTCACCATTTTTGTTGACTTCGGCTCGTCCGACTGCGTCTTCTCCACAGGTGAGCTCTGTGCGTCATCGTTCTCGTCGTCTTCGGGTTTCTCGATCGTGTCGTCACGTTCCCACTTGGACAGTTCTGGTATGGGCGCCAGGAACTCGTCCTTCTTCGGTGACTTCTCCGCGGGCGCCTCTTCTTTCACGTCGTTCTCATGTTCCGTCGATGACATCAGGGAGTACTTCTCCGTGATCACAGTATTAATCTCTGTGTCGTCCAGTCCGCTGTAAAGACTGTCAATTGCGGTTGATTTCATCTCGGACTTCAGCTCCGGGATCGGCTTAAAGTTTGGATTTGGCGGATTCGTGCCAAATTCCGCGTGATCAATTCGACCTGGGCTTGACCCGTGGAATTCTGGCGGTTCCGGGTTCATCGCCAATGACTTGTCCTCAAATTCTTCCTTGATCGACGGCACGATCGATGTTTCGCTGTGTATGCATTCTATTCTGTTCTCGACGTTGTCTTCCTCATTGCATGTTTTCATAGACTCGGTCTTGAGCGGCGAGGATGACGTGTCGTCCGCCGTTTTGATTTCGATTAAGGCATCCTCAGACTCCACCGCTTTCATCGAGTCATCCTTGGGCGCTGCGTCCTTCTGGCTGGATTTCTTTTCTTTCTTCTTCTTCTTCTTCTTTTCCTTCTCCTCGCTATCTTTCTTCTTCTTCTTCTCTTTGATCTTCTTCTCCTTCTTTTTCTCTTCCGCCTTCTCTTCGTGATCTTTCTCCTTCTTTTTCGCACGCTCCGGCGACAGGTCCTTGGCATCACTTCTGGACTTCTGCGAATACGGGGTCAGACTCTTCCTGCTGCCCTTCTTTCTCTCCACAGAGCGTCTCTCATATCGCTCATGTCGATCACGATCCTTCTCGGGTTCGTAGTCGCGTTCGCGTCTTTCCTTCTCGCGCGGACGACCCTTATCATCCCGACTATGTCGATCCCGATCGTCTCTGTAACTGCAACGAAAAATAAGTTGTTAAATTATACGAGAAATTGACAAGTCTTACTAATCGCAAATGAAAGCTCGAGCACAGCGTCTCACATATAAAAACACTTCAAACTTCGAAATTTGTGCTTAAGCTTCTGCAATTTTTATTTACAACGTTAAAACATACCGATCTTTGTCGTAATCCTTTTTCTCAACATGTCTGTCATCATCTCGTCGATCACGAATATGTCTGTCGTCTCGTTCCTTCTCCTTCTCTCTTCTGTCGCGGTCGTCTTTCTCTCGTATCCTGTCCTCATGATCTCTCGGTAGGCCTGGTCTCTCGCGATCCTCGCGATCTCTGGTCGCTATCCTGCGATCCCTCTCGTCTCTCTCGCGTATACGATCCTCGCGATCACGACCCCTTTGAAAAGCAGAAAATTATTAAATATCCTCAGCATCAAGTTATCAAACAGAAGAAATACGAAGGAGATATGACGAGAATTTACGTTCTAAGAGAAAATAAATCGCAGTAAAAAAAAGAAAAACCGACAGGTTTCTTTAACAATAAGCGAATTTTATTGTTAAAGGGTAATAAAATTCAGCGGTGTATCCAAAGAATTTTACCTATCATCTCTCAAAGGCAATCTGTCGCGTTCCTCATTGTCACGATCCTTCGACGAATGCTCCCGGTCCTCTTGTTCTCTGAGCGAACGCTGTCGCTCGCGATCGTCTCTTAGAATCCTGTCGGAATGCTCAACACCCGGTGGCGAAAGGTCATAGTAACCCTCAGTACCAGGCGGTGCAACATCATCGAACCGTTTGTGAGGCGGAGGATCTCTCAGAGGGCTGCTGAAACGTTGTGGCGGCGGTGGCGGTGGACCGGAATACCTGTCGACAGAAAGTCAGTACAGCACTTCATATACATTTGTCAGACAACGCAGCTGCGACTTCTCGTACCAGAGGCCACTTCTTTGTGCTTTTAGGATGAGTACATGGTCATACGTCTTTTAGAAGCGATACGACGACGCGAGGAGGATACCGCTGCGCGGCATTCGGGTGGCTGTTAGTAATGATTCATCAAGATATCACACAAGATATCATACTGAGAAAATTGATGGTCGTATTAAAATGCTTCTGAAGGTTCGTGCACGATTGAGCGTAACTTTTGACAGAAGGTCAGTTCGCCTCTTTGGAATTTTCTTCCGTATCCTTGTTAACAAGATTACTCTCTGTCGATCTCTCTTTCTCTGGTCACACACATGTGGAGGAACACTTATCTTAATAAAAATTCGATAATCAGACCAAAGAAAATATGTTGGCCGGAACGAATGCATTTTTTTTCGAATTCGATTCTTCACACAAGCTGAAAGAGTGAGAACAGGACGTGACACCACCTATTACCCAAAAAACTTGTTAAGATCATTAACTATAAAGTTATAAAATCATGAAGTACATAAATCAACATTCATAACTTTGCGTGGAACTTTAAATATACTGCAGAAAAAAATACGCTTTCTCGTTATTATACTGCAATTGCAAATACCTTTCCGTTAATTCGCCAAACTCGCCTGAACGAGAGGCATGAATGTTCGAATTGTAGATACAGATGTATAAGGAAAATTGCCAATTGTGGAATCTGTGTTGTTTACACTATTGTCTATCGTTGACGCGATACATACTTAGTAGCGTCTTAATCCAAGCATAAGAGAAGCGTATATGTGAACAAGTAACTTTTGTTTAGCGTTATAAATGTTGATTTGGTCCTGAATTCACCTGATTCAGAAACCATGCAGACGTGTCAATCAGCTGGCTAGCTTCTGTGGTCTCCACGATGGTCCTTGACGCTTTTCCTTGCTTCTCTCTTCTTCTTGCACTTTTTAGATTACTAACATATTTCATAATATATATATATATATATAATGTATATATACACATATATATACACATATATAAATACAATATTTATAACAATAATAATAACAATAAGTATCACATTCACATGCAATTTACAAAATTGTATATTCAATAATATTGTGATAACATTTAGCGAGTAAATAAAGCACACTTACTATAATAGTATAATCCTTATATAAAATATTGTACACGTTATATATAGTATATTTTAAGGCAAACTTAAATTAATGAGTCTTACAAAAAGACCTAATTATGCAACAAGATTATTAAATCAAATTAAATCTTTCTTACTTAATCCATAATAATTATCAAGTATTGTGTATATAATTAAATGTATACATAATTGCATAATTGCATGTGTATATATAATTTAACGAGTACTATACTTAATATACGAATACTATACTATACTTAATAAGACAAATAATATCACATTTCATAATATATAATATTCAATAAATAATATCACTTTTATGTAACTATTTTAAATATATTTAAATATATTAAGGATATTAAAAAATACGTGAAATATCTTAAATGCATTAATATTGTTTATGCTTACCTATGTTTTATCTATTACTATAAATTTAACATATATCCTAATTTATATATAACTAATATATATAACTAATTATCACACGTTCTTGTGTATATGCACAAGTCCGTTTAGTATAAAGAAGTTACATACTTAAATATAATTGGATAAAAAAAGCTTACATACGTATACAGTTTACAAACTTCCATAATATGCATCCTATATCTTTGCTTAAATAACTATTTAAGGGCAAATTATAAATAATTTTACTGTACAAATTAACATGTATATATAGTACTTAATGCTTATAAATAAGCATTAGCACAGCACAATATATCGTCTGTAATAAAAATTGTGGAATTAGAAGACACTAGATTATAAAATTGGATTTTAGATTTTATAATTTAAGTTTGGAACGATTTTTGTAGTGTGTTGAGTCAAAAATCGATTAATTCTGTTGTTTGTAAATCTTTCACGCTATTTCGCTACATATACAAGGTGAGGAAAAAATACCGGGACCCCGAAATATATCGGAAAATATAAGTTTTATAAAAAAATATTTCAGACAAAAGTTGTAGGGTTTCAAGCAACGCATTACATAGCAATGACCTTGAATATCGTTATCAAGGTCTCGTAAAAGTCATCTTAAATTTCTTGAATGGAACAGCCTATTTTTCATTCTATATTCTTGTAGCTTATCTCGAGGGTTTTCCAAAACACTATAACTAAATGTTTCTTTGTTAGATATTTTTTAAGTTACAAGACAAAAGTTGCAGTACCGCCGGCATTAGCATTACTCAAGGTATACCGCGAGGTTGCATGATCAAATTTACACCTCTTTTGTGTGCGTGTGTGTGTGTGTGTGTGCGCGCGATTTGTGCCCTCGTGCGTACATACGTACATACATATTTTTATTTAAATGTGCGTAAATACCACTACATGTTTCTGAGCGTTTACATTCATAATAAATGCTCAAATTGCTGGCTATTAACAGTCTAACAATGAGCCAGTCTAACGTTAAAATTGGAAATAGGGTTATCGCACACAAAAATGAAAATAGCAAAATGAACGGAGCACCTCACACACACACACACACACATACACACACACACACACACACACATACACACACGCACACGCGCGCGCGCACACACACACGCACACACGCGCGCGCACACACACGCACACATACATACATACACACAAAAGAGGTGTAAATCTGACCATGTAACCTCCACGCGGTACACCTTGACTAATGCCGGCGATACTATAACTTTTAATGTAACTCGCAAAATATTTAACAAAAAAACATTCAGTTATAATGTTTTGGAAAGCCCTTGAGATAAGCTACAAGAATATATAATGAAAAATGGAGGGTTCCATTTAAGAAATTTAAGATGACTCACATGACCTTGATAACACTATTCAAGGTCATACTGATATTGCTATGTAATGTGTTACTTGAAACCCCACAACTTTCGTTTGAAACATTTTTTCATAAAAATTATATTTTTCGATATATTTCCGGGGTCCCGGTATTTTTTCCTCACCCTGTAGAATAAACCAGTAGAAATGAATTTTTTTGAAATATTTTCATCGAAATCGTGCCGCTTATTATTGTATAAAAAGAAAATAATGTGTTACATTTAACCATATAATAATTTTATATATAATTTGATGTTTTTAATTCATTTATGTTTCAAGTCTTATCGTATATTAGAAAAGAGAATAAGTAATCGCGAAATAAATGCACTTCCATTCAAAGGTTCATTCTATTCCTCGATGATTTTGAAATTTGTTAAATATATGTATATAAGTATATAAATATATTCCTATGTACATTTTTAGTACAACCAAAGAACTTTCATGTCGTATTAAATAGACAATCTTGTTCAGCGCTACCTATAACAAAGTAAAAACTGTCGTCGATGACGACAAATTTTCTCGCCGCGAGACATCTCGAAAGTGTTCTTTTCGCCCATCGCAATCTTTTCTTCGTCTTCGATCTCACAATATTTATAGTAATTGCTGTGTGCTTAATTATTTTATTACAAAAACATTCATTATAATATACGAGATGTAGTATAATTTAAGAGAAATAGCGGACTGTATATAAGAGAAAAGGAACTGCATTCTTTGATGAACACAGACTAGTTTTTTCTCTTTTGAAGACTATAATATTAAAATGGATAACAGTCATAGAGAAGAAAATATGTCGAAAGAACGAAGGAAACCTTCATTCAAAAACTTTATTTCAAAACTAAGTGCGCACCGTTTAGTCACGTGCTATAATGAGGAGCCCGCAACATTAAAATTGCATAACTTTATCTCTCACCACATCTGCATACAGATTTACACATACATTTTCGACACTTTATACTTTGAGAAAATATGAAAAAAAGAAAGGAAAAATATAGATTTCAAACCAACCTTATTATATCTTAAACCAATTCTAACCCTTTATAAAAGTGAATACATTAAGGTGACACGGAATAGAAATATCATAAGTATACAATCCATACATTCATTCATACGTTTTATCGTTTTACTTGTCGTTTGTAAAATCATCAATTTAGAAATATAAATAATATAGATCATACGTATAAAATTGCACACATAATTAAGAACTATTATCGGCGAAGTTGTTCCACTTCAATAATTTAGTTAAAACTATACTTTTTTTTAGAGCATAAGTATCTAATATTTAATATATAATAAATATACGTCATCTGAATATCTTATGAGCCATACCAATAAGAATATTGGTATACATATTTGTACTATGCTTAGAAAAAAAAAAACACGTTCGCAATTGCGAAAATTATAATAAGGATATCCTCAGAATCACATTCGCGAGTTTTTATATAATCACAATATTTAAGACTCAAACTATTATATATATATATATATAAAAAAATATATAAATTTTCGTAGTAAACTTCTCGAATAGAAAATTATTAAACATATAGTGCTATATGTATAATAGCGCAACTCCCCCATTTTAGTCTTTAACTCTGTCTCTTAGCAAGACTAGACATAAATTAAAAAAAAAATATATATGTATATGTACATAAATCTATACAATATCTCTCGAATATCACGGATCAATCGAACGAGCCAGTACAAACACAATCTCACACATACAACTTGCAAAAGATAATATTCTTGCAGCAATTAAAATGTACCTACAAAATACAAATTGCATAAATTCAACAAACTTATTTTACTCTGAATATCACAATTAAATATCACAATGAATGAATATCATATATGGACATTGCGGTCTATTCATTTTTTATTACGATAATATATCACAATACTCTTTTCTTAATTTATAAAATTATGTTGTATAAAGATTCATATTGTCAAATTTATGCAATAAGACTATACTTCAGTGTGTATGCGCATCATATCAAGAGGATTTGCGGAATCCTTCCGGTACGCACAAGTTTCTCGCTATTAAACACAATAAAGACGATTCGGTTTTTGTATTTTATGCCGCTTTTGTATAATCCATCCGCCACACTTCCGCAGCTTTGTGCAGGGGATGGCGGCGGTATGTAGGTATTGTCTTGGTAGACTGTCTGCTTAACGTGTACATGAATGAAAATACTATTGAGGCGAAAATACCTGTTGTAGGAATCATAATAGTCTTTCCTGTCCGTAGGCGGAGGTCCCAGTGACATAAGCGGCGGTGGTGGGTGACCTCCAGTGACTAGATGGGGCATCAACGGCGGTATGTTATGTTGGGACGACTGGTTCCTTATGGGATATCTCGGCAACGGCCTCTCCCTAGGTGGTAAATCGCGCTCACGATCTCTGAACTGATAATCATGAGCCGGTGAGTCGCTGTAATAAGTGTTGTATCCGTCCCGAGGCTCGCGGGATCTCGGTCGTTCTCTCTCACGATCCCGTTCTCTTTGGAATCTGGAAGAAGACAGTTTTGCGCACGCTATAAAGAATGATTCGAGATGAAACGTACTCAATGAAGTTTCATTTTCAAGATAATAAAATGAGCCAAAATATCATTTAAGGTAATGACACAAATCATTAAATACATACCTTGGAGGTGATCTTATTGGCGACCGATATCTAGGTAGCAAATCGCGGTCCCGATCTCGTTCGCGATCCCTGTCACGGTCGCGGTCGCGGTCGCGATCACGCTCACGATCTCTTTCCCTATCTCTCTCCCGGTCCCTGTCTCTCTCTCGATCCCGGTCTCTGGACGGGGATAACCTCGGTGACTGACTGCGGGAATATGATCTGGATCTGCAACACGAGCGCGAAGTTTGAAAAATCGCCGAACGACGACGTGTGTGTGTGTGTGTGTGTGTAGCACTATGCTTTTTTTTAACATCGAGATACCTGCTGATGGAGAAACTGCCGCTCCTTGATCTGTTATTTGATCTACGTTTCGGGGTACGACTGCGAGGTCTAAGTGGTAAGGGTGATCTGGACGACCTGCGTTTCGGTGGACTACGAGAACGACTAATACGAGTAAACGGTGATCTACGGCCAAATGAGCGTGATCTGGATCTGCTGTAGCTGCGGGAGCGAGATCGCGTTCTGCTCCTTCGTCTATGTTTACCGAGACGTCTATCTCTCTCATCCTTTTCTCGGAGCATACGTTCAAACGCCTCCAATGGATCATCAATAATACTAAGGAGAGAAGAGTGTTGATGATAAAGAACGAGCCAATCGCATAGATGTAAGAGAATATTAGCTTACCTAGGAGGATTTCCATTATGTATGTTTCTACCAAGCCCTGGAGGAGGTGGTTGTAAACTTCTATATCCCACTGTAATAAGACGTTCGAAATAAAATACCGATGATCAGTGATTATTGCAAGAAGAATCTGCGAATATTTATTTCTAATCACATAATGTAATGAATTTAGCATGTTTCTTACTGTGATGTAATCCTCTAATTGGTCCTCTTGGTGGTCCATTGTAATTTCGAGGCGGCTGAGACGGCCGATATCCTTGCTGCTGATAAGGTGGTCTATCGTATCTCGGCGGTCCATAATGCGAGCCCTGTTGATGTGGATATATTGGTATTCGATGACTCATATATGGATCAGGCAACAGGGGAGGATTGTGAGGCGGCACATTCGGCGGTGGTTGATTGTAATTCGGCGGTGGTATACGCTCCTCACCGGGTGGAAATGGTAATAATGGCGGCTGGTTGCCAGATGGAGGGACATGTAAATGTGGTTCGTCAACCTGTATATACCAGTGGAAATATACAAACGATAAACTTGTATAAACGCGGAGAATCGCAATTCACCATCGTTCAGCTAAAGAGAAAACGAATACTTACCGTCGGAGTACCAGGGCGATCCTCATTGGGTCTGCGTATGCTGCTGTCATAATGCATAGCAGGTGGGTAATGTCCATCATCCCCCAGGTGACTTTGATAACCTTTGGAAGGAGGTGGGTTCATTAAGTGAGGCGGCACTCCGCTCGAGGATGGATAATCGCTATGCTGAGAATGACGGGGCGACAAGGATCGCCTGCGACTCAATGGTCGTAAGTTCTCGATTCTACGGCCACGCTCTCCACTTCTGCATATTATCATAAGAAAGGAACGTCTTATTGATTATTTCATTACACACGATACACTACAATAAGAATCTGCGATATTAACATATAGTCAGCTACATAAGTTACATCTTTCTAAATGTTAAAATTTTTTTTGTTAATTATGGGCAGTAATATATCTTTTGGCTTAAACTCTTACAATTTTCATAATATAAGAATCAATATAACGAAACCTGCAAATAGAGTTGATAATTTTTTTTTAGAGTCATTAAAAATCTAAGTTTGTCTGTAGTGAGATTGAGATATCTCCCCATCTAATGTATCAAAATAATAATTCTATTATAAATAAATTGTTCCTTTTGAGTTAATTTACCTTTCGCGGTGACTGTCTCTACTGAAGCTCCGTCGACGTTCTCTGGATTGCCGTTCTCCTGCGTAATCATTGTCCCGTTCTTTTTTCTCACGACAAGGTGGCTCCTGGTTTCGTTCTTGTTCTCTCTCGGGCGAGCTTACAATAGTGGGGATTGGAAGTAAGGGCTCTGTTCCTGGAGGAGGAGGTACCTCAGTTTCTTCATCAGTTGTTAGTTTTGTTACCGAATCACTTTGTAAGTGTGATTCTGAGGTGGGTTCAGGCAGAGCTGTCAGAAGCACATCACAATACGATTAAGCAACTCGAATAGGCGATTAGAACCCGTTTTAGGGAAGCGATGTCTCACTACATCGCGTCAGAGACGCAATAATGTACGGGGTATTTTCGCGTATTTGAGGTTATGTGTTTAATATCGTCAGCTGGCTGAATAAACTCGAATATATCGTCAACAATATATGTTACAGTGCAAGATTAAATAACAATCGAGCACACTCCAACGCACAACATTCCACTCGACAAGTATTACGCGCTATGTGAAACAAAAACGCCAAAGCCACATTGGTTACATACTTCAATAATGGCGTCTGGCCTGTTTTCGTGCGAGAAATATAATATACAGAAAAGTAGAAAGAGGTTCACTTTTTACGAGAGAGATAAGTTTTCTACATATACCGTATATAAAAATACGGCACTTTCGTCAGTAAGCGACATAAAATGACATTCCGCGTAAAAGAAAAAAGAAATTTAAATTGTTTGATTATTTTTTTATGTAAGTATATAAAAAAGAAGAGATTTTCTAAACTTTGATAAAGCTCAAAAAGTCTAAAATATTCATTGTTAATCAATGTTTATATTAAATTTAAATATCCGTACAACTCAAATTAATTACAGAGAATATATAATTATTATTAATAAAAAGTACTAATAAATAAGTAAACAAAAAATAATTCAGAATAAATAATGTATTTCTAAAAGACTTTGGAATAATTACTGGAAATAATTATTTGGAATATTTGTTTTTCCCATAGTACTCAATTTAAATATATTATTTACTATTTGTCTAATTTTGTTTTCTATGTGATCTCTAAACTAATACAAACCTTCGATATATATATGTATATATATATATATATGCTGAAGTTTGATGTATAGTATAATATATTATATTAATATATATATACATATATTTTTTTGTGTCACAATATTAAACACCTTAGAAATATCACTGGAATAATTGAAAGCTTTCAAAATTGACAGACTTAGTAAGAAAAACAAAATTTTTTTATATTTTCTGTGTGTGTATGTGCGCGTGCGCGTGCGCGCGTGTGTGTATGTTCATTCAAAAATACCCAAATTAATGTCATCAAATGCATTACAGGCAAAACTGTTAAAACGTTAAAGATAAATGTTTAACCAAATCACATTTAAATAGATTCAATAAAAAATTTACTATAAAATTTAATATATTTGAACTTTAATAAATCTAGCAATTAACTATTGAAGATCCTTAACACAATCAAATAAACATCATTCTCAAGAAATGACAGTTGTATGCTGCTGCACATTGATCTCATGCTAATCAAGACTCAATGATGGATTATAATTATCAAATATAAGAAAACATACAAAATACAGCTGTTTTGATTCCATTATCTTAATACATCATAAAATTATCATAAATCTATTATTATATTACACAATCTTAGATCGATTTATTTTTCTTATAGAATTATATAATACACATGGGAACAATAACAAAAATTATATATGTCGAAAAACACTTACTGCTCGGCGTCTGTGATTGCGAACTGCTGGATGTGGCCGGGATGTGTTGCGAAGTGGATTCGAGATTAATAGGTTGCGGCGGTTCTGCAGGTTCTTGAGATGGCGCGTTAGGAACAGAGGATGATTGTGTAGCTTGAGGTGATACTTGACTAGCGAGTTGCTGCACTTCAACTTTTGGTTGCTCAGTTGGCACAGCCGACGGTTGTCCAGCAGTCTGCACAGGAGGCCGATACGTTTGTCTTTTGGCATAGCCAGTTTCATTTTTGAAATTCATAACTGCATTACGCAGGAATCGATTCGGAATAAGAGTTTCTGGCGATACATCTTTCTCATTACAATCCGGACACTCGTGTTCCTCAGACTCCAATAAAAATGTGCGAATACCTGTTACCAAAAAAATTAAATATGTAATCTTAATAGAACATATAAAATAACATATTTCAAATATCAATAATTTATGAAAATTTACATTCATCACAAAAGGAATTTCCGCAACACGGGATCATTACTGCATCCGTCAGCAGATCTTTACAGATATTACATAGTAAATCTTCTGGTATTTCTGGTTTCTCTACCACAGGTTCCGGATCTTGTGAAAATGGCGGTCGTTCTTTTTTGCCTTCCTTATAAGCTTGACTGAGGAAAAAAAAGCAAAAGCAATTATTCTAATTGCCTACACATTGTGTATATTGTAATATTATTTTTTATTAATATTATTGTGTATATTGTAATATATATATATATATATGTATATTTCTGAAATTTTGCAAACAGAGTCAGTCCTTTGAACATAGATATCGCGATTGAAACTTACTGATCGATAGCAGGTACTGCGTAGTGTCCTGTAGGTGTCATCATAGCACCAGGTACGAGAGGACCTTCAACTGGTACCATGAAACTTCGAGGGATGCCTGTGCTCTTCTTTATTTCTATTGGTTCTTGATTTGTACCTAATGGACAGTTTTTTATCCAATGGCCAGGTTGATGGCATTTATAACAACGATAGTTGGCAGGTACGTCACCAGTCTGGTTTGCTCCACGAATTTTCATGTAACTATATACAAAAAATCAGTTATACCTCAATCCAATATATGGTTTAGATTACATAAAAATATGGCCTTATTTATGTTGTGTTTAACCAAATAATAAATTAGTAAATTTAATGACTAGTGAAATTGCTTACTTAGATGGATCATAATCTTGAGTTGACTGTGTCATCATTGCACGAATTTTATCTTCCTCCGAACCATCCAATCTTGTAAGATCAACAGCTCTGCCCAAATTAGTTTCATCTTTCAAGTTATTAAATGGAGGGGTTTCATTTCGGTCCCAAGAGCGCTTTTGTTGTACTGTGAGTGGAACTCTAGCAACAATAAGGCTAGTGTTCTTAGCAATCAATGCATTATCATCTGTGTAATCTATGGAAATATAAGTGATCAATTGAGTAGTTGATACATAGTCTAAGTAATTACAAAAGAAGAAAGCAAGAACTCTTAATAAGAAAGTAAGATATTTGCCTTCTTTTGTTTGTGCATTGGTAATTTGTAGATCAAAATCTGTATTTTTGCCAATACGTTTCTGATGAAAAATAGCTTTCTTTAAATCTGCTACAGAAATATGCAATCCATCAAATGAAACAGTATCATAGTCCAAGGTGGATTTAAATTTGTAATGTACTGACATTGTTATCACCTAAGCAACCTGAAAATATATATAAATTATTGATAATTGCAAAATAAATAATAGCAAATAAATAATAAATAATAGAAATAAAAATGCTACTTGTACAGGAATAACTTTATTAAAATATAACAAAAAGGATGGAAATAATTAAAATTTAAATTTCATTTTACAACAACGAAAATATAACGTATATATCGGGAATGTGCATCATGCAATGGTGGATCAACGATCTAAACTCATTCCTCTCTCTCTCTCTCTCCCTCTCTTTCACTGTCTCTCCCTCTCCCTCTCTCTCTCTCTCTCTCTCTCTCTCTCTCTCTCTCTGTCTCTTTCCTTCTCGATAAAACACACGTAAGAATGACTACGACAAAACACACCTCGCATGAGATCGAGCCCGACGACGATTATGATGGAATCACATATGTCACTTCGTGATAGACCCGTTGATCGCGAATCAAGACAATAATCTAACGTGAAGAAAACTGTTCAGTTGATTGGAAGGTTAAACCCAACAGCGATGTTCGATCGCGGCGACACAGGTCTGCATAACGTTAACAATGATTATCGTCCTGTGTAATATGATGAAGTCAAACATGAGCTCACATGTGGATACTTACAATGAAATACCGAGCGGAATTTTCGCAGTACGATGACAGTACGATAGCAACTGCTGCTTCTTCGATGGATGACGACGTGCGGAATGCGCAGTGCGTGTTACTCTCGTCGACATGTCACTCAGCGAGCGTTGGCGAAGGCTTCACCAGCATATTACACAGTATTATCCTCAACACGATAACCAAAGATGATAACCTGTGCACCACTCGGCCACTAAAGTGTCGCGGAAAGCGATAGCGGTGGCAAGGTTTGTTAGACACAGCATTCACAATGTCGGGAACAAAACACTATATGCTACAACCGACAAGGTGCCGCGGCAACGCGACTAATAGTCATAAAGCATGAGTATTTAGATACGATACTTTTACCTTCTTCTTCTTCCCCCTAGACGGCCTAACCAAAAATACTTCTACCAGAGAGAAACCTGAGAGCGGCCAACATGACATTTTCTGCGACACCGACTTTCCGCACTGGGAAAGGACGTCATCTGCATCCATTTTGAGAAGGGAACTACGATGCTACATCCACTTTCAGGTCTCGATGGTAAAATCTGCATGTGATGGAAGTCCGTGCTACATCCATTTTCAGGCGGTTTATGTCCGTGCTGCAACCACCATCTCTTGCCATCTCTATTATACCAGACTATGCCCGTAGGTCTAAAAAGAGGGAGGGGGAGGGGGAGGAGCAGAAACAATAAAAGTACGTATTAAATGTTAAATCTTTGAATATATATTGCCGTATCAAAGTCTCCTCTATAATAAACGATTTGACATGTCTGGAGACGCATGATGTATCGCATGATGCCCGCGTCCCGTTCCCTTCATTCTGCTTCTCAATTCAGCATCCCGTCCGTTCCGGACATTCGCTCGTGGCCGTCGGTGAGCATTCGATCCGCTCGGAGGAGCACGTGTTAATTAATGCGACGTGCCTCCGATTATAAATATCCCGCGAGTCGACGAAATATTTGAACTTTAAAAAAAAACATCAAAGAAAATAATGTTTATGTTGTCATGGGTGAAATCTCACCCTGGTATATATTTTTTTATTTTCGAAATAAAAAAAGCCAAACAAATGCAATTAAATGTTATTTATCATCATTGAATGTTAGATGAAAAGTAGAAGAGTTATTGTCCGTAGCGGATAATCTAATACTTAATAAGAACGAGACAAAATTTGCATGGGATGAAATTCCACTCTTTAACGCTATCATGACCTTTAAAATTATTCTCCGAAAACGGCGTCACAACAACTTTGACACTCTGTACAATTAGTTGCTGACACATTTTTTAATCGTACACATTTCTCTTTAATTAACATAAAGCTAACAAATGTCCGATGCTTCGACAGAGTAATTTTCTTTATTTTCAGTGATCAATAAATACGTAGTAAATCAATGTCGCGTACAGTTGAAAGGCTTCCTTGCATTCCCCTCGTCGTTTCGGAACCTCCGAGAAAAGGAGAGACGCCTAAGGGCAAGTCTCTCTTGCTTCAACCGCCGCCGAGGCCTGTAATATTTACATCGCGCCGATTGTGTTGATCGGCTGGCGAGCGACGACACTTTTTGCCCTTCGCATTATAATATTCGCGCACCTCATGTATTCGACCTCATTCCATCAACAGCAGCCGTGCGCGACGCGCTCGTCACTTCCGTCTTGTGTAATTGAAAGAAATATATCTCGTCGGTCCTCGAGATATTCAATCGGCATCGCGTTGATTAATCACACGGTCGAATCGCGAGTATCGGCATTAGAAGTGTGAGCGAGTGAAATCCGAAGGACTTCAGCAGTCGGGAAGCAGAACGCCGGCACCAATACGTCACGTTTCCAGGTATGTGGAATCATTTATTATGCGGGAGGTCTCCGATAACGAGAGCGGACGTTTGACGAATTTTCCGGGAATAAGAAGTCGGAATTTCGCGCTCGGCATTCACAATCCGTCATTATCCGACTAGTAATCATGACTTTATGAATCTGCAATTACTTTCGTCAATTTCTATCTGTTTAATTATTTATTGCGTTGTTGTATACAAGAGATATTGATCCAGACAGAGACGGATAACGGTTCATGAACGCGGATTTCTAATTCATCATGTTCTCAATCAAACATTCTGAATAATTCTCAACTGTGTGAGTATACCGGTCTTGTGTAAAATATTCAACGTCATATCGCTTCTTAGATTGCGACCTTTTTTGTTTTCGGTCAGCGCTTCTTTCAAGTCTGGTTACTGTCGTTACGGGATCTAAATTTAAATGTCCATTCGTAAAAGTGTATTTTCGAGAGCACACAACTGTTGTCTCCACTTCTTGTTGTCATCTTTTTTCGTCAGCTCTTTCAAAAGCTCCTATCTAGACATTCAATGTCAATAAAGACAAAAAATCGTAGCGAATATTCTTCACTCATTCCGACCAAACGTTCTTTCTCTACCTCAGCTTACCAACCAAGACGCTAAATTTTTGTTCCAATTCGGGAAGCAAGTGTACCGGATGCCCACTAGAGATCTCAGCAGACAGGTCGACCGAAGTATTTCAAGTTTCTAACATCTGTTCATCTACGATTTTCCTTTGAACTTTTCTCTACCTCAGCTTACCAACCAAGAACGCTAATTCAGACGTGCGGAAGAAGTGGTACGGAGCACAAGATTCACAGAGCAGGTCAAAGTAGTTAAATTTACCTTGTTCAATTTTCTTTGCTTTGTAACTTGTTCCTCATCAGCTCTCTTGAAAGCTTCAAGTCCCATTTAAATTTTCAATGTTGGAACAAAAATATAAAGATAAAAATTCCGTATCAAAATATATCCGTATTTTCGATTGGTCCCGATCAAAGATATTCTCTCTCTACCGCAGGTTATCAACCGGAAAAATTATTTTTCTGTTTCAGTTGTTGCGGAAAGCAACAGCAATCCGGTGGACGCGGATGCCGCACCGGAGGATCCGGTTCGGGCGAAGCAGAGTCGGCTTGAAGGTAAGTTTACAAGTTTACTATAATCCTCTGTTTGACCCTTGGCGATCTAGAGCTGGGATATAATTTCCGGCTCGACTTGAATTACGATCGCAGAGGGTAAACTACTCTTTTACTCGCCCGCACTCGTTGGTCAAATCTGATGAGCAAATGTGAATTTTTTGTTACAGAGTTGAAGCGGAACGTGGCCGGCTCTGACTGCAAGTCGTTTCGGTGAGTCAAAATGAAAAGAGAAACAAAATTCTGCATGACGGATGTGGGACTAAAAAATATCGTTCGAGTCAGTGCGAATTGCAAATAGATACTTGCATGTGTGTATTTGTGACGTTGAATAAAATACATTGCTCGAAACAATCAGGGGATTACTTGATCGATAGCCTGCATTACATACAAGATTTAAAATACTGAATGATTCTCTTTTGATGTTCAGTCATCTGAATAAGAGAATATTCATATGTACAAACGCGACACCGACATCAGCTGCTTTATTTTAATTTTTCAAGCGGGCCGCAGAATTACTTAACGATTTAATTATTTGACAATATTCAATTGTCCGTATAAAATATATTCATACGCATAAATGCTGATACCGTTGGCTACTTTTCTTTTATTTGCAAAACAGGCTGTAGAATTATTTGGCAATATTGTCCATTCATCATAATCCCTATTGTCTCGAGTAGCGTATAATGCGCGTAGAAATTGCGCTAGCGCACGCCGAGCTTGAGGTATCCTCGCTCGCGTGCCTTTGAATATCGTGACCGCGGTTGTCAGTATACGCGTTTTTACTCGCGTTGCTAACAAAGAAAACTTAAATTCTCATTTCGCCAAAGTATCGCGAACGTAAGCTTCGTCGTGACAGAGCTATAATGCGTGAAAACTTTGCCCCGCTCCTCTCTCTTTGCGCTCCCTAAGGGGGACCGGTTTCTGATTGTCTAATCTTTCCTCGCGTGCATTCGCGTTGCGAATATTTCACTCGTAAATATCGATAATCCCACATTTTCGCGACTTTTCAGACGCAATCGCGAAAAGCACCGTAAAAATCCGTTGGACGAGTCAATAAATTTTCACACGGTTCTTACTCCTCGCCGATCGAGTTTATAGAGTCCGTTTCGCAGCGCGCAAAAAGTTTCCACCGATGGCGAGTAAAACGTTCGTTAATTGATGTAAATATCGCCGTTCTAATACCGCGTATCAACCGCGTCGCGGAAGTGTGATGAAAGTGTAGCAATCACCGTGGGACGAGCTGCAAGATGGATGTTGCGCGACATGGAGAGCGGCAGCGGACATGGGCGGACATTGGTGGATCTGGTTGGATGCAACAGGACATCATCAATATCATCATTGGTGAGTGTCTGACTCAAAGCTCGCAGAAAGAACTTTTATTATTACTTTATTATTACTTTTATTATTACATTGTGCATGCCGCAAATTTGCATTGACTCTTGTAACGAAAAATATATTCCATGAATTATTGTCCTATATTATTGCCATATATTGTTCCCATATATTGTTCCCATATATTGTTGCCATATATTGTTGCCATATATTGTTGCTGTATATTATTACCATATATTATTCCCATATTGCCATGTATTCTCGCCATATATTATGGCCACTTGAAATCGCGCGAGCAATCAAGAAAACTGAATTTATCGGTAATCGCAAAGGCGCGGCAGACGTTACAAATGGATGTTAGCAGCCGGTCTCAGGGTTGCCCGATAACAATACTGTTGCTGCAATTTAACTTTAAACAACAGCGGCCTCAGATCGCAAGAAACTTTTTATCGCGAACTAACCTCTCGAACGGAATGTTCCCGAGAAGCGCACTTGAGATAAATGGAAGTTATAAGCGAACCTCATCGATAGCATATTTAACCTTCGATATCTCCTAAAGGACTCAAGATACAGGAACGACCTTTTGCAATATAGTTCTATATCAACCCTACTTTGACCATAAAGCTCGACTTTCAATCCACAGCAGAAACGGAGATATTAACATCACAAGTTAAACACTTTATCTTACTATATCTCCTAAACGGTTCAAGATACAGGAACGCGCTCTTGCCACAATGTAGTCCTACACCAACCTTAATTTTACCATAAATTTCCACTCTCAATTCCCAGTAGAAGCGGACATATCAAAGGTACAAGTTGGAAAATTTTAACCTTCGATATCTCCTAAACGGCTAGAGATACAGGCCTGTTTCTTGCACCAAAATGTAGTAATCTAAAAACCCTACATTTTCCCGTAAATGACGACTCTCTACTCCCAGTAGAAGCGGAGATATCAACGGAGAAAGGTTGGAAAACTTTAACCTTCGATATCTCCTAAACGGTTAGAGATGCAGGCCTGTTTCTGGCACCAAATTAAAGTC